ACCGAGTTCTCACAGCCCGCAGAGGCCGTGGAGGCGATGTGTTTTTACGTACATTTACATATTAACAAGGACGCAACAACGAAAACGGGCTATGCGCCGAGTTTTCGCGGTCTTTTCACCAGGGCCAGGGCTTTAAGCCCTACATTTCTGTAAAGGGGACACTTCATACTTGTACAAAATCGAATTCGCAACGGAATCGGAAGGATGGTTTCGAAACAGTGGCCATGGGGCAATGTGTTTTACGTACATTTACATATTGTAAAGGATGTAACAACGAAAACGGACCGCGCGCGCCGAGTTTTCACGGTCGTTCCACTGAAGCTAGGGATTTGAGTCTTACATTTCTGTAAAGGGGACACTTTAGACCTGTACAAAATCGAATGCGCAACTCAATCGAATGGATGGTGTCTAAGCAGTGGCCGCGGGGGCGATGTGCTTTTACGTAAATTTACACATTAATAATGACGCAACAACGAAAACGGGCCGCGCGCGCCAAGTTTTCACGGTCGTTCCACTGGGGCTAGGGCTTTGAGCCTTACATTTCTGTAAAGGGGACACTTCACACTTGTACAAAATCGAACTCTTAACGGAATTGGACGGATGGTGTCGAAGCAGTAGTATTATAGAAACGGTAATCTCTTTTAAATACCTAGGTATTATTTATTCAAAATATGGTACGCAAAAATGCATCATTTGCTATGAATAATCTATTTCGTATCTTTAAAAGTAGATGCGGATCGTAATTTAAAATAAAATGGGAAACATTGGGCTTTTCAGATAAAAAAAAAACATTCTAGAAGACCAAGGTTTTTGTATGTATGAAACAATCAATTTGAAACCGACATTCCGTTTTCATTAATTAAACAGAGAATTATGGAGAGCTTTTTACAAAAATGGTACTCTGTATTAATAATTGTAATCGTTTACAGTCAAATTGTGTCTTTAAGTTTGAATTCGAATAAGAAGAATAAATGAAATATAAAATTGCTATGTCAAGATTAAGAACTACATCACATAATTTTTCTATAGAATCTGGAAAATATAACGATATTCCACGAGAATAAAGACTCTGCAAATCATGCAATAAGAAAACCATTGAAAATTTAATAGTGCTGGCATCAATGATCCCGAAGGACCAAAACTGGTACAATTTGGAATTTTGAAACATCCGCAGATGTGTTCATATGGCGGTTATCATGGAACCTTCAATGTGACACGTAAGTGCCATTCCACGAAAATTGGCATATGGTCCCTAAGTAAAAAATGCGTGTGCCGTAAACGAGAAAACAATGGGCGGAACTAAATAAAATGGAATTTTGAAAGGAGATCAGAGGTTATGAAGCCTGCATATCACAGATAATACATCAAAAAACAAATTTAAAAAGCAGGCACATATCCTAAGGGTGATTAGACAGTATTAAAGTAGGAATACTGGAGCCACCCAGGTTGAAAAAGGCCAAATAGAAGAAACTAAAAATACTACATAGCATGAATAGAATACACAACAATTAATTAAGTAAGTAAGAAGTAAGTAAATTCTTTATTATAGTGACATGTGTTATACGTATATACATACACAAAAATACACAAAGATGAACACCCGGCCCATAGGACCTATATGACCTAAAAGATCATAATCTGAGCATGTGTTATAGTTTTTAACATGTTATTAACATAATAGTAATTTCATATCAATACAAATATGTCGTGCTGAACGAAGTTTGGAACAGAACAGAACAAAATCTTTATTTGTTTACTCGAGCTGTACGCTCCTTGTCTGTTTGAATACAAAACAATTAATCTAAAAGTCAAATTAATTATAGCATGAATACAGAGAGAGAGAGATAAATAAACTTTGTGAATAACATTTTATGTGTAACAAAAGTAATGTATTTATTTATTATTTATTTAAGTATTTATTTAAGTCTCATCTTTACATGTATATAGAAAATATAAAACACAAACATAAAAATCTGGAAACAAAGTGATCTCTCGGAAGCATTAATCACAACAAAATTACAAGAGAATTGCAGACTCAGTTTGATTTAGTCTGTACATGAGGGATAATGAATACGTGCAACATCCCTCACGCCCCCTAGCACCGGCTTGAATACATGAAAAACTATTCTAAACATAATTACAAGAGACTATATGAAATCTGAGTATTGGATACAGTACCTGACACGGCATCTCACGTATTCATACATTGATCATCATCTTCAGTAATCGCCTCACTCTTCATAGAGCATAATCGCGATGAAACTAAAACTGTGTACATGCGCAGCAATTGGTTTCCTCTTTTACAGTTAAAATTGTCTACTTACATCTTCTTAAAAACTGGTTAAAACTGGCAATGTGTCTAGTTGGTTGTAGTGTGATTCATCAGCGCCGAATTGAACCCCTCCAAGGTTGGTTTCTCACAGTGGTAAGTAGCTGTGATTCACAGGAGCGACGGTGTCGGAATTCTGGAAACAAAGTGATCCCCCGGAAGCATTAATAACAACAAAATTACATAAGAATTGCAGACTCGGTTTGATTGAGTCTGTACATGAGAGATAATGAATAAGTTCAACATCCCTCACGCCCCCAAGCACCGGCTTGAAGCCGTGCTGGGAGTCAGACAGTATATTGTTGTTGTCGAAATGAGCCATGATGTTGCTAAAAATGATATGTTCGATGATCTTATAAGAGATTGATGTGAGAGAGAGATAGGTCTGTAGTTGAATGGTGTAGATCTGTTTCCTTTCTTGAAGATTGGGGAGACATCAGCTGTTTTCCAATCGGCTGGGAGTGTACCACTGTCTAGAGAAAGCTGGTAGATTCTGGTCATGCCTGGGGCCAGTTCGTTGGCACAGAGTTTGAGGAGCCTGATGGGGACTTTATCTGGGCCTGCAGCTTTGTGTGGCTTTAGTCCAATGAGAAGCTTGAGGACACCCTTCTCGGTCACATTAATGTGGCTCATATCTGGAATATGGCGTTTGGTAGTTGTGGCGGGTTTGAGTCATCTTCCTTAGTGAAGACAGAGGTGAACTGGTCATTAAGTATGTCAGCTTTCTGTTTGCTTCCACTGACTGATCTTATAATCAGTAGCATTTTACAATTTATTCCAAGTCTATACATTTTAAACCATAAAGCATTTCTGTATACATTTTAAACCATAAAGCATTTCTGTATACGCTGTCAAAACACTTTTCATATCTATAAATGTAACGAAAATACTTTTCCCATTATTAAAACTACTTTCTAATATACCATTTAAACAGAAAATCGCATCTGTAGTGGAAAACATTTTTTAAGTTTGAAATAACATCATTCGTAAAACACCACTGAGATAACCTAGCATTTAGAATAGACGTTAACAATTTAGCCAGAACACTGATTAATGTAATTTCCCTATAGTTATTCAGGTCATTTTCGTCGCCTTTCTTGAAAAGCGGTATTATTATCCCATCCATCCAGGCAGAAGGAAAATAGCCACTGGAGAATATCTTATCAAATATACCTTCAATTTATAAGTTCATCACTCGATGCCGCCTTTCCACGCTTAAGACTATACTTCAGAGCTTGTATTAACAGCATCCAGTTCCTCAAATAAAGGGTTAACCGCAGTCAGGTTTTGACTAAAGAATTGCTCGCTGTTTTCGTCAAACGATATATTTTTTTCTTGTGAAAGATTTTTGAAGTACTCATGAAATTATTCAACAGATATATTCCCCTTTTTCATATCTTTTTTCTTTGAAAAGTATTTCCATATTCATATTTTTTCATATTGACATGTTGATAATTATTACGTTTTGATTTCACAATTTTTTCATACAAACGTTTTTTTACATATAATATTAATTCTCTTTTCATCAGTTTTAAATTAATTAAAACAACGCAATGCTTCAATATAATCCCGTTTTGATTCTCTAGACGTTATATCAAACAATTCCGCGTGTTTTATAACGGATTCACTTGCAAATTGCTTCGATTTTGAAGGAGGACATTTCCTTTGAGAATATTGGCTTCGCCGCACAGTTTATCAAGTTAACAAATTCGCCCGCAACATTATCTATTGTAGACTGGTTTACAGTTTCTAATGTACCAAAAACTTTATTAAACTGGGGTAATTTAGATGTTAAACCTCGTCTATATGCTTCACGATTATCTGGAACCCATCTAATTTAACTGTTTATGGCAATACTGAAGCATATGATTGCATGATCTGAGAACATGTTGAAATCGGATTAGTGAAAAGTCTGGATTAAATTGCAATCATCTTGCTTACATAATAAATAGTCTATAACGGAGCTCCCACTGTATACGATTATGTGTTTTTAAAACGCCCGTTGCAAATCCTTAAAAAATCAGTGGCTTTGCACATGTCTAGAAGCTAGATATCGTTAGAGTTATGATGAGTGTCCATTGTCGACCGTTCTGTTGGAATGTCCGGAACATAATCATATATATCCATGACTGAATTTATTCTATCGTATAAAATATAGTCTGTTTTTTTACCAACTCTACTATTCATATATTCCGCAATCAGTACAGTTCCTGAAGTCTGATAATAATGCATATCGCTTTCAATAATTTCAAATAGGTTGCTATTGACAAAATTATAAGCCAGTGTGTCTTGTCCCTATATAATAGTGTCAAAGTGATTACGAACTACTGTTATGCCATTTGCAATTGATTCTCGACAGTACATCTAGGTGCCTTTTTATGCTGGAATTTGCGATAAAAATTGTGAGATTTGTAACCATTGAAATCTACTATTCTATCCCGGTTTGTCCACGTCTCTAGCAAGAAAATTTTCAATTCAGTTACAGAACTCTTTATCGTCCATTTTATTTCGAGTTAATCCATTACAGCTCCACACAGCAAATGATAAATCACTCCCCTCAATATGCTACGGAACACTATCATATTTTCTATCCGTATATATTTTTCCATCGATTATGAGTTTACATATGCTTTCTTTTTATAATCTCTTGCATTTTTGTATTCGCTGCGTAAGCAGTGAATACAGTTCTATCACAATTTGCGGGATTACAATATAAGAATGGCTACCTAACAACGCAAAGTAGTTCTACACAGATTTTCTTGTCACACACAAGTGATAAGATTTTGAATTGTCAGTAGTTCATTTTTGATTGTGTTATTTCTATCGTATATTATTTGCATGTTTTCAGGATATAATCAGTAAAAAATACCATTAGTATTCATTCGCGTTAACTTTGAGTAAGGAAGTAGTTCGTACCAAAACAAAGTTTTCGACGCTATTTTTGTATGTGAAAGCTGATCTCATCATTTTCTAAAAGTAGGTACAGAAAACTTACCAATATTATTTAAACCTAATGTAATCAGTTTTGGAATTCTTATTTGGATTTCATGATGTGTAAACTAACAGTGTTGATAATTCAGGTGTCTTGATATATTTTTTGTTGTTTGAGTTGTTTCCCTTGGTTTTCCGCAATATCACTAGTTTTGTCTATGTTTAAGCGGCTTTGTTTGTAAAAAGTTCAAAGTGTTCTTAATTTATTGGAAATATGGATTATTGATAGTTGGTCAGTATTATTTTGAGTTGCATTTGGTTTAAATTAATGTTGTATAGAGTGTATGTCATAGATGATTTTTTAATTAAGTAATGAGTGTGATCTGATTTGAAATGTCATCAGTTTTCGTGATTTGGAACCTTTGAGAATTGTTTTCAGAAAAATCCGTTAATCTAGCTCTCTGTTTACTTAATCTCACATTTCATTCCTATCACTTTGCATATTGTGTTTATTATATTTTGCAGAAGTTACAGCAGAGAGAGAGTTTGACAGTATGCGTGTTTGAAGAAGATAATGCTATTATTGGTAGATCTACATTCAATTCCACGAACTGGTGAGTTTAGAATTTATTTATGATTATGATGTATTTTATAATAACTTCATTGAATGAACTTATGATTGTGGCGGCCAGTAGAAAGCATATAGCTATAGTATATTATATGTTAATATACCTACAGGTTAAGTAAGCTGTTCAATGTGTTGTAAATATTTAATGGAAGTGGCTAGCCGTACGGGCCCGTATGGCTAGCCAAAAGTTCTAGCCAGGACACGCTGTATTGGCTAGCCGTACGGCACTTTTCAAAATTATATGGAAAATGAAAATGCATATGTTATTTTGTGTCTTTAAACGACGACTTTAATCAAATCTCCGCATTTGTCCTAGTGTGTTCACTTTAATAAAGATGCTCCGCAATTTTACAACAACAAAAAAATGAATGTATACGAACAAGCGTTGTATAATCTATCTTAATAAAAGTGTCAAAGTTGCATGTTATAACGTCCTTGATTTTCATGCTTATGATTTGTTGTTTTAAGAGTATGAAAGATGAATTGTTTAATCTGTTGATTAAGCACATGGATCAAATAAATAATGATCGGAGGGGAAGAAATAAATAAAAAAAATTAATATTAAAAAAAAAAAAACGGTGAAAAGGAAAAATAATTTAATAATGCAAACTTTCCTTAATGATGGACGATAGACAAATTTCTATACCGTCGGTAATTGACGCAATTATCAGAGCCCAACAATTATTTTTGGTGTTTTTTTTTTTTTTTTTTTCCAATTTAAAAATTAAACTTAATGAAACAAAAAAGGATTATTATCAAAATTTTGTAAACTTGTAAACTATTTCAATTGATGTTATTTAACTGCAACCAAACGCTATTTTTTCTCGACGTCTTGAGATGACAAAGTACATTCTTTACTGTAGCCAACACGGCAATTAATCTCTAAAAAGTATCCCCGTACTGCCTCTTTCCGATCAGCTAACAGATTTTTCTACAATAACTGACAGTGAAATTATATTAAAAGAAATTCTCTTTCAATTCTGCGAATATTATCATTTTAGCTAATAAATGCACCAACTTTTTAAAATTTTACCTGAATTATTATTATGAATCGAGGACAAATCATTACTGACCCATTTTCCTGTTCTTCAAAATTTCACAACCACTTTTCAATCAGTTAACAAAATATAAACTGTACCACATAAAAATTGTCATACAATGTTAAAATATAATCAGTTATGTATTATGGAGAAATTTTGACCACAGGAACTTGAAATTCTATCAAATAACCAAAATTAATTATAATATCCAAATATACCCGTTATATATTTTTTTATAGTATATAGGGGGTATATTTTGCATATTATCGTTAATAGTGATAGAATTTCAAGTTCCTGTGTTTTGACAAACTCAACTTCAGATAAATGGTAATAAACAATTTTAACCTAATCATAATGCCATTTTTTAATCTTGATATCTATTTGCAGTGGTAAAGCTGTCACAATTGGGGTATGGATGTACATTTTAATTTGCATAACAGAAAAAGCATGTTCTCGAGAAATTTTTAGGATCTTAAGGTCTATATGACACCATTCTAGTGAATGCTTACTGAAAAGTTATCAAAGATAATGTTTTTCCTTGTTTAAGTGACTGTTACTTTACTGATGTATTACCTTTCAATTAAGAATTGTATGGTAAAATATGTACATATTAAAATTATAGCTTTTGAAGTGCAGTATATATTATGACTTCAAGATATTGAAACAGTTGTCCAACTTAATATCCATTTCAGCAGACTGACAAAAAACTGAGTCTGTAAATCAATTATTTTTAGAAAAGTATTGCGATTTGTAACTGGCTAAATAAAGGATTAGTGGAAAACACACATTTCACATATTTTGAACTAAAATGCTAGCATTTTCTTTTTTATCGCCATAATTGACATTGCTGCTAATAAATGTAGTCAAGGTGAATGCAAGATGTGCTTACAGTTTGGTTACATGACAAATAAGGTCAAAAATAAAAAAATTATAGGGATGATTGAAAAGTGGTTGTGATTGAAAACTGGCAGTATGTGGATAAATATTCTTGACTAAAATCCTCGCTTAAAGTCATAAAGCAACTTCTATTTTTTCAATCGATATACCTTGGTTATTTACGTAGATCATATAGAAAGTGTTAATGGGTTTATTGTAATTGACCATAAATTTGGACGTTTTTATTTAAATGATAATTATGCATTTCAGACATAGGAAATTGATTTAACTCTATTTTTATGTTGATGTAATTTGTTTAATTTCAGAGTGTTGATTTCCTCGATTTCATTGACTCGATGATTCATTCTCTGATTGATGATTGTTGAATGTTGATTGAATGTTCTAATGATCAATCAACTTATTGATTTACTGATTGATTGGACATGTCATGGAGCTTAATATAGATGGAGAAGTAACTTAGACGTCATACAGTTAAATTCAGTATTATTGGGGTTGTTCTAACGCAAGTTATCATGTGTTTCGGGATTTTCCAAGATTTGTTGCATCCTGGGTAATAGTAGCCAAAATACCGCCATATTGAATTCCAAGAGGAACATTGACAAAAAAAGACGAAGCATTTTCTACTTACATAAGAAGCAATAGTTATTTATGTTAAAACGTACCATACACACTTTTCCACACAGATATTTCTCCAAAAAAAAACAATGTCGGCAATGTAAACAGTAGTTCATGGATATCGCTGAAGTTTAACGAGAGTGCGAGAATCGGGGACTAGTGGGAAAACCCAATTATTACCGAAGCACACTGTGGATCTGAATCTATCAACTATTTCCTGAGCTTCCTATCCATTGTATATATATCTGTGGTATCTGTGGACATGTAAGACGAATATATGTGAACTGTAAGATGTTGAAATGTGCAAAGTTGTTTGTTTAGAAGAGAAAAACACAATTTTTGGAGAAACTTTTTGTTTGAATGATCAAGGTATAAACACTTTTTGTAAATGGACATCAGGCTACCATTTTCATAGTAATGGCAGGGCTTCCATTAATGGAAGTTTGGGAGTCATTTCACTCCTTGAATTTGGCTTGTGACTTCCAAAATGTAATGCTTTTTTCTTCTTTACCAATATTTTGTGACTTCCAATGTCAAGACATTTTGCAGTCTTTGACTTCCAAATTTTGAATCTTAATGGAAGCCCTGAATGCCAATGGACGTACATGTTTTACCTAAATTGTATTGGAAATATGTGAAAAACTTCCTTTTAAAAGTTTCTAGCTGCAGTTAAGCAGAGAAATGCATTGGATACCTCAGAATATTGCTATGTTGTTAAAAAATTTCCAAGCCTTATGGTCACATATTCAAGGAAAAATTCGAAGAAAGGAAAATAGATTGTCAGGTGTATAGATTTCCAGTCTGCTTATCATTTACATACAATCTGGAAAACTTCAGTAGTGTCACTGGGGTCAAAATTAATCCTGTCTAATGGTAATGTTGTAAAAAGTTCTATTTTTTGTTTAAAGCATAAAGTTTAATGTATATATGTATTATAATAGAAATTAGATATATGTATGGATATTTTGTGTAAACCAACATGTGAAAACCCTGGAACATCATTGCTAAAGCAATATTGTTAGGTACAATACCATACATTTAATATTGTTAGGTACAATACCATACATTTAAAAGGCAAGAAAGGTACGGTAATAATATCATTTACTATAGATTTAGAATGCAAGAAAAGATAAAATATCATTCCTCGCTTCTTAGTACAAAAAGTGCCATATCACTTTTATATTTATATTAATGTTTACTGCATAAAACACTTTCTTACTTTTCATTTTTAGCTAGACTATACAAAGTATATGGAGAGCCGTCCTTCTTGCCCCGGCGTCCGCGTCCTTATTTAGATTAAAGTTTTGGTTTTCCATATCATCAACCACATCTTATGTGACAAGGTTCATAATTCTAGCACCACTTTTTTCAGATTTATCTCCCCTTGAACTTAGAATTTTCCTTAAAAAATATTATTTTCTATCGTTACTTCCTTATTTCTTAAGGGATCAACTTCATACTTCAAATATATGTTCCTTATCATCAACCACATCTTATGTGACAAGGTTAATTACTCTAGCACCAATATTTTCAAATTCATCTCCTCTTGAAGATAGAATTTTCCTAAAAAAAGTTATTTTTAGCTCGACTATTTGATAAGAATAAGTAGAGCTATTGTAGTCACCAGTGCGTCAGTGTTGGTGTCGGCGTCTGTGTCAGCGTAGGTGTAGTAACATATGTTAAAATTTTTGTAATATCTCCAATATCAAAGTCCATTGATATATGGCTTTGAAACTTTGCACACATGTTCACCATCATGACCCCAACCTGTAGACAGGAGGAGATAACTGGATCAAGCATTTTGACAGAATTATGCCCCTTTTCTAACTTAAAAGAAAAGTTGGCCCTATAACAGTAACATGGATTTAAAGGAAAATTTGGCCCTTTTGTTAACATTTTACATTATCAAGGCTCTTTTTCTATCAAGCACTTAGTATGGTAGAGCGTTGCTGTCCTACCGACAACTATTATTTACTGTTACTTATTTATTTCATAAGGGATCAACTTCATATTTCAAATATATGTTCCTTATCATTAACCAAATGTTATGTGACAAGGTTGTTAACGCTAGCACCAATATTGCAAGAATTACCTCCCCATGAACTTATATTTTTTTTACTTGAAAAATATTATTTTTTACTATGACTTCTTTAGTTTCAAAGGCATCTTTCTCTTACTTCAAATACATATTCCTTATCATCAATTACATCTTATGTGACTAGGTTCATAACTCTTAAAGCAATATTTTCAGGTTAATATCCCTTTGAACTTAGGATTTTTTTAAAAGAAATATTATAATTAATTTAATTTACTTTTTAGCTCGACTATTCGAAGAATATGAGAGCTATTGTAGTCGCCCCGGCGTCAGCGTCCGCGTCAGCGTCTGCGTTGGTTAAAGTTTTTTGTAAAGTCAAATATCTCAATTATTACTTGAGATATTCAATTGAAACTTACAATACTTATTTATAGTAACAAGGCCCATCAGATTGACAAGTTGGATAACTCTGCCTACAATATTGACAGAATTATGCCCCTTTTTAACTTAGAAATTTGGTTAAAGTTTTTTGTAAAGTCAAATATCTCAATCAATGCTTGAGATATTCAATTGAAACTTACAGTACTTATTTAAGTAACAAGGTACATCAGATTGACAAGTTGGATAACTCTGCCTACAATATTGACAGAAGTATGCCCCTTTGGAACTTAGAAATTTTGGTTAAAGTTTTTTTGTAAAGTCAAATATCTCAATTATTGCTTGAGATATTCAATTGAAATTTAAAATACTTTTTTATAGTAACAATGTACATCAGTTTGCAAAATTGCATAACTCTGCCTTCAATATTTGCAGAATTATTTGCCCCTTTGAAACTTAGAAATTTTGGTTAAAGATTAAAGGTCTTCAAAGATATTTACTTGAAACTTTACACATGCACTTAGGGTCATAATTGGACGGTCATAATTGTATGTCACTGACCAAGTTCCATAACTCTATCTTGCATTAAGGCTGATTCATATCCCCTTTTCTACTTAGTCTCTTGGTTAATGTTTACATGCAAGTTTTACATATCTCAATAACTATTAAAGATATTCATTAAAAACTTCACATATGCATTTAGGGTCATAATTGTAGGTCACTGACAAAGATCCATAATTCTATCTTGCATTTAGGCTGATTTTTCTCTCCCTTTTTCAATTTAGAAATTCATGGTTAAGTTTTTCTTGTAAGTTGTTATCTCAATAACTACTAAAGGGTTGGTGCCTTTTTCGGGACAATTTTATGCATTCATAATAATAAAGCAGTGAGTTACTTGATAAAACATCTTAATAACAAGCCTTTGTACCTTTTCTGTCAAATTTATTTATTCATAGGTAATTAGTATTATTATACTCAATAAAACACCCTTGTGACATTACCTTCCAAATAGTCAAGCCAATACTGTATAGTTAGACTCTCTCTTAAGCCTATAACATGAATTTATAAAAAAAAATTAGCCCTTTTGTGAACTTAAAAAATTAAACAATATAAAGGCTCTTTTACTATCAAGCACTTAGAATAGTCGAGCGTGCTGTCCTACAGACAGCTCTTGTTTATATTTCTTATCATTACACATATGTTGTGCGACAAGCATGACTATTTCCAGAATTACCCCCCCCCCCCACCTTGAACTTATTTATGGAATATATGTAAACAAATGTTCATGGTTTTGTCTTCCATACCAACTTATCTCAGCCTCTTGATATTTGGTATACAGTATTGACGTGGTCCCATACCGTCGGATTTGATTTCAGGTCGGTCGCTCACCACGCCCTGTTTACCGTTAAATTTTCAACATTAATGGTCAATGGTAGGAAATTTTCGTAACAGTTTTTTTAGCAACTACTTATCACAGGCTCTTGATATTAGACAAACAGCATTGAAATATGGTCTCATACTGTGGGATTCGATTTCAAGTCTTTCACTCATCCACTTCCTGTTAACTGACTTAGTTAAATTTTCCACATTAATGGTCAGTGGTAAATTTTTTCAAAACATTACAGCATCATGATATTTGGTATAGAAATGCAACCTGGCCTTTTCTGTCTTTGACCCATTTTTTTATGCCCCCCTTCGAAGAAGAGGGGGTATATTGTTTTGCTAATGTCGTCTGTCGGTCGGTCTGTCCGTCGGTAGACCACATGGTTTCCGCTGATTATCTTGAAAAGTATGTATCACAAAGTCTTCATATTTCACACAGTGATTGGTCTTCACTAGTAGATGACCCCTATTGATTTTGGGGTCACTAGGTCAAAGGTCAAGGTCACAGGGACCTTAAATGTCAAAATGGTTTCCGCTGATTATCTTGAAAAGTATGTATCACAAAGTCTTCATATTTCACACAGTGATTGGTCATCACAAGTAGATGACCCCTATTGATTTTGGGGTCAAAGGTCAAGGTCACAGGGACCTTAAATGTCAAAATGGTTTCCGCTGATTATCTTGAAAAGTATGTATCACAAAGTCTTCATATTTCACATAGTGATTGGTCATCACTAGTCGATGACCCCTATTGATTTTGGGGTCAATAGGTCAAAGGTCAAGGTCACAGGGGCCTTTAATGTCAAAATGGCTTTCGTTGATTTTTCCATAATTGAACACTTCCATGTACCCATTTTTGGCAAGTTTCTGTAATAAAATTACCAATTATGTGAGTCAATGGCTAGAAAGGGGGGTATATGTGTCGTTCGACATTCTTGTTTTTTTTTTTTGTTTTTTTTTAAATTTTGAAATCATTCATTTATTATTGTTGAAATCTACTTATAATACCTTTAAAATACCATGTTCCCAGTACTTTTTATTTACATGCTTAAGTTGTTCTTAACAAAACAAACTTGTACATTCCTTTATTAGAAATTGTTTTTTTTATATAACCAGGCACAAGTGACATGATAATATTTATTTATATGCTATTATCATTGTGGACACAAACTGTAAACAAAGGTTACTTAATCATTTTTTATTCTAGTCAAAGTAAAAAATATTTTGCATGTGTTCATTATTTATCTATTGAAATTTGACAAACAGTGATTGCACTAGAGTTATATCAGAAAGTTTGTGGGAGCTTTACATGCTCATAACATTTCTATCTTTGTCAGAGAAATATTTGACTTCTGAGAACTATTTTGACTTCAATTTCCGAAGAAACATGAAACTACACCCCAAATTTAAATGCATAATAACTATTACATTTGTTTGACTTAACTGTTTCTTATGGTCAATAGTGTTACATGTATATATTTTTTTTTATGTTCAATTTACATTTGCTTGTTTTTCTATCATTTCAATCCATTGTCTTAATCATTATATAACTTGATTATACCTTAATTATGTAGCATTGTTTTTAGATTTACAGTGTATTTGCAATTTTGTGAACATTTATCAGTAAGTAATATTCTTGATAAAAGAAATTTCACAATTGATATGAAGTACCAAGCCATTTATACAGTGTGTTTCCGATTTATGAAAATGTTTTTACAAATGACTTAAAATTGAGCAATCACCATACTTTCTAGCATAAGAATCTTAAAATAAAATTACTTAAATTGCAAGCAAGTTGCAATTTTATACATGAGATAAACATTATCGTGACCAAATTTGTTTTTCATATTAGCAAGTTCTGTATATATGCTTTAATTAGAAAAGAACACTGATTATGTATGAAGTAACTGAAATATTGAAAGCTTTATAATGGAATGTTTGTCATGCAACATTAAATTGTGTAAGATTCAGACTATTAGATAAGGCGATGTACCTATTAATGCTGTTATAATTACATGTATTATTATTGTGAGTAAAAAGGTTCTGGGGATATTTCTATCATGTTTTAACCAGGGGCATAGATAATATATATTGTTTACTTTTTTATCAATATTGCAATTGGTTTTAAAGCTGTGTTTTCTTAAATATGGATATTATTGAATCATCCTTGACATCAGTATTCTCATTTTTTAGCTCACATTAGCAAAAGGTCAGCTATTACAGACAGTCAAAGATTCCTGGTCTGTCCGTCATCCATATTTCAATAATGTCATATTAGTTTGAAAACGTCAAAAATTCTCATTTACTGTGTGCAAGAACGCTTTAAATTAATTTGGTCTTTTGCATGATAAGGTCACAGTAGGTAAAAAAAGATTAGATATTACAACCATCCTTTTCTCAGGCTGTCCAGCGTCCCTAAAATTCCTAAAAAATCCTAATTTTTTTCAGCTTGGCTAAATTTCCTTAAAAAAATGAAAAATTCAAAGGGAATTCCTAAAAAAGCCCTATTTTTTCACTTAAATTCCTATTTTTTTTATCTTTTGTGATAAATATATCGTGAAACAACCATGTTTCAATCTCAACCTTAATTGGAACACAGTCAGTGGAGCTGATGTCATGTCTGACTAAATTACATGAAGTCACATGTTGTATTTACTTCAACTCATGCAGAAATGCTATACTTGATTGTCAGATGTTATCAGAAATAGGAAACTGTTAACTTTGTTTTAAATGGAAAAATGAAAATTGGCTGACATTGACTATATCAAAATAGTCACCTGTTTAAAATTGTGATAAAAAATTTTCCAAGGAAGTAAGTTTTTATTGGCTACAGAGTTTTTACCATTTACCTCAGTCTTAGGTGTATTTAAAGCAACTATTTACATGATGAACCACTAAATTTCATCAATTTCTATGTAGGGGTCCTTATTTATAAAATCTTAATTTATAATCAAGTTATTTTCAAGTGATGACTAGAACAGATCTTTTGTAAGTGATACCAGCTGGCAGATCTAGACAAGTTTCCATATTTGCTAATTATAAAGTGGGTAAGGTAAACTGGCAGTAGTGATTGGATGCTTTTACAATTTTGCTACCCAATTAGCTTACTAAGAAGTGACACCTTCAGCTGCCCTTTTTGTACGCATTAACATGTACTGAACTTATGTTATAACATATAGTGTAAGTTTTTTAAAATCTGGAAAAAAACTGTTGAAAATGATTGAAAAAACTGACACTGTTGTGAAATTTTCTACAATTTTTAGTAGCCTGATTTATCTTGAACAAATTCATCATAGGTATATACCCTGCTGTTTGAATTAAAGTTGGAATGACTTGAGTGGGTCATATCGTTTTTATTGTTTTTTAAGATCAAGACTTGTTGAAAATGTACCAACCCATGTCATGGTCTTTTGAGGCCATAATTTAGTTATAAAATTCCAAATTTTAGCCCTAAAATTTCCTTTATTTAATTTAAGCCCTAAAATTTCTTTTATTTACCCTAATTTTCCTAATTTTAGCCCTAAAATTTCTTTAAAATTGCCCTATAATTTGCCCTAATTTTTTGTCAGAAGGTGCTGGACAGCCTGTTTTCTCTTATTGTCCCATTTTGCTTGTTTTGCATTATTAAAGCCATTTCCTCATGCTCCCATTCCATTTGTAATGTTTCTTTGCAAAAAAGTAAATAACAGAATTTTAAAATTTATTTTTGACTGTTACAGGCTAATTAAAAATATAATACGCAAACTATTAAAAGTACTTTTTTGTATTTTTTTAATCTCAGAAATTTTTAAAATTAAAGTATTTTACAAAAATACCTATATTTTCTTCTTAAATTTCATGAAATTAACATGTTCCAAGTTTCACTTTTCATCATGTGAAAAACTGAAATGCTTTAGCTAGGTAATCTGTCTGTCATTACATTTGAAGCTTATGTAGCAATATAGTATTCTAGGTATTGTTACTGTATATATATTCATTATAACATAATTCTCTCATCATGTTAAGGATCTAGTCATGAATGTACTGCATGCATTCATATTTTTGGATGTATATTTTATTGTACCACTTAGATAATGTAATAAAGTTGTTCTCATTTAGTTTATTCTTACTTCTATCCCTCTTTCAATATATTATTCAACAACCAGTGTTAATGTCTCTATCAGATTAATAATCTGTAATTCAGTGGCCCATATTCCTTTATTCTTTACAATTGCAACGTTTTTAGTAAGACACATATGCATTTATAATGCGCAGCGAATACATCAGTGCTTTCAGCGCTTTGATTCATAATTGGGTTGAGTCTCTTTCTCTGTGCAACAACATCTGAAGGGTATTGATCTTGCATGCATAGTCCGGTGGCTTTTGAGTCAACATTTTCCTTAAACGATTTAAACTTAAAGTCTTTGAAGGTAACCACAATATTTTTGGGTTTACTCCCTTTCCAAATCCCAGAATGATAAGCTCTTTCGATCTCTATAGATTTTGCTCCATCCTCCAGTATTTTAAATCGTCCTTGACTTTGATAACAGTTTGATCGTTTATCTCATGCTCACATTCCTTAATCATTTGCTTAGCTTGAATAGATGACAAGGATTCTTTCAATTGTTTGTTTTCGACCTGAAGCTTAGCCACTTGACTTCGTGTATAATTCAAAAAAACATGAATGCCTACCGATTCTTCTAAAGAATTCAGATTTTAAGCATATTTTGCTACCCAAGAATCAAGATCTAACCACAGCTTATTATTTTTAATATCCATTTCTGATACCTTTTTCTCTATAATTTCTAGCGTAGAAAGTATGCTATTCAATTCATCAAACTTTGCACTCATAAATAACATAAGTTCTTCATTTGAAACATGCTTACCAGACTGGTTTTGAACACATGGAGTTGGAGGGTATAACTGTTGCATTTTCACAGGAGTGATATTGTTCGAAGTTGAACCTTGTGCTGAACACTGACCCATATTTGACGATGGCATGTATTACTGAGAATGTGGTTATCTATTTCCGTTATCCATAAGTAGTACATGATCCATATAGGAAGTTACTGTATATAATAAAAAAACATGTAGAATGTAATGTAAGATAAGTGTATATTTGCTTTACTAAATGGCATTTATATTCATGTGATTATTTAAATTTGGCCATTAAGGTTTTACAAAAAATAAACACATGAATTTGTTTCGATTTCATATTCATCAAACTATTAAAACAACCCAGTGTTTACAACTGCGAAACTAAACTTATTGATAAGAATTGACTGTTGATACGTAAAGGAAGGACAGCTTAATAAATAATGTTTTTCGTTGCCTAACTCATCTAGGTCATAAAGTGTGCACTTTCTGCCATTGAATAATGTTCCGTCCCACCTGTCGGTTTCAACAGGAAATTTATGATTAGAAGACGGAAATTTAAACAAATTTAATGCGTCACTATGCGGCAATAGTTTAAAAAATGATTCTAATGTGTGTTAAATTGAACTATAAATATTGCTTTTATTAGAAGATTACAAATTAAAGTTCCATTGCTGTTTGTACTGATCTATTAGCGTGATTTTACTAGCGTACGTGTATTTAATGGTACATTTGTATTAATATATTGATTTAACCAAAGGTATGAGCGAGCAGCTGAATAAAGAATTCTCTTAATGTATGAGGTCCTTAATGTACGAGGTGCATTTAAATTTGTGGTATGCTATTGACCATATATGTATAAACTTTAAACGATAACTTGTTATGATCACAAGATAGTAAACGTGTCCAAAATCCAATCATCCTGCTTTTAACTACAACTGAGATAGGACACCTTCCAAATGTACCGTTTTATATATAAATAGGTGTACTTCTACGGATGTTTAAACATTTGCGCAAAAATCGTTATGCACTGATTCTATCATGTCTAAAGTTTCGACGCCAAAACTTTCTCAGCCATATGTTAGAATCGGTAAGACAGTGTGGTCGAATAATTTTATGCTCAAATAAGTTTTGGAAGTCAGCACTTCTAAATTTATAGAAAAGTTAAAATGTTGCGTTTTTGCCTGCTCAACAACGTGTTTGCAAGCATGAATAAATGGCCCGGAATTTGAAAATTTAACGCAGAAAAATCAAGAATGTAATCACCAAGTTTGAATTCGTAGTTACGAGCAGACCGACAACCCATAACAATAACTTCTGTTTTGTTTAAGTTCACTGTAAGATCCCATTGTCTAAAATAAGAATTAAAAGCATTCAGACATATTTCGAAATCCGTTGGGTCATCTAAAATGATAACGTTGTCATCAGCATACAAATTGTTTTAAAGCCAATCAGATTCATTTACATTGTCTTCAAGTTTTACACCGATGCCACCCGAAGCTTCAATGCTGGTCTGTAAATCGTTAATAAAAAGTAAAGATACTAACGCTGATCAAAAGATGTATACTTTTTTATTGTTGCGCATTGTATTTGTTTGCACGCTAACAATATGATTGTTTGTAATGACTGTACAGTTTTGCGTTGATAACGATAAACAAATGCGTAAATGTGTACATGCAAACAAAATAGGTAGAGTATTGTGGTTGAGACTTTGATTAGAAGTTACGAGTTGAAATCACATTTTTGTCCAAATATGTCCAAATATGTGTTACAGAAACAAAGTCCACAGAAATAAAAACATGTCAAAATTTGGAAAACCCGCATAATTTGGAGTTCACAAAAAACGACACTTATACGGTATATGTCGAATGAACGGGTTTCTAAAAAATACAACGTTGTTAAGATTAACTGGTTTTATGGCTTTCACGACTATTTCTTCCTCATATTAAGTGTCCTTATTGTGCAACAAAATATTAATTATCCATAAATATCTCTCATATATACTTGTCTACAAAAGTTAGTAAGCCTCATGGTAAATTAGTACTTGTCCGTGCGAGATTACATATTTTGAATATATTACAACAATAACTAATTTCTTTGAATTATAAACATACATTTGATAATAAAAATTCACTACTGGTACCATATGATGCCACGAATGTGTATTTAATTTATATTCAAACGCATATTTTAAAGGAAAATAACACACGTTTTGTTTAGTCGAGCAAAATGGCGGAACACTCATGCATAGCACTTTAGCAATGCTCTAACTGTCCTTTTTGTAACCGGGCGATTTTACGGTCTAAATGATCGCGACTATTGATGTATGTAGCAAAGGAATAATTTGAAATGAGAATAACATACAAAGACGGAAAGTAAGTTACCAATACTCGTTTGGAAACATTTCTTTTCTTTGTGGTAGATAAAGTCCTTAATTGCCTTTCAATTCATGCAAATACATGTACGCAAATCCTTTTTAAATTTTTTAAACATATGGTAAGAAGTATCTGACATTCGTTGATTTTATTTAAACATTTTTGATCTAGAAATGTTATTAGACTTTCCATGAACCTATATATCTTCTTACCAGATACATGTAACGAACATAGTTTACTGGGCTGATTGTAGGCATACTTTAAATATACCTTGTGTCATGAGGTATGTTAATAGTAAGGTATGAATAAAGTTACCGAACATTGATTTCTAAAATCTAGGGAGTGTTTTCTATATTTCTGAGAACAGTATACTTGTTACACTTTAAATATTTAACTTCAAACTTCAGACTGCACATCAATTCCCATTACAGTGGAGCGGTTTAAATCAAACTGAGGTGAATACAAAATGGCAGAAGTAAGTTCTCAAATTGTGAAAGGTTTAACTGAATTTTCATGGAATCTTTATCGACTTGCTGCACAGAATGGAGACAATTTTCTTATTTCTCCTCACAGCGTCTGCTCTGCTTTGATGTTAACATGCTTAGGCGCGAATGGAAACACCGCTGATCAAATCTTTAACACGCTTGGAATGCGCGGTATGACTTTTGAGGGATATCACACGGCCTACAGTGTACTAAAAAGTTTCAAAGTTTCAAAGTTTTATTCATATCAAACCAGAAGGTCAACGACCCATGTGGCAAAATGCACAGTACAAATTACAAATATGGCAATTTACATACTAGCATATAAGACCTGCATAAATAATATTAACGAACATATTTCCGTATCAGTGTACGTAAAAGTAAACAAAACTTATTTAGCAAAAGGTATAGAGTTTTGCATATATAACAGTTTACATAATTACAAAACATATAGAAATGAAAACTGGTGACAGATATGAATATAAACTGTCCAAAATACATAGATAACTAAGTGATATATGCAGTTTACCGAAAATAAAGCATATTACGATTTTAGTATTTCTGGTAACAATGATTCGCTGAATGAGTAAGATAATATATTATCTGAGAAGACCATATTTGTCAGCCTTGTCCGAAAAACGAAGGCAACAAGATTGACATATGGTAAAACAAATAGTTGCTTAGCAATATCGTGTATACACTAAAATAAAAGATATATTTACTAATTTCATTTTACAATTACTTAAGTTGCACAGTTGACAAAGTTTACTGCACCTTAATTACCTTAATAACTGTTGAATGAAAATAGTGTTGTTCCTAACATTAAAAGCTTTTTCAATATAACATGCACAAACCAAAGGAAATTAAACCATTAGGCCTTCGTTTAAAAGATGATTTAGATAAACTTAAAATTAATCCAGACAGTATCCTTCAAAATGACGATGAGGATGTTACACCTTGGACTTATAATTCCCCGGAAATAAATATTAACCTTTCAAATATAAAAAAGGCATCAAATTCACCTGAATATTTCAAAGAGAAGTTTTAGCAATTAAGGAAGAACATGAAGATTTTATACATATTTATACGGACGGTTCAAAAGAAGGTTGCAAAGTAGGTGCGGCTGTGTTTGAAAATAAGTTTACATCTAGTATGAGGTTACCAGATAATGCATCAATTTTTACTGCTGAAGCAAAAAGCTATCGATTTAGCATTGTCATACATAGCACAGCATACCCACGATAAATTTGTGATATTTTCTGACTCGTTTTCTGTTTTAATATCCATTAAAAATAAAAAAATCTGACAATATCATGGTAAAGAAACTTCTTTTACGATTTCATGATATACTAAAAACAAAATATGTTAAATTATATTGGATTCCAAGCCATGTAGGAATACGAGGAAATGAAAAAGTAGATGCTTTAGCTAAACAATCATTAAATTTTCAAAAAACTGACTTATTGTTACCTGCTTCTGATTTTAGACCGGCTATAAATAAACTCGTATCAGCTGAATGGAAAGCAAATTGGGACAATGCCGTTTTTAATAAACTTCACGATATAAACCCATCTCTTGATATGTCACCATCTCTATCTCTGTCAAGCCGCCGTGATCAAACAGTTCTTCTTCGATGCCGAATTGGACACACTAAAATTACCCACTCTTATCTCCTCACAAATGACAATGCCCCTTTCTGTGTAGGTTGTAATGAAAATTTTACTGTCAAGCATTTTCTTCTTGAATGTCATGATTTTTCACAGGCCCGTAATAGATTTTATTCTGTAAATTCACTCAAAGAACTTTTTAATACAATTCCATCAAAAAACATAATTGATTATTTAAAAGAGATAAACTTGTATTCTAGGATCTAATTGGCTCATTTCTATTGTCATTTACAATTTTTTACATAATATTTTAAGCCTATTATAGCATTCGGCACGATATGGCCAGTTATGTGTTGACGACTATTTCTTCCTCATATTAAGTGTCCTTATTGTGCAACAAAATATTAATTATCCATAAATATCTCTCATATATACTTGTCTACAAAGGTTAGTAAGCCTCATGGTAAATTAGTACTTGTCCATGCGAGATTACATATTTTGAATATATTACAACAATAACTAATTTCTTTGAATTATAAACATACATTTGATAATAAAAATTCACTACTGGTACCATATGATGCCACGAATGTGTATTTAATTTATATTCAAACGCATATTTTAAAGGAAAATAACACACGTTTTGTTTAGTCGAGCAGAATGGCGGAACACTCATGCATAGCACTTTCGCAATGCTCTAACTGTCCATTTTGTAACCGGGCGATTTTACGGTCTAAATGATCGCGACAACTGATGTATGTAGCAAAGGAATAATTTCAAATGAGAATAACATACAAAGACGGAAAGTAAGTTACCAATACTCGTTTGGAAACATTTCTTTTCTTTGTGGTAGATAAACTCCTTAATTGCCTTTCAATTCATGCAAATACATGTACGCAAATCCTTTTTAAATTTCTTAAACATTTGGTAAGAAGAATCTGACATTCGTTGATTTTATTAAAACATTTTTGATCTAGAAATGTTATTAGACTTTCCATGAACCTATATATCTTCTTACCAGATACATGTAACGAACATAGTTCACTAGGTTGATTGTAGGCATACTTATACAGTGTGTCATGAGGTATGTTAATAGTAACGTATGAATAAAAGTTACCGAACATTGATTTCCAAAATCTAAGGAGTGATTTCTATATTTCTGAAAACAGTATACTTGTTACACTTTAAATATTTAACTAGAAACTGCACAGCAATCAATTCTCATTACAGTGGAGCGGTTTAAATCAGACTGAGGTGATTACAAAATGGCAGAAGTGAATTCTAAAATTGTGAAAGGTTTAACTGAATTTTCATGGAATCTTTATCGATTTGCTGCACAGAATGGAGACAATTTTCTTATTTCTCATCACAGCGTCTGCTCTGCTTTGATGTTAACATGCTTAGGTGCGAAAGGAAACACCGCTGATCAAATCTTTAGACGCTTGGAATGAGCGGTATGACTTTTGAGGGATACCACATGGCTTACAGTGTACTAAAAAGTTTCAAAGTTTCAAAGTTTTATTCATATCAAACCAGAAGGTCAACGACCCATGTGGCAAAATGCACAGTACAAATTACAAATATGGCAATTTACATACTAGCATATAAGACCTGCATAAATAATATTAACGAACATATTTCCGTATCAGTGTACGTAAAAGTAAACAAAACTTATTTAGCAAAAGGTATAGAGTTTTGCATATATAACAGTTTACATAATTACAAAACATATAGAAATGAAAACTGGTGACAGATATGAATATAAACTGTCCAAAATACATAGATAACTAAGTGATATATGCAGTTTACCGAAAATACAGCATATTACGATTTTAGTATTTCTGGTAACAATGATTCGCTGAATGAGTAAGATAATATATTATCTGAGAAGACCATATTTGTCAGCCTTGTCCGAAAAACGAAGGCAACAAGATTGACATATGGTAAAACAAATAGTTGCTTAGCAATATCGTGTATACACTAAAATAAAAGATATATTTACTAATTTCATTTTACAATTACTTAAGTTGCACAGTTGACAAAGTTTACTGCACCTTAATTACCTTAATAACGTTGAATGAAAATAGTGTTGTTCCTAACATTAAAAGCTTTTTCAATATAACATGCACAAACCAAAGGAAATTAAACCATTAGGCCTTCGTTTAAAAGATGATTTAGATAAACTTAAAATTAATCCAGACAGTATCCTTCAAAATGACGATGAGGATGTTACACCTTGGACTTATAATTCCCCGGAAATAAATATTAACCTTTCAAATATAAAAAAGGCATCAAATTCACCTGAATATTTCAAAGAGAAGTTTCTAGCAATTAAGGAAGAACATGAAGATTTTATACATATTTATACGGACGGTTCAAAAGAAGGTTGCAAAGTAGGTGCGGCTGTGTTTGAAAATAAGTTTACATCTAGTATGAGGTTACCAGATAATGCATCAATTTTTACTGCTGAAGCAAAAGCTATCGATTTAGCATTGTCATACATAGCACAGCATACCCACGATAAATTTGTGATATTTTCTGACTCGTTTTCTGTTTTAATATCCATTAAAAATAAAAAATCTGACAATATCATGGTAAAGAAACTTCTTTTACGATTTCATGATATACTAAAAACAAAATATGTTAAATTATATTGGATTCCAAGCCATGTAGGAATACGAGGAAATGAAAAAGTAGATGCTTTAGCTAAACAATCATTAAATTTTCAAAAAACTGACTTATTGTTACCTGCTTCTGATTTTAGACCGGCTATAAATAAACTCGTATCAGCTGAATGGAAAGCAAATTGGGACAATGCCGTTTTTAATAAACTTCACGATATAAACCCATCTCTTGATATGTCACCATCTCTATCTCTGTCAAGCCGCCGTGATCAAACAGTTCTTCTTCGATGCCGAATTGGACACACTAAAATTACCCACTCTTATCTCCTCACAAATGACAATGCCCCTTTCTGTGTAGGTTGTAATGAAAATTTTACTGTCAAGCATTTTCTTCTTGAATGTCATGATTTTTCACAGGCCCGTAATAGATTTTATTCTGTAAATTCACTCAAAGAACTTTTTAATACAATTCCATCAAAAAACATAATTGATTATTTAAAAGAGATAAACTTGTATTCTAGGATCTAATTGGCTCATTTCTATTGTCATTTACAATTTTTTACATAATATTTTAAGCCTATTATAGCATTCGGCACGATATGGCCAGTTATGTGTTGACGTGCCGTAAAAATCCAAACAAACAAACAAGACGTTTTATAATAGTATCATTATCAGAGTTCATAAGAGCAATAAATTTTATCATATTTGGGTGTCTCCAATAATATGGCGATATAAACTGCTTTCTTAGGTTAATATATCTATTACATTGTAAAACAAAGTGAAACTCGTCCTCTAAAACATTACATTCAGAACATGTGCGATCATCATAAGGAATAGCCCTTGGCTGGTGCCATCTACCTGTTTCAACACATATAATCTGTGTGATGACATACGTAATCGTGACAAAGATATACGAAACTTTCTAAAATTTAAATATTTAAGTACGGTTTGAAAGCAAAAAATTGCTAATGTTTCTAAAAAAGATTGCTCTAGTGGAATTGTTTAGTCTATCATTCCATTTTTGAACAAACTGGTCTTTTATTCTTTGTTTGACATTTAACAAAAACAGATCAACATCACCAACTGTTTGAAATATCCATGCGTCTATGAAACCCAATTCACAAAGTAAGTTTTTAACTAACGAACACCAGTTTCTCCTATTAGGATAATAAAGAACATCATTATATAACATATTATATACTTTTTTAACATATTTGTGATCTGACATATACAAAATTTTTATCCAATATTTAATAATGTTATAAAGTCTTATGTTTTGTAACGACATGCGACCTAATTCTCCATAAACAAAATCATTTTGAGTTGATTTCTTTACACCCAATAAACGTTTACAAAATTGTGTGTGAACTCTCTCAATGGTAGCACCGGGGTGAAATCCCCATACCTCAGAACAATAATTAAAAATAGGAAGGACTAACTTATCAAATAATTCTAACCTATGTTTTACAGATATATCAGTAAATTTATATAAATATTTGTTCATTTTAAATATTGCCTTTAACCCTTGGCCAGCTAAAGTATTTTGTGCGTCAGCAAAACAACCAGATGTCGTAAATACGATACCTAGATATACAAAACGATTAACGATCTCAATGTTATTTTCACCATATTTAAACTGCAAATTTGCTCGAAGGCGCCCACCTTTTCTAAATATGAGTATTTTAGTCTTTGATGCATTTACTAACAACTTCCATCTATTACAGTAATCATATAGTAAGTCTAAACTAGATTGCAAATCTTTTTCACTATCAGCAAATATAACAATATCATCTGCATATAAAATAAGGAACATTTTAAAGGTATCTACACTAATGCCATCAAGGTTACTATGAACAAAAATGTCTTCAATATCATTTAAGAACATAGAAAATAAAAATGGGGATAAACATTCCCCTTGTCTCACACCTAAGATACATTCAAAACTATCACTTAATTGATTTAAGTATTTTACCCTAGATTTAACACTTGGATACATCGAACGAATTATATTTAAAATATTTCCCCTAATACCTAATTTTATAAGTTTTGTCCAAAGGCAGTCCCTACTTACATAATCAAAAGCTTTTCTGAAATCTATAAAAGCACAAAATAATTTTCTTCCACTATTTATGACATGATAAATAAGCCCATGAAGTACAAAAACATTGTCTGTTGTACCCATTCCTGTTCGAAACCCCGCTTGGGCCTCAATGTAAACTCCATAATTTTCAGCCCATGTACACAGACGATTATTGAGTACCCTAGTAAATAATTTACCTAAAGTGCTTAAAAGCGTAATCCTCTATAGTTATTAACGTCATTTAATGAACCTTTCTTGTGTAATGGCACCACAAAACCCTCAGACCAACTATCTGGAAAATAACCCAACTCATAAATTCTATTGAACAGAGACAATATGAAAGGCATTAATGTATCTTTACCATGTATAAAAAATTCGTTCAAATATAAATCAGGACCTCCACTTTTATTTGAGTTTAATTGTTTAACTGATTTAATTAGCTCCTCTAAATTAAAAGGTACGTTCAATTCATCGAACATCAAACAAAAAATCGTTATTTTCATAACGTTCCATAAAATGAAAAAAATATCTTCATCTGGCACAAAAAATCTATCTTCAGGATTATTAACAGATTTAAAATAGCGTTCAAAATCATTCATAGGTACATTTGAATTACTAACTCCAGATTTTTCCTTCAACATGTTCCAGTATAACTTAGCATTTTTCAACCTAGCATTGACTAACAAATCTGTTTTTTGTTTATCATAATTAAATCTAGCTTTACGTATACAACATTTGTAATCAGAACGTTTTGAAACAAGATTTTGCCTGTTTATATCAGTTTTATCTAATCTATACATATTTAAGGCATTGTAAAATAATTTTCTTTTATCATCACATTCAATGGTATACCATTTGTTATTAAAATTTGAACGAGTATTTTCCCTTGCATTATTTCCAATAATACATTTAAATAAAGGCGACGCAACTCCGTCAATAATACATCCCAACTGGTTGATACATTTATCGATATCTGAATTACAATTTGCAATATCAACATTCAATTGAAAATTATTCAACTGTTCTAATGTACTACTTTCAGCTAATCTAGATTTATACAATAACGTGTTTTCCTTTTTCCACGCATATTTGGTGCTAACATTTTCATAGATTTTGTCATTTCCATCAGTATATGGTGTATAAGTAGGGACATTGAAAACAAAATTAAAATTAATGAGTGCATGGTCAGACAATAAGTTAGGATCACTGATATTAAAATATTCAATATATTCAAATAATATATTGAATATTTGAATATATTACTAAATGATGCCTTGAAGAAAGACGGTAGTGATGGCGTCACGCTAAAAGTTGCTAATAAAATGTTTGCAGGAAGTGAAATGAAGGTTCTTGAAAAGTATGTCCAAGACGCAGGAAAATTATACGCTAGCGGAACACAGACAATGGACTTTGCAGCAAAACCAGATGAAAGCAGACAATTGATCAACAAATGGGTGGAGGATCAAACGAATGATAAGATAAAAGATCTTCTGAAGGAGGGGTCTATAACATCTGATACTAGACTTGTGTTAGCGAATGCAGTCTACTTCAAGGGCAAATGGTCCAAGCCATTTAAACCAGAGAAAACTGTGTCAAACACTTTCTGCTTGTCGTCTGCTTCAAGAACCGAAGTTAAAATGATGCGTGAGAAATACGACATGCAATACACCAGAAATGAAGAGCTGAAGTTTGCTGCTGTTTCAGTACCGTATCAAAATAATGTAGTTTCCATGGTTATTGTTCGACCAGATGACGTTGATGGGTTATCGGAGATTGAACGTTCTTTCAACCAAGATAATTTAGTATCACTTTTGATAGATCTGCGACAGTCGATGAAAGCCAAGGTCGATCTTGGTCTTCCAAAGTTCGCGTTTAAAAAGGCATCTGATCTTACACGTATACTACCAAAGTTAGGAGTGACAGATCTGTTTGATGAATCAAAAGTCGACCTTAGCGCAATGACTGATTCATCCGGTATTGCAATTAATGACGTCATCCACGAGGCATTCATTGACGTCAATGAAGAAGGTACCGAAGCGGCTGCTGCGACGGCTATGATATCAAGGATGATGATGCTTCCGACAGAAGAAGTAGAATTTATATGTGACCGGCCTTTTCTGTTCATGCTGGTACAAAATATGTCTGATCATATTTTATTTATTGGACGCTTTGCAAAACCGTAAATCCGGAACATATCCCTGAGACTATCTCTGCTAGTATTATTAACTGTGCTTAGAGTTGACCTCTATAGTGATTGAATATGATTAATAAACAAATCTTTATAAGCAGGTAACACTTTTAAAGAGCATTTCTTACTTATAAATAAGATTTTTATGTTATCATATTGGTACCTTCGACAACAGTTTTGAAATAGAAAACATTACTCTGAAACAAAATGGATTCAGGTCGGATCTAAAGGATGACTGAAATACTTTATAGTAGATCTAGTTCTATAATGGATAAGTGTCTGTGGAAAAACAGTTTGTAATTATGTGATAGAGGTAATTCATTTGGTTTGCCTGCACAGCATGTTTATGAAGGTTAAAAAAACACAGGGAGAGTTTTCTTTATTATTTATTTATTTAAGTAGTGTCTCAGACAACGTCTGAGGTTTGTGTTTTTGCTGGGTACATTGCTGGCTTGTACCCTTACTTCAATCAGTGTAGATTTAAAAACATTAAACTTAGAAGCATTGGCATATTGTATATTTCCTTTTGTATTTTGTTTCGAACGTCCTGCATCGTTGTTGTTTGAAAGGTACAGCAAATGTGCCATTTACTATCAACACAACGCTCATTTACGGAAAGATTTTCAAAATGGCTTTTCAGTCCGTAATTTTTTATTTTATGTACCTTATTATGTAAATGTATAGCTTATAAATAAACATTGTTTAAACTAACGAAGTAAAAGCACAATCCTTTCACGCGTTCTTACGACAAAACATGATAGTAATGGTTCCAAATCAAATGATTGTTGCGATTAAGTATATAAAAGTATATCATTGTATTTTATTACAAATGTTGCAAATCTCAGAATAACATTCGTATCTTGAACATGTCTCTCAGAAATAAAGAAGTTCAATAAACCACTGCCAATTCTTCAAGGCTAACTTCTGATTTATTGCAAGTTCTATAAAACTAACAAACACCGGCAAACATCCATTCAATAATTAAAATACTAGTTCACAGTTGTTATCATTTGAATACTAGTCGTCTATTTTTAACTGTTTGTTTTGGTGGTTTACCATCTTGTTGAGTTTGTCTTAATTTCTCTAGTGTGATCTTTTTATACTTTAACCAATTCACCCGGATCTGTAAATTTTCTTGTAGCTCTTCATCTGTTGGAAATGGAGATATCTGAAAAAACAAAATGATAAAAGATATAAAAAATGCAAAAATAAAAATATCATATCTGAATACTCTGTATAACATTGTCAATAAAGTCCCTTTTCAATCGTAGTAAAGTCGTTTTACAACTGTTAGTTTGAACTAACTTTTGTTATTTTCTTACGTAACGTATAACCTCTAAGAGATCTTTGAATAACAAACTTCTCGTAGAAGAAGCATTAACCCTTATTATCTCTGACACACATGCCTATAGAATCTAAAAACAGGAATGTTTCCGATGCTTATTTAACAGCCTGCACTTTTACAATTGGGTGTTGATCATATGTAAAACGCATCGTGTTCGAACTTTTAGGTATAATTTTTAAATAATATTTAATTGTCGACAATATTTATTTTTAAAAAAATACTCAATCTTAAGTTAAATAATAAGTTTAGGGGAAAAATCTCCTCGACAGCAATAATAACACTGTAAATATTGAAACAAATGGACTGGTTTTAGACGAGTGTGTTATGATCAGCTAACTGCAACAAGTCAATCATTCTTAGCACCGGTTTATGGTCTTAATCTTCGGAATTTAATAAGATAATTCATTTTAAATCTTGAGAACTAAAACTAACCCTGTTTTCCATAGAAAATCAATATATACCTGTTGTTTTAAGTTCTGCATCATATTAGGATCAATCTGCTCCTTGTAGAATTTCTTATTTAGCATGACACACTCGGCACCTCCACTAACGAGGATCAAACTTGGCTGGTTCTCCAACAGTGTGTGCTGTACACCCTATAATTCATAATTGCGTAGTAGTTTTTAACAGCAAAAGAAGGAAATTTAAATGTACAAATGTAATTGTTTATCAATATATACATATATATACTTTATAACACGGAAGATACTATATATGTGAGTACGTGTATTCTTTGTTGTCATTTTAGTTGACTAATAAACACAACGTAACAGATAGATTCATGTGGTTAATTGTGGAAGAGGACAAAACGTGTCCTTTCAAACTTTGTTTCAAAGCTTTATATTTCATCTGAAAATGTTAATTTTCATGTAGCAAAAGCAAACAATGAATTTTCTACAAAAATGCTCAATAAGTTATATGAAGAACGTTCTTTTTGTTATCTTTCAATCATCATGGACACTTACGAAAGCCTGTCCTTTTGTTAAAGTTTGCACCAGTACAAATTCAGGATCTAGATCTGCTGCAGTTATTTCTTTTTTCTGCAAGAAAAATATCATCCTTAAATGTTGAGCACATTTTATATGCATTTGAGTCTACAAATATTCAGATCATTTATATATAAGAGTTCCTTGATAAACACATACAATATCAATCAAAAACGTATCGTTACGTTATTAGAATGCATCTTTGACGTACATGGAATGCATTTTTGACGTACACTTGCCATAAAAATTGATTTTAAGAAAGAAATAAGAAAATCTATTTAATTTGTACACAATAATAATCGTTATTTTAGTAAAAAAAGTATTTTATGTCGTGAAATATTTCTGAAAATAAAAAAAAGTAAATGAGAAAAACAGATGATGGTGACTTCAACATACACACAAATGCCTTCAAACAAATTAACCAACCAACCAACCAACCAACCAACCAACCAACCAAACAACCAAACAAACAAACAAACAAAAAACAATATAATGCAGTTTTTCTTGAGTTTGCAATGGGTCGAAAAGCTCCAATACGAAACTTGCAAGATAAAACTGGTACTTATGAAAAAATGTGTAAAAAGCCTTTTTTCATAAAGATTTGCAATCAAACTGAATTGAAATGCATGCACAAATATATTGCCTGATATATTGAAAAAGGGAAGGTTACTTAAAATTCAGTTACAACGAAATTCCACAATATCTATCTCGACTTGAAATAACGACTTATGTCCAATGTACATAGTTTGGAACTTTTGGAAAGTTTAAAATTAACGGATGCACGCTTACAGTGCTGTGTATGTACTATTGCATTTCGCCATTTTTAAAATTGAAATGTAGTAACAAAATTATTAAAACATGTTTATAGAATAAAAAATATTGAAAATTTATAACGTAGTTTTAATTGTGATATAAGCAAAATCTGAGTTTACGAATGTTTACATGAAATGCAATGCATGTGAACTTTGTAAACTTAAATAATCAAACGGGTGCACGTGCAATTTATATACCACATCTGTGACAAAGACGTGATGACGTGTACTGATGGCGTTTGGATTGACGTCAGATTGCGCGAGTATATGAACGCCCGAACTATTGCGTTCCGATGTCATCAACTTTTTCTCATGTTCTACATTCTTTAATGAAGATAATTAGCAGTGATATGTTTTACTTATTGCATCTGTTATTATTTCCAAATAATATAATGTATACTATATGTGTATCAAACAATGAAAACTCTAAACTTTAAGCTTGAGAACAATTAAGATGCGAAACTACAAATCTGGATCTAGAATCTACATAGAATTCAATTTAATTTTTTACTTCAAGTAAATTGAGTGTTAAGTTTAAAACGTACCTTCATTCGTGCGGAACTCTCAAAGTCGTCCATTAGAGTTCTTTTTCCCGACGGTACTTCAGGCGTTGGTGTTGGAATGTCTGGTATTAAGATATACGTTTATAGATATATTAATGTGAAGAACATTTGTGTCATGTGATTAAAAATACACAACGATACATGATTGATTGATTGATTGATTGATTGATTTTCTTTAGACCGGGCGGTCAAGGATAACCTACGAAAGTGCAAGCACTTATTTCCAGTAGGGTCCTTACCTCAGCAGACACTAGAGACAGCTATGAGATACAAGGAAATCCGGGAACCAGTCCCTAGCTCTTATTGAATAGATTCCTTGGTTCTTTTACATGCCCAGTGTATAGCACTGATACATGCGAGGATTACCTGGGTTTCGTACCAGTAAACCTCTAGTTAGGTTACATAACATTTATAGATACATAATATTTATAGACGATTTTAGAATATATAGTTATTCCAATGCAAGTCTAGTAATTTACAGCGTAAATACAATATTGGTGATGGTATAAAGGTTCGGATTTGATTTTCGTTTTTAATTTCTTTTGCAAGTAGATCTACCAAACTTGACATGTCCTTCCCATTTTCCATTTTTGGGCATCATCAATCCAAATTATTGCATGTATACTCTATGACAAATGAATGTCATTTAAGCGATTTCTAGTATTCTTTGTATTGATTTACTGTTGCAAAATCGGCATGAAGAAGAATAATTCTTTATTTCGAAATCCACTTATGAACAACAACAGTCTGTTTTAGGCTAAATATGGCTACACCATCTCAATAAAATACAATAAAATACATACAATATAATACACAATGCAATACAATACAATAATACAATACAATGACTGGCATTGAATAATAAAATTATTCACTACTAATATATTAAAGCATATAGATATATCATCTGAATGGTATACCAGTTACATATACATGTCAACCTTCAAAATGACTCACCTAATGAGATATCTGCTGTACTAGGAGTAGAAAACGATGAGTCAGCCCTCGGGGTGGATGCAGTCATCTTAAAATAGAAACAATTTCTCCACACTTTGCCACACTGTGAGCATCAATTAATTTAAAACAATAAATTTATTGTACTACTCTTAAAATTTTTCCCTTATTTACATTTAGAAATGTTGTAAATTGTTCTTTTAAATGTCTACAGTGTACGATAAACAAATTTAGAAACAAGTATACCATAGTTTTATTTCTATATCAGAAATAGATAGAACCAGAAGTTTACATAGACCAAACTTAGTAAAATCACAAGAAAAAGATAAAAAAAAACGTAAACGGTACAATACTACTAGTATGTAGAAACAAAGATAAGGTCTAAATATATGCTTTCTCCTAGTAGTTCGTCAACTGAAATCAATTTGATACTGGCGTCATCAAATTACAATGCTTTAAGCTTATAACATATGAATCTACAATAATTTATTCTTCATCAATTTAAAGAGTAGTTTTAAATTCTGAATTCCTCTCATTCTGTGAATAATATCATTACCTGTAATCTGTTACCATCGCTCTTTGCCGATTGTATATTTCTCTTAGCTTTACTAAATTTAGAATGACCATACGTCTCTATGACACCGCCTGTTGCTGTTCTAGGTCGTATCAAACGCTCGACTCTCTGTAGTAATGGTAACGCTAGAAGATTCTCCTTCTCCTCTACTATACCTCCTGTCTGAAATATTGTCAGGTTTTATTTATACTTCACCTCTTCAAAAACCCTAGAAGTATTAACTCGTAACGCGCTAAAAAAAAAAATAATGGATGATTTTTTTCTTATTGAAATACATTTTAGGTTGATTATACATTATCATCATTTCTTTCGTTCTTTCTTTCTTTTAACACATCTTAATTAAATTATATACATCATATATACATTGTTTAGGAGATATGGCAACATGGTAAAGAAATTTCACCAATATTTATTTTGATATAGCAACCAAACTCCCGATAATAACTTTATTGGAAAGCTAAAAGAATTAAGCATCCCTGAAGAGATCTGAGTCACGTCATGAGTTACCACTGTTCCAAAAATTAATCATTTAATAATATAACTGATATATTTTTTCGATTATAGGTGCATTATAATTGCAAACGTGACATGCTTACTCAATTTTTGCACAGGTAAAGCATTGATTTATTTACAACATTCAAAACTTTGCTTCGGCCTCATTTAAGATTATTCTGCTGCCATTAAGTGTATTGTTAAATAACAAGGCAATTAAATTTGCATAAATTCTCTATATTGACCACACTTATGTAACATAAAACACCAACTTTAAAGAGAACAAATGTATGGTCCTCCTCGTCCGAGTCTGTATCCGGTGACAATGGTGGTGGTAACGGCACGTGATTGTACATGGCATACCGGTGATACTCGGACTCTTGACTCATAAAACAATGGTAGCCGTCCGTGTTGGCCAACTCTGTGTAGTTACCAGTTCTTCTATTTACAGTTGGATAACATTTCTGTAACTTTTTATACACTCGTAAAGATCCCTTGATGAAAGAGAAAATATAGATAAGAAAATATAGTGCGTCTGAAAGCAAGGCACTTTGTACTTAAGTAAGGCATATGGTTCATTACTCGAAAACATCTAAAACAAAATATAAAGAATCCGCTTCTTGGTTGCATGTTGTTATATTGTTCTAGTCCTTCGGGATCATGGCTTTTAAGTGTTGAAATATGAGTACCGCTCAAGCCGGTGATAGGGGGCGTAAGGGATGTTGCACTTTTTCATTATCTCTCATGTACAGACTCAGTCAAGCCGAGTCTGCAATTTTCATGTAATTTTGTTGTGATTAATGCTTCCGAGAGATCACGCTTTCTTCAGATTCTTTTTTCACTGGTGAGAAACAATTTCTCTAAAGAAAAATATTGGTATCTCAATCTACTCGTACCAGACATTTGAAAAACAAAATGTATAAAAATGGTTATGGATAATCCAGGAAAATTAATAAATTATGACAAGACTTAATTAATTAATTAATCAGTCAGTACTAATATGTTATAATCATTACAATGATAAAGATAATTACCGATTTGACTATGTAAATCCAGTCAGACATGTTGCTATCCTTTACCATTACTGTATTTCTTCTGCAATATTATAACATAAACTTAACAAACTGAGTTTTGAAAAATGATCCGTATTTGCTAAATAAAAAAACAGATTTTAAAAATGTTTAATGTTATAATAGCAAACTTTTGTATTTTTCTTTTTTTCTCTTATATGGATAAATTTACTAATGTATATTGGTAAATGTGTAGCATAAGATAAGTTTGCACGGACGGTGAACAGCTGCTATTTGATACCATGTCTAGAACTCCTCTAGTTATGTTAGATATTACATGCTTTTTGGGGGAAATTGCAAATCATATTTTTGTGCCAAATGTAACCGAGCGGTACTTTAGCCTGCACCACTAAAACAGGATTTCGTTGTGAAGTCCCATCCTAAATATTAATTATTTAGTTGGAGCTTCAGTGGTGAGATTATTTTTTTATCACAGTTACCTAAAATAACAAAACTCCAAGGCTTTTGGATTTGATTGTAATTTCTCTAGCGGCCAGTCTCGTAGGAAATACATTGATCTGAAAAAAAGAAAGAGAAAAAGAGTCATTCTTTTGTAGTTTCTTTTACGAGCATGTTATAATTAAAAACAAACAAACAATGACCCAGAGTCTAGCAGGGCATCTTTTAAACTGTTCAATTTGTAAGACTTTGGGAAATCTGTCATTCATAAATAAAACATTGAAATTTTCTTCGGATTATTTTCTCCAGCGATGATATTTTCTCATTATAAATACACAATGCTTAATTAAAGTCACAGTGAATAGTGTTGGGCTGTATCAATCTATCAATATATAAATCAATCAATCTATCAATATATCAATCAATATATCAATCTTAAAACAAATCTAAAGACATCCTTCTATGAATTTTAAACATATCATGATATTACCTCATAAAATTGTTATGGTCCGGATCATGTATAGTTTTTACACCACCGGCCATAAATATATTCTCATATGTCTGGAAAAAAATAAACAACGCTACAAGCATCAGAGAACATATTAATTAACAAAAATGTAGAGGCCCTGCAGTTCTTATAATAAGGCTTTGCAACAAGAATAATTGTTCTGCTTATTCGTATTTTTAATATCTAAAAAATCCATATACTCTTACATGAAAATTTGTAAAATTCTTGTCCCAAAAATTCCATTAATTAAATTTAATATCAAAAGTTGTCTTATTGTTTTCAATTTTCATAGGTAATAATTTGAAAATGGAGTCAAACCCAATAAAATGACGGAGGTACAAATAATGACAAATTCGATAATGTATATAAAATAATTAATTTAATATGATAATTGTATAAACTTACATCACAATCAATGGTTAGAAACTCTGTATATTCCATTGTTAATACAGTAGATTGACGCGGTATTCTATGTGCTATTGCCAACTCCTATAATGAATACAAAATATCACATTATTCTGTATAAAAATATTTCTCCTAATAAAACACTTGTCATTTACAATTTGTGATGAGTTTAAAGTGATATTTGAAAGAAAGAACAATTAACTTTCTTCTAATTAAAGAAGCTACAATGCTAGTTTAATTTCTAAAAAACTGCGGTTGGGCAAACAATAGGCTTGTTTTTCCTGACGTTTATCTGCAATTTGACAAAGAATAATATATACGAATATTATACATATTTGGAAAGCGACTATGCATCAAGACGATAATCTATATCATTTTGTCGCATATTTGATGTGTATAAAAACGAAATCTGGGAATAATGCTGAATGGCACACTATTTTGATACTACTTTTGAAGCAACTTTACCTTTAAATTTAAATGATTGAGAAAACATTTGATTTCATATGGAAATAATCAACCAATATTCAGTGTAAGTAAGCGTCTAGCATTTCTGGCTTAGTTGCGTTATCTTAATGATTATGATGTGGCGTATGGTAGGAAAAAGAAAGTGAATTTATTTTGCTGTTCTCAGGGCGGAATCGTAATTTATTTCGTTATTGTGTCACTCATATAAGTATATCTCAGCTGATTAAGATTTTAATCAAGTATTAATCTTTTTCTGAAATCTTAATTCATGTACATCAAACCATTTTAATTCCTATAATGTCAATTTAAGCTCATAAACAAAACTGTTTAAATATTGACATACAATTTTGCTGAAATGATTTAAATTTTGTATCATTTTGAAAATAGAATTTTAAAACATTGTTATAATCTGAAGGCAACAAGGAATATGATAGTAGAGAATTCTATGTAATAGTTATTGTCTATATACATGTGACAACATATGGTAAAAAATGTTTTAAGTCATTGACTAGCAAAAGCAATTCAGTGTTCATATGTAAGAGAAGTGAGACTGCTTGCAGGTACATGTATACAGTAGAAATCTGTACAGAATTTTCAAACCACACTTTATTACATCAACATTTATTTTATAAAGCATTTGACAGAGAGTGTCTCAATCCAGGAGAAATGAGACTTTCATGAAAAGAAATCTGTGCAAAGTTGTTCAAACTGTGCGTTTGGTTTTTCACCAGCATTCTTTTTAGAAAGCATTTGACAGTTTGCAAAACACAGCATACTGTATATTATACTTACTTCAGCCTAGAAATAGTTTAAACAATACGATATAAAAGAAGTTGACAACAATATATTAATTTAGAAACATGATACAAATTTAAATGCTGAAATATACAGCAAATACTACATATTCTTTAGCTCTAATATTGAAAATTATCCGGTGATATCAATTATCTATTACTAAAGTGCAGTATGTCAATGAAGTGTTTAATCGCCAAAACTTGTTAAAGTTATACAAATGTAGTATGAACTGTTAAAATGGCACAAACATATAGTATAAACTATTAAAATGGCACACATTTAATATGAAAGGTTAAAACACAAATGTATTTTTATACTTGCATATTAAACGACGCAAACGTTGTATATATACACATTTTATATAAACTCCTCAACCAGCAAATATTTAACAGTACAAGTTTTTTTAAAAAAAATGCAGCACTATTTAAAAATACATGATTTAGATACCTATAAAATTGAGACATTTGTACATGTAGAATTTCTATAAACGCTTAAAGAAAACTAATGATATATAAATAAGATTATAAATATGTGTACGTCATATTCTAAATACAAACTCTTGGAATAATAGTCTTAAAATATATCTAATCTAAAATCTTCCCTGAAAAGTTTTTATTTCTCCCAAACAAATTGTTAAAGATTTTCAAATAAATGTTACCCCGAAGTTCTCTCCCCTTCTCAATGTAACTCTCGTTTTGGCATATGGCTCACCGGTGTCCAGCGTCGCTACAACCACTACGAAAAGAAGTATGTTATTAAACCAAAACAGAAATACTTTGTTTAAGGTCAAAGCATATGCACAGCACTTTCCCGTTGTTTTGTCAATTTGAATTTTAAATTTGTCTTTAATGTTTTAAAACGCAATTACGTGATTGTTGTACTATTTATACCTCTTTTCTTGATGACTTTGACTCTGGACGATCAGATCACATCGTGGAATAAGGACAAATTAGGGACTTCAAAGGCTCATTATGCATCTGAAATACTTTTATTTTTATTTCTCAAAAGCTCTTTTTTTGGTGTGCTGTATAGTTTTCAAAAAATTACTCATTGGCAATTATTTGAACTTTTGCTTCTGTTCCCTTGTGGTAACTAGTATAGTTATAGAGATTTAGTATTAAGTCAAAATACTGCTTTGTGTACATTTGACTACTTTTATGACAAAATTATTTCACTATAAGTGCTAGTTTCTTTAGGTTTTAAACGTATAAATAAAGATTAATTCATTTCTGAGGCATAATGTGTATTAAGAATAAAATACCAAAATTTGATTGACGTCATATAAAAGGTTGCTGGTAGACAAACTGAACGATGGCACATGCTGTTAGACACCGTATGAATATTGAGAGCATCGCAAAACAATTATCAAATAAATTTCTTATTCTATAAGTATTGAATTTTTTCTTCTTATTTTTAACCTTCTAAAGATTTTAATTGCAGATAGATATATCTATTTATATATATATATATAGCATGATATACTGGTTATCGCTTGCTCAGCCTAATCTGGAAGAAATAAGCCTTTGTCGTCAGTATAACAGGGCTTGTGTTAGATTTTTTTGTCGAATTTTAAGTCACACCAACACAGACAGAAGAGATCATATGGGTATTTTCTAGCTTTACTGCTGCAGGAAGACATCCGGTACCCTTCCGTGCATTATTTCAGGCTCAATCAATGCCCGTGGGTCCCTGAGAGTTCAGTAGAACCATATTTACCACCGACTTTCCGTAAGCTAGCTGGATAGCTTCCCCACATGAAGGAATCCAAAGTCTCTGTCGGCAAACCCACAGTGGTGAGGGGTAAGTGATTAAAAGTCAACGACCCTAACCACTCGGCCACGGACGTCCAAGGATAAAAGAGCTAGACACGCCTGAAAACCTATACAGTCTGATCAAAATCTATACTGCTTGTAACTCATTTTTTATATTTTGATATTGAAATCCCTTGAAACTTAAAATGGACTGTTCTTATTTCAGAGCAGGGCAAATGAGCAAGCCAAGAATTAAATTCATCATAAAACAAACATTACCTGTCCCATACAAAATGAAGTAAAAATAAAGGGGAGGATGTCCTTGTTTCACTATTATTCGCTTTGGGTCGAAACTGAAAATATATAAACGGCATCTTTAATGTTCATCTAAATATAATCAGTTATGGGTTGAAGACTTCAGTGTCAAAATTAATATGTGAGCCAGGTTTGTACGAGCACAAGATTCTAATAGATAAAACGTTTTTCTACTTACAAAGTAAATTATGCACCGAACATTAAAAAACACAGTTCAGAGTTAGAAAATATGGTTAACATCTGAATTAAATTATGAAAAAAAGTATTCAAAAACTGTTTCTAGAAAAATATCCTAGCATAAACATACACATAGGAGTAGACAACTCTTCGTAAAAACATTATTCTGTAAGACGGAACTATGACAAACATACATATTATATACCTTTGGAACATTCCGTGTCTGGCAAGAGCTTCTTGCATCCGTAGAGGGTAATCTGCTATACAGTCAATACCTCGTAATGCTATCATTGCCTGTTAGAAAATAAATGATTTATATTTATGTACCCTTTTACTGTGTACACAGTGTGTCGTTCGGATCAATCTGTTCTGGGAGTTGTAAGAATACTTTTAAAAGGACATATTAAGTCTAGGCCTTGGATTGTTTAATCTATTTATACAACAAGTAATGCATTGAATTTGATGTATATATAAGAACGCATGTCATCTGCTGTTTAAATTGGCACATATATTTTTACTCATGATGGTAAGAATTATTTACTTACAATTAACTACATGCATAATAGTCGATTTTTTTTATATTGAGTATTTGCCAACTACGCCATACAAAAACTTTGTGCACACATGTCTTAATATGGCATTGTAAATATTATGTGGTTTTGTATGTTGCTATATTACATGGAGACAAAATATAACTTTAATGAGAAATAGGAGACACAAGTATGTTCTTTGATTACTAGTTTAATACTGGAAATAAACTTTTAACTATAACTGTTGCACTACTTTTTAAGCATGCAAATGTATACATTTATGTAATGAGTTTCATGTAACAGACTGCACGCACATGTTTGATATACGCATTAATCTTTTTGTATTACAAAAACATTACATTAACACACGCTGCTGAAGAATTGGTGAAAGGTACGTGACAAAAAGAGTCTTTACTTACATAGTATACTTCTTCCTTTGATCTTTCTTCCGGCTCCATTGTAAGAATACGCCTCGCTTCTTGCGACATTCGCATCTAATAGGTACATACAACATGTGTTATATTAAAAGTTCAAATGTCAAAATGGACATTCATTTTATTAGCTTCATTAATACGACAAAAAACAAATTTCTTTGGCAAGCAAATAGCATTAAAATACTCATTTTTATTGTATATTAAAAGAGTTGTTTTCGTTTATGACAACAGGTTGTGGAAACTCATTTGTTTGGCATCGTGGCTTTGTTGGGATACTCTTTTTAAAAACAAAACATTAAGGTTACAATTTAGTGAATTCTTTGTTTGTCATACTAGTATAAGATTTATCCGCAGTGACTTTTAAAAACGCTTCCAAACCTCCTCTTTTACACGACGATAGAGGACGTACGTGATAAATGTTTCCCGCAGTATCCCTTAACAACCAATAGTCACTTATATTACACCGCTATTTCACATTTTGATGATCTGTTTAATAAATGAGAGCCATCGACACTTCCCTTGTAGAGCCATCGACCAAAACATAGCTAAAAAAGTAAACACTGTTTCTAAAAATATTCGGGTTTTTTTGTTATTTAATTTTAATTGAAGAATGCTGTGCCACATAGAACAGTTTTCTTATCATTTTGGGCGCAGTTCGATACGAAAAATCCCAATGTGTCGTTGTTTCTTAGAATAATTTTAGAAACAATCTGTGTTTATCTTTTACAGCTTTGTGTTGGCCGATGGCTCTTAAACGGATGTGTTGAGAGCTCTCATTTCAACAGATTACCAAAATGTGAATATAATTTGATATTATTATAATATAACGACTCACCTGTTTGTTGGCTTTAAAATATGAGGCTTTGAACTGGATGGCATTATCAGGGTCAGATTGTGAGAGATCGTTGATCATCTGATATTGCATATAGAATGGGTGTGTCTGTGACACCCTGTAAAAGAAAATAATAGTAAAATAAAGGAATCATTGGGTACTTAAAATATATCCTTTTTGTAATTACTAAAACAGAGTAAAATTTATTTATTAAGGCTCATAAAGATTGAATTGAATATAATTTCTTTAGATCGGGCGGTCAAGGATAACCTACGAAAGTGCAAGCCCTTATTTCCAGTAAGGTCTTTACCTCAACAGACTGTAGAGACAGCTATGAGATACAAGGGGATCCGGGAACCAGTCCCTAACTCTTATTGAAGAGACCCCTTGGTTCTTCTACATGCCCTTTGCCCAGTGTATAGCACTGATACATGCGAGGATTACCTAAGTGTCATACCAGTATACCTCTAGGTAGGCGGGAAACACTGAAAGTGTCTCTGACAATAATATACAAATTAAAGACCTCAAGATGGGGATTCAAGATAATAATTGATAATTAATTAAGTTTTGTTTGTTTTTGGGTTTTACGTCACATCGACACAGTATAGGTCATATCGCGACGTTCCAGCTTTACTGGGGGAGGAAGACCTCAGGTGCCCTTCCGTGCATTATTTCAGGCACGAACGGGCACCTGAGTAGAACCACCGACGTTCCGTAAGCTAGCTGGATAGCTTCCTCACATGAAAGAATCCAAAGTCCCTGTCGGGATTCGAACCCACAGCGGTGAGGGGCAAGTGGTTTGAAGTCAAGGACCTTAACCACTCGGCCACGGACGCCCCTAATTAATTAAGTAAATGAATAAATAATAATATGAAATTTATTCACGAGAGGTAAAAATAAAATCAGGTCTCACTCTGAATGACTATGTTTCTTCCACCATCTATGGACCAGCAAACCAAGGCGTACAATAAACTTAAATTTTGACATCAATCGCTGAAAAAAGTTGAAATAATAAATATACTGCTTAATCACGAAAGGACCGTTATCTCTGTTTAATTGTTTAAATACAGTGAAATTTGAATGACAAAAAACAACAAAGGAAATTTATATCAGCATGTGGATTCTTTATCATCTCATATCAAATTACTTGCTTTAAAAAACAGTTGTACTTTAATTTTGTACAAAACATGTATATTGTAGTCATTCCTGCAAAACAGGACATATTTACTTACACGTTTTTGTACCTCTTCTCTGACTGCCATACTTAGAAGACTAGAATTTGATCTTGGATGTGAAATGCTTGGTCTAGATTTATCCATATCCTTCACAACCGAACCTACAGACTGTTTTCGTACTTGACCTTGACGTTGTGCTGTTGTAGAAGATCGACGACGCGCGTTACGCGTGACGTCTGCGACCGTGCTGCGTCTCATGTTCAATTCGTATCCAGACTGTTCGTCGTGCTCTTTGTGAAATCCTTGTGTCCAGTCGTGAATATGCTTTGGGCTATTTCTGTCCACGTTCTTAATGATAACAAAAAAGTATAATATGATTTTAAGATATTTGATATTATTAATGTTTCCAGCTTACAATAATTAATAATTAATACAAATTTGAGTGAAGACACTAAGTTGTGTTAAATAGATAATGTGAAATTGCAGTGAATTTACCCGAATTTTAGAAATATGCAAAATATTCAAAACTCATGCCAAACAACGCGCATGAATGATGAAAAAGCTTGCCAACTGAGGCTGAATTCCTTCACATGTTTGACCCTATGAAAAAGACATTGACTTGTGTTACCAACTTTACTTTGTTTAATTATTATAAAGAGGATATTTGTAAGATAGATTCGTAATTTAACGATATACTCAGATATTACAACAAATGACGTGTAATTTCAGTTATAAATTTCTATTATGCGATTTTTCATAAACATGAAACTGTAGCAATTCTTATAAGATTTAAACCTTGGCAGCTTCGGTACTCCATTTAACAAGTCTAGCAACAGTTCTAAAGTTTAACTTCCGCCCTCTCCGACTTTCAGAAGATTTCTCTGTGCGGTCTGTACTGAGTGTCTTTGGTGTACTCGATGTCCGTGGTGTCGGTGTATCACGTGTCCCTGATTAAACAAATAAATCAACAAATAATCATCAAATCAAATGCTTAATAGCTTACTGTATGTGTAAAAATATCTGCGGAGGTTTCCGCGGCGATATTTGACTCGCGAATTCTTCTTAAGCGCGAATACATGTAAATCAATATACTGTAGACATATTTTTGCTAATTTATTGATATCTTAATAACATGTACAGAACGGGTTATGTAAAAGAGACAAATATCTCCATTCTACACCAGTAGTGTGGGTGTTTGTTTTTTTACAAAGTCTTCAATCTTCAAACTGAAAACAAACAAGCACGTGTGTACAAAATCACTCTTTTCTTCGATGTCTCTTTAATAACAAATAAGAGAAAAACGGAATCCCTAAATCACGCCCTAAACGACAAAATTGAAAATGCTGCAGGCTCTGTTTGATTGGGCTTGTTCATGGGCGATGCTGGAAAGTGCAAGTTACCGTCCAAGCCCTCCAGCAACGACTTAAGCAGAATTTCAACATTCATTAATGGTTATGGTGAAATTTTGAATTAAGAAACATCCGCATACGTGTATATAAAGTTAATGTTTTATAATAACTCACCATGCAATATGACGAATAGATGGGTAGCAATACTACAATTACTATAGTTACACTATAAGGGAAATATTTGTGCCATCCACAACAGCTCAATTTTGAAATACAAATAAAAACCAAAGAACATTCAACAACTTTATGATGTCAAAAAAAAGAAAATTATAAAAAAACAAACTAACGATTAGTCGGACGGATGGGTAGACGGACGTGCATGCGACCGAAATGGGACAAGGACCAGTTCTTGTTGTTTTCTTTTATTTGATAGAGGTCCATTGGCCTCTTTTTCTACCGACCGACTGAACCACTTAACAATAAATTCTACCCAGTATAACCATTGCAAATTGTTCAAATTACTGCCTCATATTACCTGCTGGAAAGTGATTAGGCTGTACGTCCATACATAGTTTAGTTGTCATGGTATATTTTTACATTGTACAAGAGTATGTTTATGAAATGAAGAACAACAAGTTAATGAGATATGTTTGTTTTGTTTTTCTGACTTCATCTACTAAAATGTATATGATATAATATTAATATGATAATCTGACAAAGTTGAATCAAGTTGGAGGGTACTGTGATAGTGTAATTAAGGGGAGAAAATCTCCTATAACACTATTTTTGCTCATATTTTTTTGAAAGCACACACATCTCTTGGCTTTTTATTTATAAATTTATTGAAGTGCTTGGTGATATGTGTATGAAGGTCCTTTACTTATTGTTCGTGTAGGGAAAGGGGGGCTCTTGTCATAACATGGACAAACAACAAAGTTTGACGATCTTAGTCTCCTTATAATTTCGTTAAAGCATTTATTTTACATTGTAATCAGTATATCTAAAAATCTTAATAACAAATATAAATAATTGCTTATAAAATCTCCGTATAACTGATATACACACCGGTTTGTGTTTAGTTAACGTATATTAGAATTGACTTACCTCTATAATTGGTGATTTAAAAGATCGGGTTTATTTGAAAAACTAAATTAAGATAATTTAAAAAGAGTGACAGCGGTCTCAAACAAAGTAAATATTGACACGAGTGGTAGTAACTTGATGTATTTGTAAATGTATTAGTACGCACAAAAATCATGTTATATTTTAGTCATTAAAATACTAATTAACTACTTCTTGTATATAACATTATGTTTTTACTCGACATTTCGCTTTCTTTATGTAGAATTACAATCGGTGAAAATATTAATAATTAAGGCTATTTCTTTACTAACATTTTTAAGATTAACTGTTTGATCAAATGAATTTTATTTATTTATTTGTTTATTTATTTATTATACTGTTTTTACTTGATTCCATGGAAATGATTATAAATGATATATTCTGCAAAATTAACTTTAAAAAATTTGAACCATTTAAATGCATTTACATTAAATAGACATTAAATAAATAGGAATAGTAGAAAGTGATCAAGTCACCAGAGATGCAGTACTGTAAGAAAATGCGAAAAACCCGTGCACTATTTGATTACCTTCCATGTCCATTCGTTTCGAAATATCAGTGTCCAAGTTCATGTTTCTAGTTTCGACAAAAGACCAATGAAATAAACTCGAATTATCTTATTTCACGCTTAAACACTTTCCTCCGATAAAGTTATTCATATTTAACTGTACAAATAATTTATTACGAATAAAATATAACAATTGTGTTATAATAAAACAAGTTAATTTTATCTATGAAATTCTAAAACAAATATTTAAGATATTTTTTACAGATATCTATATACAATTATATCATAAGTAAAACCAACAAATAATTTCGCCTATAAAACAATACACCAACCTGGTTTACGGTCTAACGATTCCCTATAAAAGACACAATCTTAAAACTTTAGTGACGACGGTTGAATTTCATTTCTGTTTATTCGTGTAAGATTTTAGTAAAACCTATACATTTAAACACTTTAACAAAAATCATTATGATTTTGTAAATATAATTGGCTTCTCTTGTATTCTGCTTTTATCTTAATGTAACTATTATACTATTATGTATTGTATTTTCTTTTTAGAGCACAAATCTAATACCGTTGTATGACACTAAAAGGGTGGACATGAGTTGAAAATCTGTTGAAACAGAAAAATCTACAACGATTAAATTATTAAAATTTTTACCTTAAAGGAAAAGCATACCTCCCTCCCAACGGCACCCTCCCCACCCCACCCCCCCCCCCCCCCCCAAAAAAAATAAAAAATTGTAAAGATAATTATACTCGTGAACTCGTGCTGTATAGTACAGGTGCGCATCAGTTATCGTGTGTCGTTTAATCATTCATATTAAAGACTAGTTTATTCCGGAATAAAATCAATTAATACATTCTTAGAGCGATGTAATATTAAAACAGTTGAGTTTTATTCTATTCGTAATATCCAGGTATCGTCATATGTCAAGGAATGTGCTCGTGTCCCTCCTAAAACATATTCTTATTAATAACCGGAATGCATTACTGCTGAAACTTGCAAAAAGGCCACAATGGTCGCTGACTTCGACCTATTAACCCATCACCACTATGGTTTCGAATTCCGCAAAAAAAGATTTGATGAGACTATCAAGCTAGCTTACAGAATGTCGGAGATTCTACTGAGGTGCCTGATCGTGCCTGAAAGAATGCACAGAGAGGTGCTTGAGATTTTCCTTCATATGGCCCAGGAAGATGTACAGGGTATGATTTACAGATACGCTCGTTCCTGGCAGACCCTTGTGACCCAAACAGTGTCCTTTCGACTAAACAACCCCGTTACCGCTTGCTTAAAAGATTAGTAAGTATGTATCACTTTTTTGGTATTGATGCACTTATAATATATAACAGAGGTAGTGGCTAAAAGGGGGAATACATGCATTTCAATAAGCTTGAGATTTGTTCTGAATTATTCCAAGACGCAATCAATAAGTTCTAATGTTTTCTTTCTTACATCTAACAAGATTAACTGCGTGTATTTATCCCGAGGGAACCGACATGAAAAATCGAAGAAAAGAAATAAACAAAATTATTTCATTTGATGTTATAAACATGTCTAATACGTTAATGGCCGACACGGAAATGAGGTTTAACCCGCGGCCTTAATTAAATCACGCTATGTTGTCGAAGAATTGACGATAATAATGGATTTCTCTCATACCAAAATGTTATAAATTCATATGCATTCAAGACTGTCACACAGTAGCATTGTTCGATTTACGTTGTTATTAAATTAATTGCATCTAGCTTAATAGCGGTCAATATTACAAATAAGTATGAAAGGTATTATACTTATGAATTACATGCAATTTATTTTAAAAAAAGATTTGTTACTGTAAAATACTTTAATCGTAACGTGTAGAAAATTTATGTTTTTCCTTAAGAGACAATTATTATGTAGGTTTATATATATTTTCGTGTATATCGTATAACACACAAACGATTTTTTTCCACTATAAAAAACGATAATTTACATCTTTAATAATAGTAAATAACGCACATGCTATTCCTTGTATATTTAATAAAAAAGAACATATATTTTCACGTTATTCTTATTCAATAGATAAGGAAAGAAGTTTACATAAACAAACAATTTGGTGGTTAGTGATGAGCAAGGCTCTGAACCAATTTCCTGTAGCAGATTACTAACTAGCTTAAACAATGCTTTAACTGGGATTATTGCTATATTCGCAAACTATACATTGTTTATGATACAAGTTACAAATAAAAAATTAAAAAAGAGAGAAAAAGAAAATCAAAACACTTACCGATTTTTTGAAATCACTTGCGTTCACAAATCCAATGAATGATTTTAAGTATTTTCCAAAGTAAAAAAAAAAAAAAGAATCATTAGCAAAAAAAGTCAGAAGTATTTAATTACACGAACACCGTCTCATTCATTTGCACACTTTTGTAAATGTTTAGACAGTTTTAGGAGATAGTAAATAACCAGTTAAGAAATGAAATTTAGGAAAAATTCCTTAAACAAATATGAACCGTTAAGTAATTATTTATTTTTCTTATCTCGACATACTCATCAGGTACCCTCAGATCTGAACACAAGGATTAAGACGTGATTTTAATAATACCGCCGACATATATTGTAGTTTTATTGATGAAGTATTTGCAAATATTGGAAGAAAGGCTGAACAGGGCAAAGAAAGTTTGACAGTATGTAAATCAAATTTATACAGTACGGGACGCTTGATAAGCATATTAATGCGATATAATGTAAATGTTTATTTCTTCCCGTCTCTTATTTATTTATTTATCTTATTCTTTTTGTTTAAAATAAATTATACTTCAATTATTTTCTTAGTACCGGACCCGTCTACCTATGAACTACATGTATAATTAAAATGATTTTTATGTTCTTTTTAAATTTTATTGCTGATTCGAAAAGAAGGGTTTTTGTTTTGCTGCACATGTTTAAGAACAACAATATACGCACCACGTACACAATACAGTTCAATATGGTGGCTGATTTGGCACGCTTTTGTGCGTCTAGTTGGCGCTAGCGACAACACGACAAAGCGCCAAACAGCGCGTTGTCGCCCTGTCGTTCTATCTCTAGCGCGGCACGTTGTCGTGCAGCGCGTTGTCGCGATGTCACGCTGTCGCTTGGCTTATAAGCCAATCCTTCAATTTGAACCGAGCGACAATGTGACATCGCGACAACACGCCGCACGACAACACGTCGGTTGGCGTGCCGCGCCGAGACAGGACGACAAGACGACAGCGTGCCGTTTGTCGCTTTGTCGTGTTGTCGCTAGCGCCAATGCGACGCATAAAAGCGTACCAAATCAGCCACCACAGTTCAATGCAATTTTTATGTACCTCATATTTAAAACTTAAAAATCTTGAAAGATTTCACTTTGGCATTTCATGAAATCATTTGCGCGTGTAAATGTATTTGTTATATACATTTCAAACGCACAAAATGCTAAACTGGTCAAAATGTAAGCTTTTCGCAGCAACAGAAAAGAAGCGTATAGCGCGACATAATCACAGTCGATTTTTTAACGAACTTCACTCGGACCAATTTCCCATATGTGGAAATAGTTATTCTGGTGAGAATTAAAGATATTAATGAATAATCTTCACAATCTACCAGTGCTTTAAGGATGTTAAGTACTTTGATAGTCATTTTCTTGAGTAAGACAAGACATCTGAACAAAATTTCGGACAGGGAATGTCAGAAATTCCTGTTTCCAATTAGCACATATTTGTTAATTGTTTTCTTACAAACAATACTGAACGTGTAACCGATATTTTCTTTAAAAAATAAAAGGAATACATTTTATTCGCTTTTGTCAATGCCTTCTCTCTGGTAAGAAATTCAATTTATAACTGCAAGTTTTTCTTATCAGTTTAATTACAAATGTATGTTGAAAGAAAATATTTGTATATTTATAACTTAGCCATTTGAACTCCTGTTTACAGAACCGCTTACAGTTTATTTGTTTTTGTACATCATGCGTTTGGAATCAGTTATTAAAAATCAAACATACTTTATGTTATGCACCTGCACGCTTATACATTTTTCTACGTACATGACAAAAAACCAACGCAGTAATGCTTTATACGAACATGGATAACCAGCTGACGCATCTGCGCATTGAACATAGGTCCAATGTGGTTCGCTAAAAACTCTTTAAAGAATATAGAAACTGATAAACAGATTATCTAATTAGACTGCGTGAATAACAATGTGCTGTCCAGGGCTTCGCATAAAGCATCATTTTATTCATACCGTTCAATAATTTAGATAAACTACATCAAAATCCAATATTAAACCCTAACAGCTGGGGACACTTATTCTACAGTACAATCAGTGTAGACTTAGATCAGCCGGCACACCCGTGGTCTGCACTGTTCGCTAATCTGTCGCTACATATTTTGAAATGATGAATGGTTTTGTACAGACTGAAAGATAAACAAGTCCATTCATATTTGGCATGGTAAGGCTTAATGGTGTAAGCGTCGTCAATTTGAATGGAATCATCTTATCTCTCTTCCACATTGTAGAAGTAAGAATAACAAATGGCAATAACACAAAAAAAACAAGCAATTATCATAGTATTGCAAGCAATCCATAAGTCCCCTACCGGTTAGAACCCCATCAACATTCTGAAGGGCCATTGGCCATTCACTAATGTTTCAATTTTTCTCTATTTTAAGTAAATTTGTTGGAAAAATTCTTTAAAAGTGATCACAGGAAACAGACAGACAGACGGACTGAAGGACACTCTAAAGTTAATATTTGAAACATCCCTGTTACCAAAATATAGCATTTTAAAAGTAAAATTCTTAAAGAGGAGATAACTCTTGAATTAAAGATGCAATTTCATAAAAATTTTCAGCTCTTTTTGACTAATCACAAATATTGCTATATTTGCCATGTTTTAAGCCTATTTGTTGCCAAGGCAACCAATATTTTTTCAAAATAGGAAGAACAGATAAGACATGCATAATCTCAAGACTGCCATCTACCCATATGTCAAGTTTCATAAAAATATTTCCAGTACTTTTTGAGTTATCACTGGATTCAGTTTATGTGTAAAATTTGCCATATTTTCAGTCTATGTGTTGCCATAGCAACCAGAATTTTCAACATAGGAAGAAAAGAAAAAGACGTGCATAATCTCCATACTGCCATCTACCCATATTACAAGTTTCATAAAAATATTTCTATTACTTTTTGCGTTAACACTGGATCCAGTTTATGTGTAAAATTTGCCATATTTTCAGTCTATTTGTTGCCATAGCAACCAGAATTTTCAACATAGGAAGAAAAGAAAAAGACGTGCATAATCTCCAGACTGCCATCTACCCATATTTCAAGTTATTTCAAGTAAACCGGTAGGGGACTCATAAGAAGTGCAGAGTACCGGTTCTTGTGCACTGCACTGCACTTCTTTTTACCCTATGAAGTTTCAAGTCCATAGCTTTTATAGTTCAGGAGAAATGGACCGGATAAAATTAAAGTATGAAAATTAACAAAGGGCAATAACTCAAAAATAAGAAATGCAGAGAATCGGTTGTTGTGCACTGCACTTCGGGTTATTGAAAGAAGCATGCATACCAAGTTTGGAGTCAATTCGACTTATAGTGACTGAGTTATGCTCCGGACAAGCCTTAAGGGACACCGAGGCCGACTAAAAAAATAACCCTTTATGTCGCCTTTTTAAGGTGACACAAAAACCATTTAGTGATATAATTCCTGTAAAACCTATTTACATGCTAAACTTTTCAAAGGAAAAAAGGGGTAAAATGATTTGATAGGAATCAAGGTAGAATAATGTTACTTGGACTTTGTATCTTTATCATTTAGTATAAGAAGTGTTTGAGAGAAGTTTGAGGACGGTTTACTTTCTCAAATACAAGTATAGCACATGTATTTAAGTGGCCATAAATTAAGTATATATTATTAATAATTTTACAAAAACTTAGATTTACAACGTTGGTATTACTGAGGAAACAAGGTGCTTCTTGTGGGGTCTATATATCATGACTTGAGGTAAATAAAGCGATGACCTTTTTGAGTCTTTTTCTTCAGCTGTTTCAGATCATGTATGCTTGAGGGCTGTAAGACTATTAGCTGATTTCATAAAATCCCCAAATATCTAATTACTCTGAATTAAAGATGAACAGAAGAAATATGAACAATGTGAAATTATTAAACAAAAATAACAACAACAGTCTAACCCTTCACTTTTATTTTACCAATATTAATTGATTTTTGATGACAAAATTTCAAGAGAAAGTAAAAAGTGTTGGTTGCTTTCACCGAAAAATGATGTAGATTATCCTTATTATTTGACATTTGAATAATTTTCTTCTCAGAATAAATCCTTCACTTTTGAAGCAAAACATCTTTTCAATTACTGGCAAATTTTTAAATTTTGACCAACACTAAATTTTAAGTAAAAATAACATTATGAAGTAATATGTGGTGATCAGGAAATGTGTAATGTAATATTTATACAGATGCATGAATTCATGACTAAACCCATTCAAAATAATGGTCTGTATTTTTGAAACCATATTTACAAAACAATGACTTAAATAATTGAAGGAAATCAATAAAATTTGTACAATAAAAGTATATAAGCAATGAACTTGCCATACTTTGAACAGTTTATTATCAATTTTACAAAGACTGCATTACAAAAATACTTATACTCAATACCAAAATACTTATATTAACTTAATATTGAAAACCATATAAATTTTAACAATAAATACATCCAAATTCTTTAAAGCACAAGTTCATTAAACAAATTTAGCCTCGAAATGCTTAATAGAGCACAAAGCTGTACATCCAAATTCTTTAAAGCACAAGTTCATTAAACAAATTTAGCCTCGAAATGCTTAATAGAGCACAAAGCTGTTGAATTTCAGATCATTTTTATACAATGTTGGCTTGATATCCCCAAAATCTATAATGGACAGTTTTAAAAAAAACGTAAGTACATTTTAGAAATCCAACAAGTTAACCTAAAATATTATTCTTTTTTCCAACATTATGGATAATATATATGTCTTTAAAATAAATCTATTGACCAAAAATCCTTTTAACTTGTAATATATCCCTGAAAAGCATAACCCTAAATACTACAAGAGTTAAAGCTGCACGCCTCCAGATGAGCAAAAATATTCGATAAAATCAAACCTGTGAAAAATGTACTAAGATTTTAGAAAAGGTATAAAGACTCAAAATTCTAGTAAAAATGTACATGTTTTATGCGATTAATGAACAAATTTTTCAGTATGTATAACTATATTTCTACTGCATTACTAACGCAGTAAGGGCTATTTTTGCATAATTTGACCTCTTTATAGTAATTTACATAGGTTGTAAGTGCCATAGATAATGTGTAAATTGCATTCTTTTGGTAACTTTACAATATTGTACTGTTAATAACATTTTCAAAATTTTCACGAAAATCATCATGAATCTGAAGATTTGCTGCTTTAACGAAAATTTAAAATAAGTTAGAAATTTAATATCATTCTAACAGGTAGCATCCTATTCTTACTTTAATAAATCACTCACACCTTGATACTTCCCAAATGTCCAGCACCATTGCAGTATACTTATAACATACACTACATACATACATTCTAATAACAATAACAAAATAACATGATGTTTAAAAAGAGCCTGTAGATGCATTATGTATTAATTAGCCAGGATATTGCAGTGAATCATCTGTAATAGATAATATCATATATATCTCACTGATTGTGTGTGTGTGGCTACAACCAGTTAAATACAACTAATACAGTGAAACCTCAAAGAAAACAGAAGAACAAAATTCAGTGTCTTTTTTAGGATTTGAAAAACACTATTTTTATTGAAAAGTGAGACTTTTTTAAATTTGTTGATCTTTTTCCCTCTTTCTCTATGTAAAATTTCCCCCCCTGTCTCTGAAAAATAGGGGGGGGGGATTCTCAAAAATATGAGCCCCCACCCCCTCATCCATTTCTAGAATAGACATTGAAAAATGTTGTTGTTTTATAGATCTATCAACATTATAAATGCCACATATTGTATTTTCAGCTATATACAACGATCATATCCATACACTGTGAAGATAAAATATTTCAACAAATGAAAATAAAGGCTTAAAAATACTGCCACCTTTGTTGTAGATAAAAATTAATAATTTTTCAAACCCTTACAATAAGGCCATACTTATTGCATCCAAGAATTGCAGAATAAACATTTAAATGACTTAGTTTCTGAACAATATATTAAAGCATCTGTCAACAGGCACTATTGTGTCAATAACAATTGTGCATCACAGATAGAGTTGAGAAATTAAGTACATATACATAATATATCATATTTAATACATATAGACACATACAATAGATGTTATATGGAATTCGGCATGTGTGGGTTTTCACCATATAATCTTGGGATACAATCATATTTTTACAGATATACATGTAGCTCTGCAATAATGGACAATGTGTTGAGCTTATTTTTGACATATCTTTTAATTATAACTGTGACACCACCAAGTTAAAATAACTGTAAAAGTCTGTTTGAACCCCTCAGATTAAATGTGAAATTACCAAATATTCTAAATTCTAGAATAACTCTATTTTCAACATGAAAATATCACAAAATAATTATGCCTTGTTCTGTAACTGATAAACTTTATATTATATTCCAGTTTACAGTTACTTGACATTATTAAAACAAAATACATTTATACTAAATATAACATGTAATCATTCAAGGGGTCAGTGCAAAACTATCATATTTACTTCTTAAGTAGAGGTAAGTCAGTGTTACGTTGAGCCCTAAATATGACACATTATCTTTTTTTTTTAATCAGCATTTAATTCATTACTGGCTACTTTGAAAATAAAATAAACCATTAAAAAATTTAGCTGTCATTTTCTAAATACTTAATTTGGAGTAAAATCTTGTGTAATTTCTATGATCATCATAAATATCTAACCTCCAAGGGTTTGTAGATATTTAATCATACAGCCGAGTTACACATCAGCACATAGAAACTACACAGACAGACCCCAAACACAGCAACACACTTGAGACTTATATCATTATATCCCCATATTTCACAGCAATAGTATGTAATGATTATATTTAAGGTAACATATTTATACATGTAGCAAGGTCACCAAAATTCAATAAAAATGTATTTCATAACTTCCTGTGTCTTATAAAAAAGAAGAAAAAAAGAATATTTAAAACAAAGGCAACGTGCCAACTAACACCTATTTAATTGAATACAAATATCAAAAAAAGGTAAAATTAAAATAGATTTTAAATCACGTTCAGATTAAACCGAATGCAATAAACTTATTCAAAATCTCTCTTTGGCATATCAACCAGGAAATATTTTCATAAGCACTGGTATGAATGGCTCTGTAACAGACCTATCAAATAGTGAAAGATCCTACGTGTTAAGGCATTTTTTTTTCATATTTCAATATGAGCAAGTCAGGTACTCTTTTCTTCAAAGTAAAAAAAGAGAAGTGAGCTTAGCTCTTCAAACTCGATACAGCTGCATATGGCACTAAATAATTTACAACTTTTTTTTTTAATATTTCTATAATTATGAACTTATTCAACTGCTGTTACAACTTACAGAGTGTTCATTTCAAAATCGACATGAATATTTATAACCCATTCATGTAAAAAAATGATTTGCATATCTGCATAACAAACACTACATACAGAATTAGTTTGCAATTTTATCTTAATAAATCAATATACCCTATCCAGCTGGTGTTATTTTGTTTTATTTGTCTTGTTTTCAAAATGCAGTTAGAACTCTTCTCTTGATTTACAACAACACAGACTACAATCTTTATGAATATAAATCATTACCATACGACAAAAATAGTTCAGTCTGTTCACTTAAGTTCAAACCTATTGCACTACTTCAACTCTTGTAATCACTTTAACCTTACAACTACTTCCTTGTATCATGGTTGAATATAAATGTATCACATCATTTTTTTTTTCCTCTCAATAGTCTGATTGAAGCCATCTTTAATATTCTAATAATCCAATAAGGTGAATAAGTCACAAGTGCATAGCTGTTTGGAAAGTTTGTTGATTCCCCGAATGTCCTTGACAAGTTACTATGGTAACAAGAAGATCATTGGGGAATTACCGACCTCATCCTCCGCCAGCCATAGGAGGTGCTGATGGTCCCCCTGAAAGAAATGAAATATAATTAACATAACCATGATTGTAATTGATACAGGAAAGAAAGAAAACGCAAAATTGAAATGTAAACAAAATGTTTCAGCATTTAATTTAAAGGCCCATTATGCTTCAGCTAAATTTTTTTATCTCTCAAAATTTTTATATTTAAAGTACCTTGTAAAAGTTTCCAAAACAAGAGCTGTTACACGAGACAGGGTAGCTAGACTAAGTAAATACTTGATGCAGTAAGGAAGACAAAACTATGAAAGAAAAATCAATGATGATATAAATAAATTTCTTCTTATGACAAAACATTATAAGTGTTAACATTATTTTAAAATTCCAAGTTCAAGGGAGAAAAACTGGAAACAGTCACACTAAAGTTATGGACCTTGTCACACAACACATGTAGAATGATAAGAAGAAGCTTAAAGAAGATACATTAAAAAGTAAAGAAGTTATAATATTTCTTAAAGAAAATTCTATGTTCAAAGGGAGATAAATCTGAAAATATTGCTTCAAGATTTATGAACCTTGTCACATTAAATCTGGTTGATGATAAGGAATATGTTTTTGATGTTTGAGGTAGATACTTTTTAAAACTAAAAAGGTTATGGTAAAAAATAACATTTTTCAAGTAAAATAAGTCGAAGTAAATGGGAAGATAATTCTTGCAATATTGGTGCTAGAGATATGAACCTTGTCACATAAGATGTTGTTAATGATAGGAACATATATTTGAGTATTAAGTTGATCTCTTAAGAAATAAAGAAGAAACAGTAAAAAATAATAATTTTTAAGGAAAGTTCCAAGTTCAAGGGGAGATAAATCTGAAAATATTGGTGCTAGAGTTATGAACCTTGTCACATAAGATGTGATTAATGATAAGGAACATATATTTGAAGTCTGAAGTTGATACCATTAGAATGAAAACGTGATAGTAAAATATAATATTTTTTAAGGTAAATTCTAAGTTCAAGGGCAGATAAATCTGAAAATGTTGGTACTAGAGTTAAATAACGTGTCGTATAAGATGTGGTTGATGATAAGGAACATATATTTGAAGTTTGAAGTTGATACCTTAAGAAATGAAAAATTCATCGTGAAAAATATTTAACTGCACCAAATATAGACGCGGACGCCAGGTTGAGTAGGACAGCTCTCCATATATTTTGTATAGTCGAGCTAAAAATTACTCAGTGCCATAATATTATATATAAACTATCTAACATGCTCTTAATCCGTTAAAACATTTAACATTATTAAACATGTGCTTGACATTTCTAAAGAATTAAAAATATTGATTTCTGAGACATAATTTGCCTTTAATAATACTGGTTTTTACAATTACCACATTACATGTTCTTTAAAATCATGAAATACAATCAAGAAGTTTTCTTTAAAAGATAGATTAAATAAGATAGATTAACTTTATGAAATGAGTACAATAGTTTCAATAGGATTACAAAAATAAGACATTTATCTTATGAGTGCACCTTAACTCTGTACCAGTAATGCTCAATACTTTAATTCAGATTTTACTAAACAAACTTACTACTGACCTAACTAAGCGTTTTTAATATTGCACATCAATGCAATTCATACAAAATTCATTGGCCAGGTCATTTCTTCTTTCTTTTTTTTTTTGTTTGTAAATAAACTACCCAAGTAGCTTACTTCTAAGTATTCAATTTGCTCAACATGTACATTTGCATTTTGAAACAAATACAGTTTCAAAGAAAAAGAAGTTACTTCCCTTTGACCACAAAAATAGCTATTTGGGTTATAAAGATGGATTTCTGTTAAAAAGAAACGTTAACACTAAGCCTTCCTCTTTCAAAGAAAATAGTCCTGTGAAAAACCACTGACAAATCATTTCAGGACAGTGCCACCCACCCTTTTATTTACAGAAGCCAGGGTATGAGTCATAAGATATATTACTAAATGTGAAGTTAACTTAAAGAGAGAAAAAGAAAATTACATTTAATGTGAGGATGACATTATCACTTAAATGATGTAGGCAGAAATTTTAAGACCTTGTTTCAACAAAAATAACAGAAATAAGTACTTATATATTCTTTGCATACTTTTTTGAGAAAAATAAAACCTATAACAGTAACTATAAGTTTTTTTGCACTTCAGTAAAATCAATACAATAGAGTAAATAAATCAAATTAAAAGCTGTCAATTGGTGTTGGTGTTTGGGTTTTTTTTTGTTGCTATCTTTTTGCCAAAAAAAAGGGGGGAGTAAAGGTGTTTCAACTTCAGAAATAAAAGAAGACAGATAAAAAACATACAAACAAAACAAGGTCACTTACCTCCGCCTCCCCTAAATCCACCCATTCTACGTCTAGGACCGCCCCTGAAATATTAGAATACAAACATATGACAATAATCAACAAATAATTTACACTGTTTCCAAATACATACACTTGCTAATTTCAGGCTACTTTAAATTTCAAAACAATTTCTCTTCCTCAATCAATTTGCCATAATACAATGTAACTATTATGATGTGCATTTTTGGCCTGTTTTTTATCAGTATCTTTGCTGTTACCCCACTGATTTTGAAGTAATACATTAAGGCACAGAGAACCTGTAATTGTACAAGCTATCCAAGGTATACCAAAATTAAGAAAATCCTGGAATGGCTTCTGAGAGCATTCATAAAAGTTATTTTTTTAAGTAGCTAGGACTGAGGGAAACGGAACGAACTCAAAAATTCTACTGTTTTTTCTCACTGTTTCCAGTCCAGCAAAAACAAAGTTTATCTCTATGGCAAACAAGTATTTTTTTAAATAAATTGTAACAAAATACCTAAAATAAAATGATTTGAGAAATAGAAACAATAGCATATAGGAGGTATAATGGGCCTTTAAGCAACACTGCTTTGTAAATAAGGAAATTCTTTAAATAATAAATCAATAAAGGGCTTATGTAAACCAACAGAGTAACTTTAAGAGTGGGAAATACATGCATATGTCAAATGACTTGCAGAATGTTTCTTAAAAGTACATGTACATCAATATTAGGATATAAAGAAGATTGAAACTGAGCCGCGCTATGACAAAACCAACGTAATGCGTTTGCGACCAGCATGGATCCAGACCATCCGCGCAGTCAGATCAGGATCCATGCTGTTCGCTAACAAACCCTATAACAAGTAGAGAAACTGATAGCAAACAGCATGGATCCTGATCAGACTGGGCAGATTGGTCTGGATTTTGCTTGTCGCAAACGCATTACTTTTGTTTTGTTGTGACGCGGCTCAACTGGTAAAATAAATTCTTACCCATCTCCTCCAGGTTTGTATTCTGTTGTGTAACTATTTCCATACTTTGTTTTACTTGGCTGAAAAATATAAATGAGCCTCGCCATGAACATTAACCAGACAAAAATGCATGTTTCTTAGCTTGAACAAATGATTAAGTAGGTTCTTTTTTTATGTAAAATCGCTATCAAATATATCAACAAATACATAAATGTACTCCTTCATGGATTATCATTTTGTTTCTGTAAGACAGTGTGCCAAGCTATTCATTTATAAAAGTGGCATAACTCTATAAAATATTAACTCAGAGTTATAGGACCTGTGCCCATCACGTAAGATATCACAGAGAATAAGTGTGTGAAGTTTCAACCCATTCCCTTCTGAATCAGTAGCTTTGGAGATAGCAACTTGCACACAAAACTTAACCAAAGTGTGATGGTGACACCCGGGAGAGCACAATAGCTCTCCATATTCTTCAAATAGTCAAGCTTACAATAAAGATTAGTATTCATCGTTTCTTCAGTGCCACCAATATCACATACATGTAATTATATCAGCCGCGTCACAACAAAACCAACGTAATGGGTTTGCAACCAGCATGGATCCAGACCAGCCTGCACATCCGCGCATTCTGATTAGGATCCATGCTGTTCACTATCAGTTTCTCTACTTGTAATAGTGTTGGTAAGCGAACAGCATGGATCCTGATCAGACTGTGCGGATGCGCAGGCTGGTCTGGATCCATGCTGGTAGCAAATGCATTACGTTGGTTTTGTCGTGACGCGGCTCATATCTATGTTAATTAAAAATAAACAACAAATACTTACAGAAATCAATGTTTGGAAACTGAAAATAAAAAGTTATCAAAATTAATAAACCTCCAGAGTAAAAATGAATAAAACATACTTTGTACATATGATTTTGGTTGAAATTCCTAATTAACAATATTATTACACAACTTAGTTCAGTAACATACAAGTTTCCAACAACCTATTTATCAATACATTTGTATTCCCACATGTATACCTTAAGAAGCTTGATGTGCATTGCACCTTTTACTTCCACAACACAATGCAATAATTTTCAAATAATAAAATCTAAATAATGATTTTAGTCACATTTGACTGTCTCCTAAAAACTGTTATCAATTAGACTATCTGAACTCTATCAGAAATACAGTAGAGAAATTTAGTTTTTAACTTAATCATAATCATCATCAGAGATCTTCATCATCATCATAACACTTCTATTCTGAGTAATCAAACCACATTCTATAATATGCAGTATCAGTATTTCTTTGTCATTAAATTCTGAATACTTACAATAAAACTATGAAGTTAATAAATCCCCAGAAAACTTCTGGAATAAAAGACAATCTCCATGGAGACTTGGACTCTTGAACTTGGCCTGAAATAATATTAAAATATCTAAAAAAATCTAGAACTTCTCAATCTGTGAGAATCATTTAGGTCCTACAGTACACAATCATTTCATGCTTGCTATGAAAGTTTCTGTTATGTATTTCCTAGTAGGTACCCTTTGCAAATAATTTGATTTTCGTGTATTTTTCATCTGTTAAGTGTTTTAATAAACTATTGCACCTTTCATGTTATACTAGTACAGTATCTCAATTAAAACAGAGTCCGAAAATTCCTTGCTTTTCAATCTTAAAATAAAGACATTTAACAGAAAATGATGAAAAATCTTGGAATTAACCAAAATCAATTTTTCCATGTTAAAACTTGGCCTTAGACATAAGGTAGCACACCACAGTAATGTAAGCCACAGCTTCGGATGGCCAGGGAGGATTTCTTGGATATAGTGAATATTCTGGATTTAAATGACTGGTTGTCTTCAAAATGCATTTTCAGCATGAAATTTGTTTTTGTGACATCTAATATGATGACTGGCAAATTCGAAAACATGACAAGAAATCACATGCTGTTGATTATATATGTCAAGGCCGCCATTTTTTGTAAATATTGCTTTTAAAGAGCATGCACAGTAAAAAGATGTCATTTTACAGGGGGGTACAAACTTTTAGCAGTAGCAAAAAAATCTACAAGGTTGAGGACTTGTTTCTTTGTGATATTTTGCATGTATAGGGAGTTGCTAAAGCAGAGACGGTGTTCCTTTAGCCTGTATATTTGCAGATATTTTTTGCCAGGGGGATGAAATGTGTTGTTTTGGGTCTCGGGCCACAGTAGATTTTGGGCTTCAATGGGCTGCCTATTGCAGATGGGATAATTTCTTTGTAGATTTGCAATCTTATGTCATTTATGTTCTCAACAAAATGGGTTTTCTTTTTCCAGGTTGTGTAGTTTGGTATCAAAATTATTAGACGTATTGCTTGTAGGACATTGACGGCAGGAACTTGAAATAAACTGTGGAGTGCTACCTAATTTTGAAGAAAAATTGTTCTTTTGCTGCATTTTTCATTGTTTTCATTAACCCATTTCTGCATGCATGAGCATTTTGTGAGAAATGACAGTTTTCATTGAAAAGCCTCCTAGCTGTTACAAGTTCAGATTGCTATGAATCAATATTTATCAAACTTTGCACAAATGTTGACTGGGCCATAGCCTTTGTAACAGCATGCTCAAATTTCCTGTTACCATGGTAACGAGAGGACATCTCAAAATTGCAAAAAAAAACTATTTTGCATTGATTTTTTCGATCCAAACTGATTTCAAAGTTCTGCAACTTCTTTTGATTGAGATAGTCAAAGGCTTTTAAGATTTTGTTACACATTACCTTTTGATCGACCTGAGGCACACAAAAAGTTGGCCGAGTTGACCCAGTGAATTTTTTTTTGCAATTTTCAAAACAACCTGTGGCTTTCTGAAGGGGAATATATAGCACGATAAATCAGAAAAGGGGAAATCAAATACCAACAACTGAGAATGGAATTTACCCAACATTTTATAAAATTTTCAATTTAATATGCATGGTACACGGCAGAGGCTATCTATAGGAACAGCTTTATCTGCTAGGTGATATTAGTCATATGCTGTTAAGTCATGGTTCTGGTGAAGAATGTGCACAGGGCATTTAAGGGGAAAATATTAGCATTTTTAGGGGAAAATATACATATTTTGGGCTAAGGGGAAACAGCCTTTATTCGGCTGTAAAACACATGAAAATAAATCACTGTGACCCATGCTAAGTTGACCTTTGCTGAGTTGGTAAAGGGCCGAGTTGACTCTACTTTTTTTCATGTTTAACTGATAAACAATATTATAAGGTAAGCATAATCTTGCAAATTGTTTATTTCTTCAGTTGTTGTGTGTATTATATTCAGTGATTTACCATTGAAGACATTTAAATTCACTACTTTGTCTTTTCTAAGTGAAACTATTTGTATAAAAGGCGGAATATGTGTTCCCCCAAGGGTAAAAAAGCGTAGAAAAAACAAGCAAATATCCGAACACAGTTACACTAGAGAATCTACTGGTTTCCTAGCAGTTTCCGTCTCCTAGCAGTTTTCCGGCCGTTTATCATTTTCGTCCAGTACAGTCTATTTTTTTCAGTAAGACTAAGGCATCCACATTACTTCATCAATCAGAAAGACATTTGTTTTCTATGATAAACAGCATTTGAAATAGTACAACGATTTATATGTTTTGAACTTTTGCCTGTTATTTAAAGTTATATAAGAGAACTTGCGACTTTCAAAAATAAGCAACACCTGGGGAATTCTAGTTTGAATATCCATGCGCAATAACTAAGACCCCATTTTAGGTAAATCAACCTACATTGGAAAATATTTTTGCAGACGACACAGAAAAGGTTGGGAAGTTCTGTTTGTCTGATAAAATCATCTTAATATTCCTTTATGGTACTGAATTATATTCAAAATAAAAAAGGTCCAGGAAACTGCTATGAATTTTTGAATAAAAGAGAAAAAGGTGTTTACATTTCAGGCCTATATTCAAATTAAAAAGTAAAATGAAAGTGCAACGCAAACTAGTCAAATCGGCCCCAAGTCATATCGGCCCCAAGTCAAATTGGCCCCAAAATTAGTCAGATCGGCCTCAAAATTAGTCAAATCGGCCACACAACAATTTTAAAAAGTCAAATCGGCCCCAAAACTAGTCAAATCGGCCCCAAAACTAGTCAAATCGGCCTCAAAACTAGTCAAATCGGCCCTAAAGTTATTTTTGTGAAACATCCTATTTTGGTTAAAATAAGGTTATTAACCGAAAATTTCAAGGTTATTAACTGAAAATTGCGCTTTAACTTAAATGAACAGCTGTACCAATTAAAAATTCATTACAAAATTGAAACATTTTTGATGATATGATTGTTGATTGATTTCTACATTTAATTACAATTAAATATCTTCATATAAAGGCCGGTCTGCGTTTTGAAGATAAATAATTCTGTGAGAAACAAACAATTATCACGTGTCTTTAATCAATTCAGTCATTGTCTCAAATTATCATGCATTGAATTCGGCTTTTTAACATACAATTTTGTGTTAAGTGAATTTAATCAGGTATGTATAAAATTACTTACTTATATATAGTTACTCAGTGATCTTTTGTGCATTGATTATTTTCCTTTAATTTTGGAGATTATTTACGTTGATGGATTGTAAAAAATTGTTATTTGTTCTTTTTTATAATTTTATTAAATTAATAAATTGTGAAAAGTGTTGGTTATTGAAAATGACTGATAATTGTATAGACTGTGGAAGTGTTGTGCTGAAACGGCAGGAGGCAGTCACTTGTGATGCTTGTGAAGTTGTGACAGATGGCAACATAAAAAGTGTAATACCTATGATTTACTTTAATTGACAAAACTTATCAGGAATACAAATATTGCTGTTTTATGTGAAAATATATCATCATGACTAACAGCTATAAATACTTAAAAATGATGGTGAATTAATTGCCATAGCAAAATAAGTAAAAAATAAAATTTTAGTTTATTTCTAAATTCAACCTTTTAAAAGAGTAGTTTTTAATTTAAATTATAGTTTATTGATAAAAAAATAAATGCAATGCTACTGGATTAACGAATGCGTGATGCAATTAACGGTAATTAAGTGTGAACAAAGTGCTACCTGATTAAACGTGACGGTACAAAATTATGTGTTGTTATAACTTAATTTGATTTGTCGCACATGAGTGGATACAGAACACACAGACAACATAGATATATATAACATATATGAATGTATAATTTGAGAATTATTGATGGCCATCATATATAAGCGTAAATTCTCAAACTGCCCCATTTATATATATATATATAAAAAAAAAAAAACAAAAAAAAACACGTAAAAAACCTTTTATATAATTATGTGAATAGATCTGTTTGAATTTATTATAACATGATTTCTTGGTGCATGCATTATAAACAGAGCTGCATCAGTACTAAGGGTGTAGTACTTAAGTACCAGTACCAGTACTTGGCAAATTATGCAGTACCATTACCAGTACCAGTACTAGATTTTAGCTCGGTACTGCAGTACCAGTACTTTTTTTGGTGAAGTAATTAAGTATCAGTACCATTACTTTTATATATTCATCAAAGTTTGAATAAATACAGTGTCAAACAAATAATTGCAAGTATTATTCAGCAAAGAAATAAAATCATAATTTACTTTAAAGTTAACATAACATATTTTACAACTTTATAGTTTTAACATACTTTTTACAAACAATATTTACAACATATATTCATGTCATATCTAATTATTTAGTAACCAGTCAACTGTATAAAAACAATGCAAACATCTTTCATTTAAAACACAACAGTTTTTTGTTGCCTTTCACACCTCTGTTCAATTTATACCAAAGTAAATAACAACTTTTTATGGTGCTAACAATATCACTTTTTTCACTTGAAATGGGATTATTTAGAATAGAAGAAATTAATAAGTGTTTATTTTGCTCTTTTACTAGTAAATACAAAGTAATAAAAGATTTCAATAAGGATATTTTAGGGTAAAGAGTTATTTAGTCTGTTTATCTTAATTTAATTTTTACTTAAAGTCTTTGGTGCTTTTTATGATGAATACTATGTTAACATTTGAATGAATATTGCAGCAAATTATCTTTAGATTTGATAACTTACTTTTTTTACAAAAATAAAATATAGTTAATGTAATTTACAGCTTTATTTTATGAGAAAAAATGATGCTATTTTTAATTTTTATCAAAACCAAAAGTACTGGGTAATGCAGTAGCAGTACCACTTTTTAAGACAGTAATGCAGTACCAGTACCAGTAGTAGCAAAATTTTGTAAGAGTAATTCAGTATCAGTACCAGTACTTGCAAAATCACTGCAGTACGTACTGCAGTACCAGTACCAGTACCAGTAATGCAGCTCTGATTATAAAAATGTATATGTATGTTGTAATATTCGCTGTTTATTAGTTACACGTGTGAAAAACCTCATAATTATGCCCCATACAGTTACATGTATCCTGTTTAATATGTTTATTGTACATATACTGGATTCTCGTATTTCCGTGGTACCCATATTTCCAAGGTATCAGGCTTAAACAGTCTAAAGTGCCTCCTAGACTTAATGAACCTGCCAGTAGTTTTACTTTTACTATTTTGTATTTTTATCGAAATATTACATATAGAACTAAAACAAAATATTTTATTCAGATTTAAAGCAAGGTTGTTTAATATTTCACCATTTTTCTTTTAGATTGCATACCTTTTGAGAAAATCTTCTTTGTTAAACAACCATTGAGGTATTTGATAAATGCCAAAGAGAAATTCGCCCCTTTCAAATAAGCCTAGGTATGGGTGTCCTAATAGATAAAGTTTAATATTGGTTTTGCTTTTGAAACTGTTAAAATGTAATTGCCTTGGAAATATGAGAACACAAATTTACTCACAAAGCTGCAGATGGGTGTGTATTGGATTGTTGTATACATAATTGCTTACATGCAAACATTAAATGGAATAAACTATGATGCAATTGACATGTCTCTCCTACAATATTCACTGTGTTTTCCAGAATTTTATCCTCTTAACTTTTGTTGTCTGGGTTAAACAGTTAAGTACCACGGGAATATGAGGCACCAGTATATATGTTAAACGTTATACTCAGACAATAAATTTGATTATTATATGTTTTGTTCATGTTTTCGTTTGTCATTTGGTATTCCCATCCACAGTGACACAATTGTTTTTTTAACAATATGCATGCAGCATTAAAAAAAAAATGAATAATGACCTGAGGCCGATTTGATTTGAGGCCGATTTGACTTATTTGGGACCGATTCGACTTGGGGCCGATCTGACTTGGGGCCGATTTGACTGTAAATCAGTGCATCACACACATGGCAATGCTGGACAGGTACCTTACTTTGTCCTGTCAAAGTTTTTGTACCCCACCGTAGACTGATTTTTTTTTCATTTATTAAAAAGTGCGATTTGTTGCCGGAAACTGCTAGAAAACCAGTAGGCAATGAAACAACAGTAATGCAGGTCGTGTTTTATAAGCAATCTCTCTTTAATAAGAATCAAAATTTGATTTAAATCACTAACCACTAATTTATCTATGAAATAATAATATACATATGCTTCAATGTTATTCATAATCGGATAAAAACACAAGAAAATCTTACCCCCTGATATATAGACCATTTTCTCTGTTTTGGGTTTTATGCTGACAAACACTTCCGGTGTAAACAAAAATTACTTCCCTTTGAAATGAACGTGACAAGAACGTATGGATTATTCCCCTTCTTTCTAGAATATTCTTTTGTCTATTTTTAGCACGTCTCTGGAAAGATCCATACTGTTCAGTAATAATGATGAAACTACAAATCGGGAATATTCTCGAAAATTCAAAGAGTATATATAAGCAAGAGTGTCAAACTAGTCCAGCATTATATACAACGCTGAGAAGAAATAAAGAGAAATAATACAGACAATATAGAATAACTAATTCTCATATTACGGATAAAAATATTACAGTCTTGTGTATTAATTGGCAGAAATAATACAATTATGAGCGCACCAGCAATTGGGATCGATCTTGGAACCACATACTCCTGTGTTGGGGTATTCCAGCATGGGAAGGTGGAGATAATAGCGAACGACCAGGGTAATAGGACCACGCCGAGCTATGTTGCATTTACAGACTCCGAGAGACTTATCGGTGACGCAGCAAAGAACCAAGCGGCAATGAACCCAACAAATACAATTTTCGACGCTAAACGACTGATAGGTCGCAAATTCGATGACCAGGGCGTTCAAAGTGACTCAAAGCACTGGCCGTTCAAAATCGTCAATGATGGAGGCAAGCCTAAAATCCAGGCTGAATACAAAGGCGAAAATAAGATGTTCGCGCCTGAGGAGATAAGCTCAATGGTGCTCACTAAAATGAAAGAAACTGCAGAAGCATATCTCGGTCAAAAGGTTACGAATGCAGTTGTGACTGTGCCAGCCTATTTCAACGATGCCCAGAGACTTGCAACAAAAGATGCCGGGGCTATTGCTGGACTTAATGTCATGAGAATAATTAACGAGCCTACGGCAGCGGCATTAGCTTATGGACTTGATAAGAACTTAAAAGATGAAAAGAATGTGTTGATATTTGACCTCGGAGGTGGAACCTTTGATGTTTCAATTCTGACTATTGACGAGGGGTCAATATTCGAAGTTAAATCAACAGCGGGAGATACTCACTTGGGCGGTGAAGATTTCGATAACAGAATGGTCAACCACTTTGTCGAGGAGTTCAAACGTAAACATAAGAAGGATATGGGCAAAAACTCTCGAAGTTTGCGCAGATTGAGAACAGCATGCGAGAGAGCAAAGAGGACGCTGTCAAGCAGTGCCGAGGCAAACATCGAAATCGACTCTTTGTTTGAGGGCATTGACTTTTATACAAAAATTACAAGAGCTAGATTCGAAGAACTTTGTTCAGATTTGTTCAGAGCCACGATGGAACCAGTAGAGAAAGCGCTTCGGGACGCCAAGCTCGACAAATCTAGGATTGATGAAGTTGTTCTCGTTGGAGGATCTACAAGAATTCCAAAGATTCAAAAACTGTTGCAAGATTTCATGAATGGTAAGGAACTGAACAAATCTATAAATCCTGATGAAGCTGTGGCATACGGTGCCGCCGTCCAGGCAGCTATATTATCTGGCGATACTTCAGAAGCTATCAAAGATGTTCTCCTGGTTGATGTTGCTCCTCTTTCGCTTGGAATCGAAACAGCTGGTGGGGTCATGACAAAAATAATTGAACGCAATACCAAGATTCCAACAAAAGCATCTCAAACATTTACGACATACTCGGATAACCAACCGGCTGTCAGTATCCAGGTATTCGAAGGCGAAAGAGCGATGACAAAGGGCAACAACTTGCTGGGACGTTTTGATCTTACAGGAATTCCACCTGCACCTCGTGGGGTACCTCAAATTGAGGTTACCTTTGACATTGACGCTAACGGAACATTGAACGTTTCAGCACAAGACAAAAGTAACAACAAGATTAACAAAATTACCATTAAGAATGAAAGAGGTCGTTTATCAAAGGAGGACATTGATAGAATGGTAAATGAAGCAGAACAGTATCGGGAGGAAGATGAAAAACAAAGACAAAGGATTGACGCTAGAAACAAACTTGAAGTATACGTGTATAGCGTAAAGCAATCGATATCAGACGCAGCAGACGATAAATTATCGTCTGAAGATAAAGAAACAGCTAAAAATGTGTGTGACGAATGTGTCAAATGGTTGGACTCGAACACAACAGCCGAAAAAGACGAATTTGAGTTTAAACTGGAGGAAGTACAGAAAAAATTGTCACCGATCATGGTAAAACTTCACGGAGGGAGAAATCAAGGGAATAGTCAACAATACGGGTCATCACAAAGCGCTGGATCTGGGCCAACAGTTGAAGAAATGGACTAATTAAATTAAGTTAAAGGTATAAAATAACTGTAAATAGGAAATTATATAAAAATATACGACTTACGGACAATTTATTTGCTTTTGCAAATTATATTGATCTCATTGAGTTATTGTATGTAATTTGTACATATGCAGGAACTTGTTTATAAATTGCAATATGTTAAATGAATCTTAATACATTTTACAATGTACATAAGTTGAAACTTTTCAATAAACTGTATTTAATTCTACAAATGTTAAAAATGTTAATTTTTCATGAAATTCATTAATTCGTTATATTATGCATTATCTTGTTTCTCAAAAAATGTAAAATGTGTTCATTTGAATCTGTTTTGTTCAATTTAATGTCATTTTGATAGAACGTTTTAATCACTATTCTGTTATGTTATATTATTACAAATTGTTAAATAAAGTAATGAAAATAAATACATTGTATTATGTTTATTAGTCATTTCACCTTTTACACAAGGTACTTAAACGAGTTTTGAGAAAATAAGCGTCTCTCTCAACTTAAATAAACTATAAAGCACAGAAACAAATCATCGATTTACGCTGCCTCTATTCAAATGTACACGCGACATACGGTATTAACCATCCAAGGCAAAAAACTAGTATAAGATTTTTTAACGGAAGACAAGTAAAATATTGTGCTTTCCCCCAAAATCACAATCTGATATGTATCTTTGGTTTAAACATATTTATTTAAGCTCGATTGCGAAACAAGTTCTTGCAACTTATATTAATCACTTTCGAGTCCTTTTCCTGTTACCAACCAGTACTGGTGTCATATGAAGAAACATGGTCGTGACCAGAGTAGGGCTCGAACCCATGATGCCAGGGTTGAGAGGGAGACACCTGTATGTATCTTTAAACGGTATAAAGCAATATACCGATGCTGCCTAAAGATAGTAAAATTGAAAATAGATTATTCTAAAATGCCTGTAAGAAAGAAACATGCTTATATATTTCCTGAGCGGATGACATGTGACGGAAACTAATGCTAAACGTTACAAAATGTTATTGCAATAGAAACGTGTATTTTTCCGGAACATTCAATATTCTGTTAACGCAGTACGTACAATTTTCATGTTACATATAGCAGAAACATTTAAAGTTACATTATCTCGAGAATCCCATATAATTATTATGGAAACAACACAATGTTACCGTTTGTGACGGCAGAGAAAGGGAAAGCGGCAGAAATATCATATTCAGATGCTCGATCATTGGTTACTTTTTCCCGGGGTTTAAAATTGTGACAACAGGGAACGTGTTTTTATGTTTGACTATGATACAAAAGAGAAAATACACTCGGCAATCTGATTTATACTCGGGGGCTACGCCCCCTCGTACAAATCAGATGGCCTCGCGTTTCGGTGCTCTTTCTATTACTAAACCTTCCTACATGCTCTTTTGTTTGTCTATCCATACATCAGTTTTTAGCTCAGTATTTATTAATATTACTCACAAGAAATATATTACTTATGTACTTTATCATGTTTAAGAAAGCATTCCAAAGCCAAGCAAAGATACCATCCGCTACGCTCTTGTTATTCATTCGTTCACAAATCAGGTGTTATTTGAATATTTTGTGGGAATAAGGTCAGTTAATGTACTTATTAAGTTGAGTCACAGAAAATGAAAACAGAACTTGTCGAGTAGGGAATGGTAAGATCATTATTTTGATATATGAATACATAACATATCAATAATATAAACAAATACTGAGGAAGATAAAAATGTTTTCTAATCATAAAAACGGAACACTTTATCTTTATATTTAATAAATTTGATGGTAAATAGATGATCAGGCTATTTCTTATATAATTAAAATATTCGATTTTTTCAAAGGAAAGTAAAAGACGGGGTTCTATGAATAAATATTAGTAATACATGTAGTTACACCGTTATGTACGTTGGGTTTTGTTGTTGTTATTTTTTATGATGGCTGATTTTAAATGTTCTTAGAATTTCATCCATGTTTGGTTTCTTTCCGTGTATTCTTAATTAGCATCATCCGTTCTAAGACCGCATGTAAGCACCCGGTCTAGAATGGAAGCGCATGTCGTATTCTTGGTACTGGTATACAAAATCCAAATTGTAATGTAAAAATAACTGGGAAAAAATGAAAAAACGGTCTTATACTTCAGATGAACTATACTCTCACTGAAAGTAATATTTAGGAAGAAAGATGCAGAAGTTGACTTTGATTCGATATGCAAAAATAATATAATCGTTGTATATATCCCATAATGCAGAATTGTTAAAATAATGCAGGATTGTGCAAATTCAGACATAGTTGTGGAAATAAATACCGAAAACTAGTATCTTATGAAGCTATATAGTTCGGCAAATGTGTTAGGTATACCGAAAAGCAAACTCTAAAGAAAGGCTGTGCGTTGTTATACTCATTAATATCGGCGAAACACAAAACTTCAACGCCAGAACAGTAGCCAGTTCGTTTTTCTCACAAGTAATCTGGAACATAAGTTATAAGGGTCCTTACAGCCGTATGCGCTAATTAATTTCGATTAATCTTTAAAATATATATCGACCCTTTTTCCTATTCAAAGTGGTCATTATCCCCCCTCCCACCACTACTCGGCGTTCTTTTACGGTGAATATTGTGTACTGTAATGCACGAGTTTCTTGACTTCACATATTTTCTATTGTATAGAAATCAATAGAACAATAACCGGTCGGTATCTTTTTGCAGACCTGTTAACCGGTCGGTAAGTGATTTACTAGACCGCTTTTAACAAAGGAGCCGGTTGGTAAAGATAGTTACCGCACTCGGAATAGGTCTGCATAGTATTTACAGACCCGGTGGCCTTTTAAAAACCTCGATCGCTACGCTCTCTCGGTCTTCAAATCGCCATACTATGCAGACCTATTACTCGTACGGTAACTATTACAGACCAACCAAAATGGACGGTTTTTACATACAGAAAGAGGTTCGTGTACATTATTTTCAATATCTAACGGTAACCTTGTGCAAGGCTATTTCTCTTGTATACAACACCATTCAAATGTACATTGAATTTACATTGATATTATATAGACCACGTATTTATCTCTGAATTCAATATTACAATAAAACTCAATAAAATTTCGTATATTATATATATGGAGATCCAATATGGCGAATGTTCAATGTGACCTATATAGTTATGATATATTTTGGCAGGAATCTGGATAAGTTACTATGTTATTATATTTATATTCAATGTATCATAATAAAGTATCTAAGGTGATACAAAGTGGAAGTTTCGGTTTCAGGAATGTTTGCTTATCTTAAAAAAGAGGAAAAAAGAATCCCTAAATCTCAAAACGACGATAATGATACAGCTCGGTTTTATGAACGGTGCTGTAAAGTGGAAATATCTTACCCACCCCCACTAGTACTCCTGCATCGGCTTAAGCAAAATTCAACATTTAAACATGAAAATGGTGAAATTTTGAATTTAGAAATATCCGCAGATGTGTTCATACGGCGGTTGCCATGGAACTTACAATGTGACACTTTCGTTCTATTCCATAAAAAGCGGCGTATGGCCCCCAAGTAAATGAAAGCTTACACGAGAAAACAATGGGCGAGACTAAATAAATTGGAATTCTGAAAGAGGGTCTGAGATTGTAAAGCCTGCTTATCACAGACAAATGACAAATTTAAAAAGCAGGCACCATATCCTAAAATTGATTATGCAGTATTCAAGTAGGTATACTAGAGTCACCCTAGTTGAAAAAGGCCAAATAAAAGTAACTAAAATTACCACATACTTTAATTAATGCCTGTTTAGTTGTATGTGTATAACTATTATTTACTTTAAAAGGAATGAATTATAACAGAATATTGTCAATTTCTACAAATTTGTTCAGTCTTAAGCAGTAAAACAACTTACATAAATTATGCCACTAGTTTTGTCAGACGCAAAACAGTCGAAAGAAACACTGCAATTGGGTTGATTTAAAGGCTCCTTTGTTCTGTCAGTGTCAATTCATTTTTCTTTGTTTTTCTTCTTTGAAGAGAATAATAATTACATTATACAAATGTGTTTCAAATGTTTTCTTATATGCTATAATGAAGAATGTATTTGAATATATCATCAATGGGTTTGAATATTCACATGCATTTCAAAAATACAAAATTGTATCTTAGATTTAATAACTTAAATTTCACAGAACGCTATTCAAATAAGGTAAAGAAGTTTGATATTCATTTACCTTTTTCTTTTTAACAACAAATTAAAAGAAAAAAGAAAAAAAGAACTTCAGTCTTTATGTTCTTTTTCAAAACTGATTTAAATTTTAAACATATATTATAGTCTGATTTTATTGACCTGTCAATTATGAATACATTATAGCACTTATTTAAATTTAGATCCCACTTCGGTTTCTTCCGTGTAGTTTACGAGAATTAATGTGGGGCTTATTAGTCATGGATTGAATGTCGGTTAAAAGAATGCCTGATAATTGAGAGGTCTGTGGTTCGATCCTTACTGTTGCCATTGTTTTATGCCTACTAGTACTCTTTCTTTATTTTTGCAGTATATTTTAACGGAACAGATTTGTAGTGTGTTTTACTGCATTGAAAAGACATTTATTGATTTTAATCCGTTTTAATTTTAAACATGAATCCTTAAAACATGTTATTTAAAAAGAGTATAGACTTAATACAATTAAGTAAAACATAATAAAACAAAACGAACAACATAAAAAATAATCATATATTGCTTCAATAATGTTGAAAGTATTAATGAGGGGAAAAAAGCATGGACCAACGCGGTCTCGAACTTATAACACGTATGGCACTTAGATTATAAACTCGTGCTTTACCCTATTGCGCTGTAACACTGAGTACACTTAGTTTATAGGTACAAATTAAACAAGTAGAGATTTTGATGCTAAAGCATCAAGTCGCCGGATAGAAAAATGATTGTATTATCATAAATATAAGAAAATATAAGTTTAATGGTTCAAGTATAAAAATAAAAGACACACCGTGTTGAGTAATGTTTGCCACTGAGGCTTGTAAGGCAAGTGCTATGCTGGTAATTCTTCTTGTAATTATACTTTATACATATACTGTTGTACCATACATTGAAATCCGTATAGGTTACTAGTTCAGATTCAGATAATTACCGACAAATAATTACCGATCATCGAATATTTGCAAAGTGACTATGAAAATATATATGTTTAATTATTACATGAAACAATACAATTTTACTGTAAAAGTGTTGTACATCATTATTATGTGCTATAGAAAAAATATATAATTTTGTTGAAATCAATACACGTATTCCAATCGTTACATACGATATATAAAATTAACGTTTAATTGCCTTTCAGTGCGATAAACTATCAACACAAAGATAGTTTATTATTTTTTTCTATGTATCTAATACGATTCCGGACCCCTGACGTCATACCGTTTTGGAAACCTGACGGAATATACCGAAATCAACGATTACCATTATATGTTTCAATAATGTGCCTCTTAAGCATAACATTATTTTGGGATGTTCAACCTAAACTAAACAATTGAACTTTCTTGTCGAATGTTTGACAGAAAGGGCCAAGTTAAACCCTTTACCAAGAAGAAAGGAAAAGGTTTTGAAAATGTATTTTTAAAGTAAACAGGTTTCTCTTATGATATAAAGTATGAACCTGATTAATGAAAAATAACTTATGTAATTATCTGTACATAATTACAATGATTTACATCTTATCAGTTACCACCATTAACAAATTACCTGTCTTATCAGCAATCTGTTACTATTAATAGATTTTATAACGATATATAACATATATAAACATGTAGTCACGTGATTCTTACGAAAGACCAGGGAGCATTTGTTTATAATTAGATAAAATAATGTAATATAAAAGGTCTCATAAAAATAAAAAACCAAATAGTTCTAAAGAGTCATTTCAAATATCATTCATGATTTATTTATTATAAAATACCATTGCTTGACACATAGAAAAAAGTAATAGTATCTCTAATATTCAATGACTGATCCTAGCTTGGGGATACGTTATTGATTCATTTTATGAAAATTGAAATGTTGCTTTTTAAGACGTCAATATGTGCATATTTCATTCCACTGAGCAAAGTTATCATATGTTTGATTTTTTGTGATTACTGAAAAATAATTGTTGTCTTTTATTGTTCAATGATTGATATGCTTTTATTTTCAGATTTTAAGGGTTTCTCCTACCATAGGTATAATATTAAACTATTACAAATATAGTCGCCGGTTTCTACCGGCGACTAATTAAATTCCATCGTACAGCGTACATCTCACGGAACTTACCGAAAATCTACCAAAGATTAATATACTGTGTGCATCGACCGTGTAATCAGTATATGTAATTGACAGGTAACAATACAAAACGTATCGAGATAGACCGTAATGACAACTATCCATGCAGATTTAATATGGTAAAATTTTCTACCTGTTTTCAGCGACATATTCATTGAATGGTGGATTAGTTAAATAGGCCGGGAGAAGTCAGGCATGAGAGGTGGATAAATGCGTGTGTAGTTGACAATGGCAACAGGTGGGATTTTCCTATGAATTACATTGTTTGAATGCTCGTGGCAATAATGTCTTTTTTATAACTTTATACTGCTGGTTGTTTAATTTTAATATCATAAGCTGTACTGGTATTAGTTTTACTGTTTCTAGCTACCTGAATCCTTACAGTTAATCACAAAAAAGGAATTGTTTAATAGCTCAAAAACAATGTGTATATCCATATCATATCATGCAATGTAACACTACATGAGTAGGCTGACAGTAGGTGGAGCTTAACTGTATTGCTTATAATGAAAGACACGAATACGCGACAGTAGTTGAATATCAAAACTCCTTAATCACATAAAATCAGATTTTTCAGCTGATATATTGTTTCTTGAAAATAAAATGAAGCTTAAAGTTAAAAAATTATGTCATCAACATAATCTTTATAATATCATCCGCGTTCATTTTATAGTCTGCGACATATTAAATGAAAAGTGAAATTATTTTGTGAAAAATGAATACATTAAAAATGTTTCATTCTCGTATTGACATTTATATATACTTATATACGTTTCAGGATCTGGCGTCAGTACGCATAATGACCAGCTTCAAAACCCACGCTATAAGGACTGGGTAAAAGCAGGTCTTAGTCTCAAGTACTTCAAAGATGGGATTGAAGTATTTGTAGACACGCGTTTAAGGTTACAGCAAGAAAGTCTGCTGAATGTCCTGAAGAGAGGACTAAACCTTGCATCAATCGATTGTGACGAATGTACGTTACAGAACCTGTTGCCCCATAAATCCCGTAGCTGTGGTAGAGGAAAGTTATGTCTTTGTTACACGCATCAGACAAGACGGACCTGCCCAAACAGAGTATGCGGAAGATTAAACGATCAGATCACTTTGCAGCACCGTTATGGTTCCCCTTCGTGGTATAATACCGACTTCGCCAAGTGGTGCTCAAACCATTGGGAAATCGGAAAATGTTACCTAGACAGGAAAGGTTACAAGGAGAGGACATCTGCTGTTGATACAGATTGCAAAGGACTCCTTGACATAATTATCAATGACATGTTTATTCACGGGTTTATAGACGTTCCAATTGACCCTCCTAACGACTATTTTTCTAAGGTAATTCAAAACCTGACATTTAAACAAATTAATTTTACTTCAGAATCAAGGGATTAACTATTTTGATTACATACTTCGTAAACAGAACGTAAATAACACATGACCTTAACTTGTTTTTTTAATATAGTTAATATGGAAGAAGATTAATCAGTTCGGACAGGGCACCCGACTTATGTTGCATATACATATCTTGTTTTGTTTATGGGATACGTGTCCTTTTTACGATTAAATAAAACTTAATAAGTTACATTTTCTCCTTTGGAATTTGAAAACTTATTCCATGTAGGCATATAGGGCTAAATCTCTCTGTTGAAATGCGAGCAGTATATATCATACAGAAATTTATTCTAGTCTCTTATAGCTCATTCAATGTATGCTAAGACTCATGAGATAAACCCCAACAGAGACCATATCAAAGCGATGAATGTATATGTTCTTTACATATTTAAAATACATATTTTCTATCACGTTATATTTTTTGAAATGTTTATATCAATTTTATTCAGATAAAGACGGCACGGAATGAAATTCTACATTCTCCGAAACTGGAGGTTACTGATGATGCTTTGCAAGATCTAATCGAGAATATGACAAAGGCTCTAGAGGACAAGAAATATCTCGGCAGCAGTCATCAAGCAAAGAACGCTATTCAAAAACTGTCATTGGTAAAGCTTTTAATGACCGTATAGCATTGTACGTGACTAGAATACCCGACAGAAAGTAACAATAATTATTGTATTATGCCAAAATAAATACATGCTATTATAGAAAGTGAGGAGTAAAATTGATCAACACAAAATCAAATATCTAGGTATCACAAATTAACTCAAATTCAAAACATCCATTTTAATCATTAAATTAATGAAGCCTTATTGGACAGGTCACATACCTCGCCTCCCTGAATGATTGCTGGCGATATCCAAATACAAATATTCTCGAATATGTAAACATTCGGCAAAACGCGGAGACTTATATCTTTGAATGATAAATTGGGTTACAATACCTTCAAACATGCTATTTATTCTTCATGAATAAAAAGGTTAACATATTTTGTTTGCACTAACATGATTTAATTTTTTCCAGCTGAAAAGTGAACGCTTTATCATAAATAGTCATGATGAAATGGAGGTTCGAGAATCAGCGTTAAATGCAATCAGAGAAGCAAAAGAGGAAGCGCTTGAATGTTTGGAAGACAAACAAGCTGAAATAATGCAAAACATACAAGTGGACAAAATAAAGAACGACATTGAGAAACTGAAAGAATCGGTTGAATCTATGGCAACAAAACAAACAAACAATGAATTACAACTAAAGACTCTGAATGCAATTGAAGCAAAACAGACAACATCCGAGGCGGAGATGTCTACAATAAAGCATAAACTAAGTTCATTGTCAAATGCACAGAATGTGCTAGAGGCTAGGTTGAACTCTGTCAATACTGCTGTAAATACCCTCCCAACTGTAAATGCTAGACTTGATTCCATAGAGGAGGCGCAGAGAAAGTTAGATACAGATGTGACAAGCTTTAAGGATATTCAAGACCACGTGCTTGTTAAAGTCAAAGAGATACAGAATGTAAGTTTTCGTTTGTATATGCTATATTTATCTATTTGTTGTAAGTTTTAACATGTTTTACATATTACAGATAATACCTATTAGCTGCTTGCTAAGTAACAATTAATGTATAAGTGATCAGTGCATTTCAGAGTAGTTGTTTTTCTTAGAAAATTATATAGCTTTCAAATGTGATAAATAACTATTCATTCAAAAAATATGTGTTGAATTACAGGACATTTTGCAGTTAAAGACAAGATTAAAAACGAAAGAAAATACCGAGCGCCTTCACCAGGATAAAATAGATTATCTAAAGAAAAAGTCTGGTAATTAATCAAATTGACCACTTGCAGTAAAATTAACATTGCATTTTCCTTTTAAAATAAGAAAGACTAGTTACACAATATATTTTTATAATTCATGTATATAGTTAAGAGTTAGGTTGGCCTTCAGGTTACTCCAGAGTTCCTTCATGAAAATTTATTCAAGAGTATAGGTATACAATTGTCACATTTTTCAAATATTGATGAAAACAATAGCAATGTATCATTTGGATATTCTTATAAAATGCTACTTGAAAAAAATGTTGATTAAGTAATTTTATTAGAATGGCCATTTATCTGATGAATAATGATATTCTTTTCATGATTTATCGGATCATTTATCTCACACTTGCCAACAACTTACGTGGTTTGTTGTAAATACTGTCAACGTAGTTATTCATTGAATTACAAACCCTCTATTATAGAACAGTAAATTTTACTGTTACTAATTTATGTTTGTCATTGTTATTTTTTTCAGAATTGCAACGGTGTTTATGTGATTTGTACAAAAAGTATCTATCAACAATTCCAGTGTCTCCTGTATTGGAAGAAATAGATGCCCACATAGAAGACATATATGTAGCTCTAACAGTTACAGATGATCTTGTGTGCAAGGTTACATGGGATAACCGTGCTGTACCTAGAGAAGTTCATGGTTATGCAGATATTCTTTCAAAGAATGATAATCTCTGTAAGAACGTTTATGTTATTGGGGATGCTGGTATTGGCAAGACCACTTGGTGTATGAAAGTGTTACGATCGTGGTCTATTGCAATTGACAAGTCTGGCTCATCGCCATTGTCAGAAAATGAACAATTTTTATCAGAAAACTTTGATATAGTATTGTTTGTGTCACTTCGACTTGCCGTAACACACTGCAATATTTCTGACATGATTAAGGGCCAATTGTTTGAGGAATATCCGGGTATGTATGAAAATGCTTTAAAGATAATACAAAATGAGCCGGAGAGATGCTTGATAATTTGTGACGGATTTGATGAATGGATACCTCAGGGACCTATAGTCAATCAGTCGCCATTGTATCATGCAGATCTCCCTGGAAGAAAAGATCTCAACGGTGCAGTAATAGTGACCACAACAAGACCGTGGAAACTTGACAAGATACGGCTCTCTGACAAGCACATTGATCGTTCTGTTACGATAGAGGGTTTTTCTACGCATGAAAAGGTCATGACCTTAGCCGTCAAGCTAATTGACCACTTGAATATGAGAAATGTAAGTAATAACAATATCTCAAGAACTTTGGTAAACTTTGAAAATGATTTAAAAGCTTCCTTTCGATTGCAAACTACAAGGCCTACAATTTTAAAATCACCTTTGTTATCAACGTATGTTGTTTGCAAGTGGTATGATGACGGAACATTAGGCAGTAATGTGGCACTAAATTACATGAATATTTTTCAATTTCTTTTTGACCATTCTGAGAAGAAATATAGCGTTAAAATTGAACAACAAGTTAAAGAATACAAAAACGTTCCAAGCTGTATAACAGATCGACCTAGTTGTGTGAAGAACACGCATTATCTTGAGAAACTTGCAAGTTTTGCATTCGGAGCAATGATAAACGATCAAGGTAAAAGTAAATTGATATTTTCAAAACAAGATCTAAATCAGAGATTATCAGATGATGATCTTACATTTAGTATCAAAACAGGGATAATTTCTCAGTCTAGATCAGTTGGAAAGATTTTAACAAAGGAATGTAGATTGACATTTCTACATAAATCCATCCAAGAATTTCTGTCCGCACTTCACATTGTGTATGAAATCGGAAATGATCGTACAGAGGCCGTTGCCCGGCTTTTCGGACAATGCAGTTCTAAATCTAAACTTGACGAGTATGAAAACATAATTTTACTCACTTGTGGTTTAGACAGAAAGTCCAGTAGTGTCATATCAACGCATTTAGCGGACATTGCCGATTCAGAACTAAAATTTAACAAATATAGAGTACCATCCACTTTAGATCTGATCATAAAATGTGCAGAAGAGGTTGACAGTTCGAAAAATGAGAGTTTTGGCACTCAATACAGAAAGTATGTCATTAAAACACATATGATATATTTTGGAACTGGTAACTCTACAGAGTTACTCAAACGTATGGATAGCTTATTTGAATGCAACAAGGAGAACATAACGACCGTGGATCTGACTATCTGCTTTGAATCCAACGTTCAAGATAAATTAGAAAGAAAACAATCATTTTGTTCTATTTTAAGAAACATTCCTAAAGCTGTTCTTTTAAGAACTCTCAAAATAGAAAACACTAGCAACACTCGAGGTAGCGATGTAGATATAGGAAAATATTTGTTATCTTTCAAAGACTTAATTTATATTGAAGAGATTGTTTATGTTGATGAATATTGTAAGCCAATAACAATAGATTTATCATCAAGCAGAAAACTTACAAAGCTAGTTTTAGTTGTATGTTTGGACAAACTTGTGATAAACTCAATACTGTGCATGGAACTTATGGATGTTAAATGTTTGCAGAGTAAAACATCCCAAAGAGACTTTATTTTGGTATATATTTCATCGGGAATGACTATGAAAAAGCTAAGTATTTGTAACTTAAGTTCAAGTAAAATTATTGTAAAAACGAGTGGCCTTGTTCAAGGACAACAGACGACTTATCCAAACGGAATGAAAACATCGCGTTTAGAGAATGTCAACGTCGGGTTTTATAAACAATCAGTAACAAAATTCGGCCATATATATAATATTGACATTGGTGACTTTCATGAAGAATCATTAGAGTCTCAACTTCTGGGAGTTAGAATAAGGCAAAGGACACCTGTAAATCTTCAAAGTCTATTTCGACTCTTTAAGGAGTTCAGTGATGACGGTTTTGACAACTTGAATCGGATCTTATCTTCGCTACCATGCTTAGAAATGCTGGAGGTGAAATTGCCAGGCTTTCTTATTGATATTGGGCAATTGCAACATCTCAAAGGCATAAAAACATATATTTATCACATAGCCGAGCTGCAAAACTTCTTTACGAAACTACATCATGCAAAGGGCCTAAACACTCTCGAAGTCAACATAGTAAACCTTATGTTTCGAGACAAAGAAATGTTTTGTTTGCAATTTTGCGCTGATTTCAATAAAACATCTGCTGGAACCGCTGGTTACTTACATCTTTATCAATTCCTGATTCAACAGAGTGACAAGTGCAATACAGATGATCTGATCGACATTGGCGAATTAAAGAAAGCTTACCTGGATGTGTTTACATGCAGTCAGAAAAAGTCTCAACTTGAAGCATATATATCTACTGTGTATTTTAGGTATTCTGACTTTGATACTGCATCAATGAGAAGTTTGTTAAATTTGACCACTCTGAAGCTTGGAGGAGTAACACAGGATATGTTCATAAGAATAGGCGAACAATTTCAGTTTCTTCCACACCTAAGCAAAATCGAGCTAAATGGTTTACTATGGCTGTATATTGATGCTGAGCGAGTCTTTGGATGCTTAAAAACTTTGGTATCGTTGAGATACTTAACGGTGAGAAATGTATCACATGCCTGTTACCGAGCAATAGGTGCGATGTTCTCACACCTTAGGTATTTGCATTCATTTGAAGTTGAAGAAATTGGTGACAGGTTATGCCCTGTAATGCTAAAACAGATACCAGATATCTTTGCTCTTCGGTCTCTTACATGTTGGGCATTATCGCACAAGCATTGTAGAGTTTTGGCGAACGTTCTAAAAAAAATGACACACTTAGAAAACTTTTCATGCGGAGGTTTTGAGGAGTATTGGTATGGCTACATGTATTTTGAATTTAATCTTCTGAAGAGCTTGAAACAGATAAGCATTTCAAAGCTTGATATTGAATTAGACCAGTGGCACATTTTTGAGAAAAAGCTTCCAACTACTAAATGTACGGTAAAGTTAAATGACGTTTCAGTTTGTCAAGACGATGTTGTTGAGTACATGAAATGTTCTAGTAGACTCACATCCCAATGCTGGGAAGCAGTCGGACCATATGTATACAGCATTCAGTTCATTGTTAATGAAAGTACGAGCCATATAGATGACCAGTAGGAAATATTATTTTTAAAAAGTGTTAAAAGCCACATGTTTGACTTGAAATGTGGATAAACACTTACATAGAGAATTCGATAATTGTTTTATATAAAGGTAAAGCAAGGGTAGTCTACAAATGAAAATATTTACTTTTGTTTATCAAAGTTAAACAATGTAAATAAAAAACCTTTTGAACCTTGACAATACACGTATTCATAAACGTTTTTATGTTCATTGTTGGTAGAGCAATTTTATGTAAGTTAGAGTTATTTGTTAATAAAGTTAATTAATAATTCTGTGTTATGGCTTCCAATTTTCGTTTTCACATCATTCTTCTATACATGTATAAATATTTATATGGTCTCAATATTGAAATATTTTAAAAATTATTACATAGTATGTATTTTTTGTCATTTGTTTAAAGTTTTTAAGAGAAAAAAAAACTAAACTAAATTTCGATAGTCTACACATGTACAAATAATTATTTAGTCCTATTGTGTTATCGAAGTATTTCAACAAGAGAAATACCAACAAAAAGTCGTATACGCATTTACATTCCATGTAGCGTGTATAGAAACTTGTACAATTTGAATAAGAAAATCTCTCTTAAAATTATATGCTTTCTACTGAATGTAATACTAGTATACTAAATTTTAATATTTTTGTAAAATTCTACATTTGGTTATTATCATTTTCTGTACTGCAGTAACAATATAGGGACCAATATTTTTACCAGTATTATAATTATTCTTATTTATAGTCTGATCTATACATGCATATACAATTAAAACAATATACATACAGTAAATTGTACAGCCATTCTTTTTAGAATTATAACAGACTTTTCTGGTTTATAAGAGGGGCAACTCCACAGTCCACATTACAGAGATCTATAATATATACTGTAGATTTACCTCCCTTATTTACATAATTAAACCCATTTACATGTTAATATAAACACATCATAATATCTCTAAGACATTTATAAGTAAAACAGCATATTCCAAGCATTGAATGTTATACTTAATATAATTAAAATGTACTAATATTTATACCTACAACATAACTGTATGAGTAATTACAATAGGGTTGTTAATATTAAAATGGAAGAATAAAATCTCATTACTTTACTAAACCCTAAATGGTTGCCTCCTTATAAATGTACTAAACTCATTTATACATACTTATTTTATCTTTATACAATCATTAGTATTATAATTATGCTATGATACAGAAAAACACCTTTAGTTAACTATATGCCAAATTCAAATGTTCCCGCTATGTTCTTATAAAGTTAACGTTTGTATAGACCATTGTTTTTGTTTTTAATACATGTATATATTTATTAAACTAATATGCAAATTTCCGGGTAAATTATGTGTTTTCTTTATCCCTATCATGTTATTTCAAATACTTGTCTCCTTGAAGCTAATAATTTGCTGGCCTCGGTTGCGAATATGTGTAAGACATATTAGAGTACGACTGTTGTGGATGTTGAAACGACAAATCCGGATTCTTTTTCTGGTATTCCTGATTTAAACTTTCAGAACTGATGCTGGATAGATACGATTTGTTGTCGTCTTGGGTAGAATCTTTACCTAAAATGTATTACAAAATTTAACAGTTATAAAATATAAATGATTAAAGACTTTTTTAAATTTTGATAATTTTTATCTGAATGTCAATTCACATCGCTTGAGTGTGAAAATAATGCATGATTCGTCGTGCAAAACGTAACGCAGAATTGTGCAATAAATGGCGGATACCTGGCAAGATTTCAAACGCGGTAAGTAAACTAGCCAATATATTTTTTATTTAACCAAACTGAAAAAAAAATTAATCAGCTTGTTTTCAATTTTCTATGTCACCAGAAGTTCAGTAAATGTCATTTGCCTACCAAAAATCGAAATTATACGGTATTATATGCCTTGTTGTACTAATAAGACGACAAAAAGCCAAAATCACACTCAAGACGGTGGTCAAGCCATCATTTTCACGTATGTTCTCGAAAAGTAAGCAATGTTGATGAGGGATAAAGTACAATGTCTTCGAAGCCGTATGCGGCTATTCCTTTAAATAAAACATATATTGGCCGGTTTACTTACCGCGTTGGAAATCAAACCAGTTATCCGCCATTTATTGCACAATTCTGCGTTACTTTTTGCACGAATCGTGCATTATTTTCACATTCCAGCGTTACTGGAAATACTAGTACACGGTGTATTATTATTATTGTATTTATATTATTGTGTACAATAGTTTTGATTCGATACTGAATGATTAAGAAAAGCAAATGTAATTACGAACATGAACTACCGTTACATTAGCTTTTGATGGCTTGTGTGACTGCCTACATTGCACGCAACAAAATGTGCGCATTTTTATTTTTTACCCTTTTTATCATTGAAATAGTTTGTACTGTAACATATACGTACGGTATATTTTACTGTTGAAGTCACTCGGATAAACCATTGACGCGTTGCTCTTCGCTTTCCCTTGGTTTTTAAAAATACAGTACAAACAGAACATGCACCCAAGAAGACAAGCTAACCCAACTACTGTACTCACAACTAATCCAATCAACGCTGCCGTTCTAAAATAAAAATAAATTGAGCCGCATCACGACAAAACCAACGTAATGCGTTTGCGACCAGCATGGATCCAGATCAGGATCCATGCTGTTCGCTATCAGTTTCTCTACTTGTTATAGAGTTTGTAAGCGAACAACATATGGATCCTGATCAGATTGCGCAGATGCGCAGGCTGGTCTGGATCCATGCTGGTCGCAAATCCATTATGTTGGTTTTGTCGTGACGCGGCTCAATTAATGGAAAGTAAAACACGAAATGTATATAAAAACCAAAGTTGTTAAGAGAATACAGCTAATCACCAAGCACGATATTTGTTTCGATTATATTTCTGTATTTTTTTTAAAGTCAATTCCGTCCCAGAAATGAATTTTTCTTCCTTTTGTAGAAAGGGTAAACGTTCATTTTATAATGTAAGAATGTATTAAGAGCATGTGAGATGACAGCATTGAATGTGAATCTGAAAAAGTTAGCCTTGAATAAGAAATAATTGGTAATGAAGGTAACACACTGTTAACAAAGTGGTATCCTCATTCCAATCACTATAGCTGTCCTAATTGCCAAGACCCAAAGAAAGCAAATACGGTTCAGTTATATGGCCAATAAATTTGGGATTTTTTTGTTGTTGTTGTGTTGTTTTGAAAATGTAACCGGGTACCAATAGTAAATTTTTTTGAAAAATAAAAATGATAGCATTTTAAGCTAAATCGACCTTCAACTATTTTCATACATGTTTACAGTAGATGAACGAAATCACTTTGCCTGAATCTTTCTGGGAGCCTATTTAGTTTAATTTGAACATTCCTTGCGATAACAGAAAGTAGTCTTGTTTATAAACTATTATGTTAGGTCCTCCTATTTATAGGGTTCTTTAAGATACAAATACTATCAGAGCATTCTAAACAATAGAATTTAATGACACATTGCAGATGATATGAAGTTTGGTGAGTTAAGTAAAGGTGTTCTTCGCGTTTAAACAGTCATACTGGATTTTGTTACGGTTTTATTTATGTGGCGAATATAATACATGGTCGGAAGGAGTGATATTGAAACGCTTAAAAATCAATCAATAAAGGAATAGAACAAAGTAACATCACACACGGTTATACATACGTCATAGGACAGCACGTGTCACCACAACAACCATATTGACAGTAAACTGACTCTTTCTTATCGAAATAACATTCATCGGCTGCTTCCACTCGGTTCACACCTAGAAAGATTGAAAATGGCATTGTTCATTGTTATCTTTAAATAATGTTCTTTTACACTCTGAAGCATTGATAAGCCAACGATTACCTGGCCGGCTTGTCTTTAATTAAATGACACTTAAATTGTGTTTAAGGTCAGTTGCTACTTATGAAAGTTAATTGTGTTCAGGTTCAGTTGCTATTCATAAAACTGAATCAACTCAAAATTTAAGAAATGTTAATTTAGTTTGATACAATCTATCGTACTAAAGACTTAGAATTTTTATTTCTAAATTTCAAAAGTGAGCATGAACACAAAAATGTCAATTTTAGCGGACCTACTTACTTTTTTATTGTCGCATTACGAAAGAAATCATAAAAATGGCACGTAGTTTAAAGAAGTCAGTGGTTACACCAGACATTGGTCACCTAGTCGAGCATGAAGTAATGCAAGGATGAATACAATAGCTGTGCGATAACAGAAAAAATCTGAAAAAGTGCCCTTTAGGTTGACCTAAATTATGTTGGTGCGCCGTAAAGCCCAACAAACAAACCTCAGAAGTTTTACATTATGGTGTCATGGGTGTACAAATAACATACACTCTTCTAGTAAATAAATATGATAACACTTACCTAAGAAGCAAAATCCAACAAACGCTATATCTAGAAAAGTTTTAAGACAAAAATGGGTCTCAAAAAAGGAATAAAATAATATCATTTTTTCTACTAGTATCTTAAAAAAGTATGTCGAACGTTTGAAGGAAAAGCTTTTTAGATTAAAAATGAATTACGAAATTAACATATTCAATTTGTATTGATGCTTTATATCTATATCACTCAACATATGAGCCGTGTCATGACAAAACCAACGTAATGAGTTTGCGACCAGCATGGATCCAGACCAGTCTGCGCATCCGCGCAGTCTGATCAGGATCCACGCTGTTCGCTATCAGTTTATTTACTTGTTATAGGGTCTGTAAGCGAACAGCATGGATCCTGATCAGACTGCGCGGATGCGCAGGCTGGTCTGGATCCATGCTGGTCGCAAACCCACTATGTTGGTTTTGTCGTGACGCGGCTCATATAAGGTTTTTTTGCGCATCAATAGAAAATATTCATTGAACGTCAGATCAGTAGTATAAAAAATAAAAGTGTATATTGACCTATTAAATTCAAACGAAAATGGTATAATTTATTCTATGACACGCTTGAGGAAGATTTGAAAATATGTAATACTGTGCCGTGCCAATAGCGACACCCAAATAAATAAATACAGTTGATGGAAATTATAGTAACCAGCATATATCTATCTATTCAATCAGATAAAATCAGGTTTCAACTCATGCCGACATTGTAAAGGTCACATGGCGACTTCCCAGCATTACTGATGCATGTATAGACCCCTGGTGCCCCTCCATACATTAGTAAAATCTTGAATTTTGTTGAACAATCCGAAGCCACTGATGGATAGGTCCAGCTTAAAAAAGTAATACAAATCCATGCATCAACACTAAAATATGCAAACAATTAAAAATTATTGTTTTGTGCAATTGATGGGATTGATTACGTAGACATGAGTATTCTCATAAAAGGGTTAAATAAACATTAACGTTGAACAATACATTAGAATAAATGTAACCAACCCTTAGATGGTTCGTAATGTTAACCCGGAATTATGGATTGTTGAATGTGAATATTCAGCAATTTAAAAAGGCAATAATGAAGTGAATAGAACATAATTATTTCTTTTATTTGTTGGCTTTCAAGTCACATCGACACAGTGAATGAAATAAGTCGACTTCCCAGATTTTACTAGTAGAAAAAGATCTCACGTGTCCCTCTGTGCATTATTTCAGACACGAACGCTTAGCTGAGTAGAGCCACTGGCGCTCCTCGCATGCAAGAAACCAAAGTCCGCAGAATTGAGGGGCAAGTGGTGTAAAGTCAATGAACTTACCCACTCGAAACCGTATATATTTATAGAAATGATAGAAATACGTAAATTAATGAAATATTAGAAAACACATAAATAATCAGTAACATAATGAAATAACCCACATATTTTAACAATAATGAAATGGTGAAGAATAGAAGAAACACATTTATATAATGAAAGAAATAATAGAATATTAATAAATGTTATTAATCAAACCATATCTAACTGTATCATTTTAGTGCATTGAGATGTTAAAGTTATATTTTGTGTATGGTCAATAACTTATTAGCCTAAACCAGACTGTTGTTGTTCATTTGTGTATTTGGAAATAGAAATACCTTCTTCTATGCAATAAATAGATTTATAGAATAGATTCGTGTATAATTATGCAATTCATGAAATAATAGAATAAACATACGCAAATAATGAAGTAGAAGGATGAATATATGCATGCAATGAAATAATAGAATATACATACATGTTATTTATCAAATGACAGAATAAACATATGGAAATAATGAAAACTAAAAGATTAACTAAGGACATCGTAGGGCAGTTTTATAGGTAAATTTATAAGAGCAGGCGGTTTGTAACTAAAAAATAATTTATTCATAAACAACAAAATTTCAACAACATAACAATATCATATTTAAGTCAATATTGCATCCTTAAATCATTAAGACGCATGCATGTTATCTTAAACTATAACTCAAGTTAGCGTCTGTGAATAAAAAAACTTACTTCTTTTCTGACTAATGAATCCTTCCATTCATTTAAATTGTAAATCATTTTCTAAGCATATATATGTAACATTTTACCGAGCATCAATTCTAATTAAAATAAGCATAAAACATAACGTGCGGTTACATAATTTTCGTATTTATTAACAATTACCTATATCAATATTGTTTAATAACAACACGGTTTTTATTGTATAGAATAGAAGAATTGAAGTTCGTGCTGTTGACTTTTTTGGGAGTCTAATATCTGTGCCTTAAGATAATAGTGTTTATTGAAACGGTCCTAAGATAGTACTAAAGTTGGCCAAATGTCAAAGGACTAATGATACACTTAGAATTGTCTATGAAACGCAGTGCTGGTCTTGAGTGTCAACATTTATGTTTTAATTTGCAAACGCGCTTTTGTTATACTGAAAAGTTGCCTAATTTAAAATGGCGTTTCTATTTATAAAAGAAATCTTGTTTGATCAACACACATTGTTCGGATATGTGCATAAAATGTCTAGAGTGGGTTTTAGTAAAGAATGTGTACGCTAATGATCACATGCAGTTCTTCTATAGTATGGTAAACATTTACGACACTAGGATTTGCCCGACTTCGGATTTGAGTAGGTGTATGCCGGCGGCGGGTGGTAACCGGGTGGGTAGGCAGGATCGTTGAATCCATACGATGTGTCGGAACTTCCCGGGTACGAGCTGTACTGGTTGTAATTGGGCGGGGCTGCTCTAGGTGGAGGGTGGTTTGGAACATTTGACACTGTAAGAAAACAAATCAATAACTATTCAGCTTTAAAATCGGAAAAAAAATATTTAAAAAATTAAGGTAACTAGACTATTTTTTAAAGTCAAAAATTCTACATAATAAAAAATAAATATACATGTATCAAATAACGGTACTTTCTATAATGTTCATTTAGCTACAGTATACGAAATAACCCCAGAGGTGTAACATATTAAATATAGACGGAGTAACCTACCACAGACGGAGTATTCTACTATAGACGGATTATTCTACAATAGACGGAGTATTCTACTATAGACGGAGTAACCTTTCACGAGTAACCTATCATAGACGGAGTAATCTATCATAGACGGAGTAACCTGTCATAGACCGAATAACCTACCATTGACGGAGTAACCTATTATTGACTTGTGACCTACTTCAGACTGAGTAACCTACTATAAACGGAGAAACCTATCATAGTCGTAGTTACCTAACATAGATGGAGTAACCTGTAATATACGGAGTTATATATATATATGAGTAACCTATCATAGAAGGAGTAACCAATTACAGACAGAGTAACCTACCATAGACAGAGTTTGTATTGTTATGTATTGGATGCACCATGCTAGCATTCCGGTTGGCATTTGCCTGTTTACACATGCATACAAGGCAGACGATACAACCGACCACAGCTACCACGACCAACACGGCACCTATCGCCACGCCAACAATCGCCAGTGTTCTGTAAAATGCAATGCAAACGTTTCAATCTTTATCATAACATGACAACATTTGCTTTAGAGAATGATTTTAGAATGAGTTTGCTGTCGATTTAAAGAAATTGATCTTTATCACGACAACTTCATGCTTATCCCATTTGGAATACTAAAGCAATTTTTAAGGATTTCTGTAATTTCTATAGTTAGCCATCGTTACAATGCATGGCTAAATTGTTTTAAGAACCGTACAGATGGAAGGTGCATGAATGAATCTCGGACAAACGGTAGTAAGGACAGGTGTTTACATATGAGCCGCGTCAAGACAAAACCAACATAATGGGTTTGCGACCAGCATGGATCCAGACCAACCTGCGCATCCGCGCAGTCTGATCAGGATCCATGCTATTCCCTTACAAATCCTATTAGAAGTAGAGAAACTGATAGCGAACAGCATGGATCCTAATCAGACTGCGCGGATGCGCAGGCTGGTCTGGATCCATGCTGGTCGCAAACGCATTAGGTTGGTTTTGTCGTGACGCAGCTCATATAGTGTAGATTCTATTTGCACAATATTACATAAACAGATGTTCGCTCTGTGTAATGCTTAAAAGCCAAAAAACTAAGTGTGAATGCTGTCAAAGCTTGTGAGAAAATGATATAAACTTACGACATATCGCAACATTTCTCTGAACAACATCCATATTCACAGTATTTATACCTAGAGTCAATGTAACAGAATTCGCCGCTTGCTTGCCCCAGCCCTAAAATAATCGACGATAGATACATTAACAAGAGTAATAAGTGTTGAATAATTATTATTCATTAACTATAAAAAGCAATGATGTGTGCTTTAAATTAAATGAACTTATAATAATGTAACACTATTTTTTAGTTAGAGCCAACAATAAACCTAATGGACAAATAACTCACAGATATTAAGTCTGTATACATACTTCAATAAGTAAACAAATTTATACATTAGTAAGAGTTAGTATAGTTTGTAAACCAAACTTCAGTTAATAAACTAATTTATTAGTAAGAATTAAGTAATAGAAAGAGCATCGAAACACGAGGCCATCTGATTTGTACGAGGGGATGTAGCCCCAGAGTATTAATCAGATTGCCGAGTGTCTCTTTGTATCATAGTCAAACATTAAAACACATTCCCTGTTGTCACAATATGAAACCCCAGGAAAAAAGTAGCCAATCAACGAGCATCTGAATATGATATTTCTATAGCTTTCCCTTTCTCTGCCGTCACAATAAGTAAACCACAGCAAAAATGAACCAATCAATGGGCATGCTCTGGAGTGCGGGTAACTAATACTTGCACTCCAGTTAACAAACACACTGTGCATGTATATGTATACGATTTAAATCTGACACATTTTCCTCGGAAAGGTCCCCAAACTATGATACAATTAGTAAGAAAGTATAAATATCTCCCTTCTACTATTATTTTTTTACATATTAATTGAAAACAGCAACAGTTACTGTTTTTTTTAAATTTTACAATTGACATCATGACACGGCGCAATCACGTGACTGAAGTAGTTTCCTTCTTATGCCAGATGTCTACTACGAAGCATATATAATAGCCAAGGAGATAAGATTGAATGCAATAGTAACATTATGCAATATCAACAGTAATTATAATACCATGCAGTAAATACGTTGAAAATAGCAAATAAAACCGGCATGCAGAATACGTACTGTCGCATTGCTAATATATTTCTTTCTTAGACCGTGTACGACGAATGTTTTGAAGATGCCACATTGACGATGAGGAAGCCAATGTCATCACTTTATATGATGTGTTTCGGCTTCAGTTACTTCACAAACATCGACTTTAACTGGTTGATGTTTAAGCAACATGCTCCAAGAACATATGCTTATTTTCTTCAGGGTGCAGCTTATACAAATGAGCCGCGTCACGACAAAACCAACATAATGAGTTTGCGACCAGCATGGATCCAAACCAGCCTGCGCATCCGAGCAGTCTGATCAGGATACATGCTGTCCGCTGTCAGTTTCTCTGCATGCTTGTTATAGGGTTTGAAAGCGAACAGCATGGATCCTGATCAGACTGCGCGGATGTGCAGGCTGGTCTGGATCCATGCTGGTGGCAAACCCATTATGTTGGTTTTGCCATGAGGCGGCTCTAATAGTAAATTGTGGTATTAATGGCTCATATTAATATCCTCTTTATATTAAAACTTTCAGTAGATTGACTATCTAAATGTTGCCTGACCATTAGTTGATAATGAAAAATGTTAAGGATGAAATAGAAAAATAACCTTAATTACAAAAAGACTGCAATACTCTTTTGTTTAAATTTGAATGTCCCGAAACATTCAAAACGATATTTGTAGAAATGTCTAATAAAGAAATAGATAAAGTAAATATATCCGTATCGTCACTTATAATTTGCAAGTCCAGAATCTACAAATTTTATTTATTTATAAAGAGTAATTCATTTATGATTGCGGTGAAAATTGTTTATAATTTTATCGCAGTTATTGCCTTTGAATCAAGAAATATGCTTTAAAGAACAAGATACACAATGCATTTTAGAACATTTAAACAATCATAAAATAATACTACAAAAAAGTTCGACAAAGCTTTGTTCACAACGCTATGAGTGTTATACTCTAAATGATATGGGTTTTATCTCACGAAATAAAAACCCAGACTTTCACTTATTAGAATAAACTATTACAACGACTTGTTAGAGTATATCTAAATAAAAACCCAGACTTTCACTTATTAGAATAAACTTTTACGACGGCTTGACAGAGTATATCTATAGAAATAAAAAGATATAGTGTATATTGACCTATTTATTTAAACGAAAATGGTATAATTTATTCTATGACACACTTGATGAAGATTTGAAAATATGTAACACGGTGTCGTGCCAAAAGCGACACACAAATAAATAAATACAGTTGATGGATATTATATAAATACCAGTAACCAACATACATTTATCTAATTCAATCATCATAAAATTTCAAGGTTTTTCAAAGTGCGTGGGCCGGGACATGGGTAAAAAGGTCCATTGGCGGACTTTCCAGGCAATTACTGGTGCATATAGTAACCCCTCTTGGGGCCCCTTCAATTCATTAGTAAAATCTCAAATTTTATTGAATTCTCCGAAGTTACTGTTGGGCTGTTCCAATTTAAAATAGTAAGACAAATCCATGCATCAAACACTAAAATATGCAAACAATTAAATATTATTGTTTTGTGCAATTGATGGGATTGATTACGTAAACATGATTATTCTCATGAAAGGGTCACATGAACATTGGATTAGAATAAATGTAACCATCTAAGGGTGACGGTACGTAATGTTAACCCGAATAGGGCAATGCTGTTATGGATTGTTGAATGTGAATATATAGCAATATAAAGAGGCAATAATTTAAAGAAGTGAATATAACGTAGTTTATTTCTTTTATTGTCAGAGCGACACAGTAAATGTAATATGGCGACTTCACAGCTTTAACTGGCATGTGTCCCTCTGTGCATTATTTCAGACATTATTTCAGACACGAACGCTTACCTGAGTAGAGCCATTGGCGCTCCTACTAAAGTTCCTGGCGGGATTTCAGACCCACAGAAGTGAGGGGCAAGTGTTGTAGTCAATGACCTTATCCACTCGACCACGGACACAACAACCGTAGATATTTATAAAAATAATAGAACTACGTAAATTAATGAACTATTAGAATACGCATAAATAATCAATTACATAATAAAATAACCCACATGTTAAAATAATGAAATGGTGAAGAATAGAAGAAACACTGAAAGAATAATGAAAGAAATAATAGAATATTAAAAAATGTTATTATTCAAACCATATCTAACTGTATTATTTTAGTGCATTGAGATGTTAAAGTTATATTTTGTGTGTGGTCAATAACTTATTAGCCTAAACCAGACTGTTGTTGTTCATTTGTGTATTTGGAAATAGAAATACCTTCTTCTATGCAATAAATAGATTTATAGAATAGATTCGTGTATAATTATGCAATTCATGAAATGATAGAATAAACATACGCAAATAATGAAGTAGAAGGATGAATATATGCATGCAATGAAATAATAGAATATATATACATGTTATTTATCAAATAACAGAATAAAACATATGGAAATAATGAAAAACTAAAAAGATTAACTCAGGACATCGTAGGGCAGTTTTATAGGTAAATTTATAAGAGCAGGCGGTTTGTAACTAAAATGTAATTTATTCATAAACAACAAAATTTCAACAACATAACAATATTAATATCATATTTTAGTCAATATTGCATCCTTAAATTATTACGAAGCATGTATGTTATCTTAAACTATAACTCGAGTTAGCGTCTGTGAATAAAAAAAACTTACTTCTTTTCTCACTAATGAATCCTTCCATTCATTTAAATTGTAGTATCATTTTCTAAGCATATACATGTGTATATATGTGATATTTTTACTGAACAAAATACTTTTTCCTCAATTCTAATTAGAATAAGCATAATATAAAACGTGCAGTTACATAATTTTCGTATTTATTAACAATTACCTATATCTTTATTGTTTTATAAATAACAACACACTTTTTATTGTATAAAATAGAAGAATATGAATTGAAGTGCGTGCTTTTGTATCTATTATTTGTTCTTAATGTCTAATGTCTGTGTTTTAAACTAATAATGTTTATTGAAACGGTCCTAAGATAGTCCTAAAGTTGGACTGGTCTTGAGTGTCAACATTTATGTTATAATTTGCAATCGCGTTTTTGTTATACTGAAAAGTTGCCTAATTTGAAATGGCGTTTCTATTTATAAAAGAAATCTTGTTTGATAAAAACACATGGTTCGGATATGTGTATAAAATGTCATGAGAGTGTTTTAGTAAAGAATGTGTACGCTAATGATCACATGCAGTTCGTCTATAGTATACTAAGCATTTACAACACTAGAATTTGTCCGACTTCGGATTCGAGTAGGTGTATGCCGGCGGAGGGTGGTAGCCGGGAGGGTAGGCAGGATCGTTGAATCCATACGATGTGTCGGAACTTCCCGGGTACGAGCTGTACTGGTTGTAATTGGGTGGGACTGCTCTAGGTGGTGGGTGGTTTGGAACATTTGAGACTGTAAGAAAACAAATCTAAATCAGTGAATATTCTGCTTTAATTATGCCCTCATTCGTCAATAAAAAAAGCTTTGATTCAGTATTATGGTAACGCAAGTAATACATCACTGTGACACGTTAATACATATTGCTAACTTTCTGTATACATGTGCATATATAAAATATTATTCATACATATATTTAAGTTTTAATTGGCCTACGTGAATATTGTATCTGAAAAAATAATGAAAAATAAAGGAAAAAACTAGGTAACTAGATACAAATTTAGGTAAAAAAAAGAAATAACGAAACTTTTTATTATGTTCATTTAGCTACGACATATAAAGAAACATTTCAAAGGCGGAGTAACCTTACATAAACGGAGTGACCTGCCATACTGTATCATAGACAGAGAAACCTATCATAGAAAGGAGCAACTTACCGTATCATAGACGAAATAACCTATCATAAGCGGAGTAACCTATCACAGACGGACTGACCTACCATAGACGAAATAACCTACCATAGACGGAGTAAACTACCGTAGTCGGAGTAACTTACCAAAGATGGAGTAACTTACCATAGACGGAGTATCCTACATAGACAGAGTATCCTACATAGACGGAGTAACCTATAATAGATGAAGTAACCTACCATAGACGCAGTAACCTACCATAGACGGAGTAACCTACCATAGACGGTGTAACCTACCATAGACGGAGTAACCTACCAAAGACGGAGTAAAACTACCCGGTAGTCGGAGTAAAACTTACCAAAAGATTTGGAGTAACTTACCATAGACCCGGAGTACCCTAACATTAGACAGAGAATTTCCTACATAGACGGAGTAACTATAATTAGATGGTAAACCTAACCAGAGACGGAGTATCCTACATAGACAGAGTATCCTACATAGACGGAGTAACCTATAATAGATGAAGTAACCTACCATATACGGAGGCAACCTACCATATTGACGGAGTAACCTACCGCAGACGATGTAACCTACCATAAGACGGAGTAACATAACAAAAAGACGGATAAACCTTGCGTACGAACGGAGTAACCTCCCTCACACGATTTAGGTTAACGTACCATGGAACGAAGTAACCTTTCTATAGACGGAGTAAACTCTAAAGACGATGTAACCTTACCCATAGACAGAGTAATCTACCAATTAGACGGAGTTAACTACCTTAGCTATTGCGGGGTAACCTACGTAAACAGGTTAACTACGTAAACTGTTACCTTCGTAGAGTTACCTGTCATAGACTGAGTAATCTATAACGAACGGAATAATCTACTATGAGTAACCTTTTCATAGACGGAGACGAGAAAAGGTTAACATACCATAGACGGAGTTTGTATTATTATGTATTGGATGCACCATGCTAGCATTCCGGTTGGCATTCGACCTGTTTACACATACATACAAGGCAGACGATACAACCGACCACGGACGCCACTCCCAATACAGCACCTATTACAAGGCCAACAATTGCCAGTGTTCTGTAAAATGCAATGCATAATTATGTTTGCATCATATTCCTAGCATGACAACGTTCGCATTTGAGAATGATTTTAAAATGAGTTTGCTGTTGATTTACAGAAATTGATCTTCATCATTTGTCTCAATTTGAATGCCATAGCATTTTTTATGGGTTTCTGTAATTTCTATAATTAACTATCGTTACACGGTCGTAATTATTTAAGAACCGTGCAAAAGGAATTAAGGTCCATGAATGTGTCTCGTGTTCAAGCGGTAATAATGACAGTTGCTTACATATTGTGTAGAATCTATTTTGACATTTGTAAATTAACTGATTTGAAGCAAATTAAAGAAGTCTTTATGTTCGCTTAAAAGCTAAATACTAAGTGTGGCCACTGTCAAAAATTATGGAAAAATAGTTTACACTTACGACATAGCGCAGCATTTCTGAGAACAACATCCATATTCACAGTATTTTACCTCATCATCAAAGGTGCAGAAGTCACTTGCTTGCCCCAGCCCTAGAAAAATACAGTCACAGTTAAAGCAGCATGCCTCTTGATTCATAATAATTTTCATGGAAATTTTAAAATGTATTTAAAAGTGAAATTTTGTGAAGTGAGCAAAGAAAATAATTTAAAGAATTGCAAGCAGCACTTGCAGCTCACGTTAATTACCAAAATAGGTTAAAATAGACAAAAAAAGTCTTGTCTGCGTTAGTAACGTACTAGAAATATAGTGATAAATACCGGAAATTCAGTCTTTAATCCTAAATCACATGTAAATTATTATTTGAGTCTTTTTAATTTTCTTAAATCCCAGTACAGTTTCTCAATATGTTGAAAAATAATTGTTCATTCACTAGATTAAGCAACAACGATTCGTGCTTCAAATTAAATTAACTCGTGTTTAATTATTTGTCCATCAACTTAACAACCAAAATGAAATAACATAAAAAAGAATCGTGATAAAGATTCGTCAAAAGCTGAACTACGCATGACTATTACATGTTTGCGCATGCGTATACATATCATTGCATATTAACCCGTAAAGAGAAAACAACATATGACGTAACTGCGCATTATATTTACACCATCAAATTACGAAGCCAGTGGTAAATAGTTATCCCAACCCATTCCGCCCTCATTCAAAATCCCAAAAACAATAATACAATTATTTTTTTCGGATGAAACCGGGATCCAGTTACACATACATAAAATGACTACCAAAATGGATATACGGAAATCTATATAATTAACATTTCGAGCGGATAGGTAAATAACGCTCCTATGGCTTTCAACTCTCACTGAAAGAAAAAAATACACTAATAACATTTTACAACTGCTTATTTCACATAAAATCATAACGTAAAGCTACGTAAAGAAATATATATCTATCACTAATTAAACCACTAATTACTGAAAATTAAGATCTATTAATATCGAAAGAATTGTCTTACCAAAACATATCACTAGAGTTAGAGTAAATATTAATCTGTAACAGTAAATATATGAAAAGAGAAACATTTCTCTTCTTCGACATTTAAAATCCACGAGAGAAATAATTTATTAAATGAAACAAAATTTTAACATGAATTGATAAATGATGAACATTAGCATTTATTGAATTGATATTCGTTTATTTAAAGTTTGTACCAAATGAGAAAGAATGAATGTAAAAAGTGTTATTGACACGATCAATTGATATTTTAAAAAATCTTTGACATCATATATTGATTTTTATACCTTTGCGTCTTTTGTAAACAAAAAGGTACCCTGTATTTTAAATCGAATGAACACCGTCAATAGATGTGCCCAAATTTATTCTATAGCAAAACATGCATTAACAATTTGGGCATTGAAAATTTATTTAAAGTAACATCAATATACGTCACTAATTTTGAGTAAGAGCCAACAATAAACCTAATGGACAAATAACTCACAGATATTAAGTCTGTATACATACTTCAATTTGTTAATAAATTTATACATTAGTAAGAAATAATAAATATGACATTTAGTTTGTAAAACAAACTTCAATAAATAAACTAATTAATTAGTAAGAATTAATCAGTAAGAATATATAAATATCTCCCTTTTACTATTATTTTTCATTTGACTAGGGTCACATTAATGAAAAACAGCAACAGTTACTGATTTTAAAATTTTACAATTGACATCATGACACGGCGGAATCATGTGACTGAAGTAGTTTCCTTCTTATGCCAGAGATCTACTACGAAGCATGTTTAATAGCCAAGGATATAAGAATGAATGCAATAGTAACATTATGCAATATCTACAGGAATTATAATACCATGCAGTAAATACGTTGAAAATAGTACATGTATGACTTGTATTATTACAAATGTAGTGCAATCTATGTGCACTTAAAAATTTACCATTTAAAAGAGATGGCACAACAAGAACTTATTCGCCATAACAGTTATGGTATAAGGAAGCAAAGATGACATATGCACTTTCCATCAATTTCACAAGCATTATTATTAAGTTCCGCATTATTAGGAAACCCTCGGTCTTTTGTTTCCATTCTTTAACTTTGTGAAGTTTACAAGCATGTTTTTTTTCTCATTAACATGTAGCATGACTAACTTATCTTTTGCTGCTTACTCCAGCAGGGTGCTATGTAACATAGCATGCTATAAAATAATGATGAAAATTGTAAAAAATCCCAATGCTTTATGTGAATGTAGATATTCTTTTAGCAAAAATATGTTCTCACCAGCTGGCTAGGAACATTGCTTGTCTTAGAGCAATAAACGATGTTGCGATGTGTGGCAGCTAACTTGTGTCTAAGGGCAGTCGGCAACAGTGATACTTTCAATGACGAGAACTTCTACATACAATAAAACCGACATGCAGAATATATGGAAGCCTTGGAGGGTCACTTTTGAGTTTCGACTTATAGATTTATTTTACTATTTTCTTATGACTTTTGATTTATGACTTTTGATTTATGACTTTTGATTTTTGACTTATGGATTTTGTTACTGTCCCACGTGCTTGCCTCATTATTTCCAAGGAAAATATGGCAGAATATGACAACGATTCAGACGAGGTAAGTTCATTTACCTAAGTTTCTTGGAGACTTATTTAAAAACAAAATATGTGGGTACATATGCAAGGACAGATGTTATTCTTATATAAGCCTTTTTAATTGATTAAGAAAAGAAAATATTTTGCTTGCATTGCATTGCATTTGGTATCCATTTTTTATTTTTATTTCCGGAACAGGGATATATAATCTCAAATTGACATACAGCGTATGAATCAAACGCTTTATTTTTTATGTAGGTTCCAGTTTTAAATCCAAATCATTCTCACATTGTTGTTTGCTGCAGTTTCAATCGGTTTTCCACCCGTAGTTCATTCTTCGTCCATCTTATATTGAATAGAGACCAAATTATAGGCCTTATTTTGACAAAGAAATTTGTAATTAAGAAGTTTCATGAAACATGGTATTTCAAAAACAATAAATCATACAGCTTTGAAACTTCACACACTTCAGACACTTAAGTAATAAATCTCTGAATTGCATTGTTATCAAAGTATGCCTCTTTTTTCGACTTTGAATTTGTTGTTTTAGAATTTTCATGAAAAATGGTTTCGCAAAAAACTATTTTAGCGATTCCTTTGAAACTTAAAACACACATTTTAAGTGTTGACATCTAAGGTCAATGACCAAGTTTCGTATGAGTGGCTCACAATTTGACATACTTATGCCCATTTGTAAAGCTAAAAATGTTTTGTCAGAAGGTTTTATGAAATATGGTCCCATATAAACCAGTTATGATATAATATTGAAACTTTATTATTCACTTGTTCAATATCAATAACTTAGGACGCCTACCAAGTACAAAGTACATGTTATTTGTATATATAAACTTTTGAATACAGTTATGTATTAAGGGATTTTTGTATTTCATTTTGTATATATATAGGTATTTCATTTCAATTGAGATAACACATACTTTTAATGTTTTCAATTTAAATTCTAGTAAAGCTACCTGTAGGGATTAAGGACGAGCTGTCGAATGGTTTCAACTACAAAGCAGTTGCAGAACATCAGCAATACATATTTGTCAAGTTTTCGGAGCCAGTTTAGAAGACTATGAGGTTTCATTGCAACACAGCGTTCGTTCCGAGTGGAAAGTAGTACAGTTTAGCAAATGCAAAATGTGCAAACACTGGTGATTTGGTTTTCTTCGTTATTGTCTATGGAAATATTCAGACATTTTCGGAATACGAGGGTTAACCTTTTCACACTTGTTTCAGACGCTCGACAACCCCACCATTTATTGTGGACGCTTATTGGAAACACACAATGTCACGTCCCGCCACGTTTATTTTATATTGTCCATATATCCAATATGGTATAAAACTTGTATCGATAGACAGGTCACCGTGAGACAAAGAAAGGTGTGAAAAATCATGAATTCACAATTCTGGCTTTCATAATTTTCAGTATTTGCCCATTGTAAATTTTAAAACTTATATGAAAGGTATCGAAATCAAACTTTGCATGTTCATATAGCTCGGCGAGGCAGTAAGAAACATACTTCTTAGCTATCATAAATTTTAGAAAGTCTTGTTTTTTATTGTTTTTTTTTTTCCATTCTTAGATTTTGTTAAGCTCATAATTATCTCAAAAACTGTTGAAGGCATCAACTTGAATTTACTGGCAGATATATCTCGGCGAGACAGAGTGCATTGTATTGTTAACAAAACTTTTGATTATAAAATTAAATCGTTCTCCTAAGTTAAAAATTCCCTTTTTGACATGGACATGCCGTGGGTTGGGGGTATGCTCATTACGAAAGACTATGAGATTTCCTTTACATATAAAATTGGTCATACTTCGAAAAAAAAATGTGGACGTTATTTAAAGTTAACTAGGAAATCTTTGGCGAGAGACTGTGTTTGTTTTTTCTTTCTTTTGAACATGTAGAAATGAAGAAATAACGCTCTGACAATGATTTTAAAAATCTTGACTTCAATAATAATACAAACACTCTAACGTTGCTAATTTACCTAATTTATCTTATGTTATCAAACGCTTTGTAAAAACACTCATGATTTTCTTAGTTTTTCATCAGTAACGTATCACAATGTGTTGTTTTGTAGAAATATTGCATGCATATATGTCTTCTGTGACGTAAATACTTGATGTTTTTGTTGATGACAGTATTCATTTTAAGCTGTTCCTTAGTGTTAGCTTTTAAGTAAGGCATATGTGCTATTTTAGAAAAAAATGCTAGCCTCTGTATTTCTTATCTCTCTTTTTTTTAAATTAAATATAATGAAGCTCAAATGCAGTTTGTTTTGCATACCTAATACATTTGTTTTCTTATAAGACAACAATTTGAAACAAAATAAAGCACGGTTGTAGAATTAGAAATGTTTGTTGTTATCTGTTTAAACGCATTTATTCCAAAAAATTATTGATAGCTCTGCCAACCTGTCACGGTCTAGACCGTGAGGTAAAAAAAACCTTTGGTAACGTGGTCTCTCGGTAGAGGTATATTTTAGGTGGTCTGTTGAGGGAGTTGGCTGGTTCCACACAGTTTACTTCTATAGTGATTGATATTCTATTTCTACTTTGCTCATTTTAACCTCTTACATATAATTTTAATGGAACATTGACTCTACATAATAAATAAATTCTCTGTAACATTTAAATACTGTTTATTCTGATAGTAAATTGCAAGTTTATTTTTTGATTATAACAAAGTTACAATAACACAATAATAAATTGTAAACAAATGAGGACAAATGTATTTTTTATCATTCATGACCAGATTAAATATGCATTTTTCTACTTACAACATTGGAAAAATTGATATCTTCGCTCGACTTCGGTCTATTTTGCGAGATATCATTTTTTCCACCGCTGCTCGTAGCAATCAATACAAAGCCTTAAAAAGCTACTACTACATAATATTCCGTTTATATCTTCTTTAATTTAATGTATTATAATGCCTAACGCTTGTTCCCTCTTTAATAGTGAACACGGAAAAAATAGCGTACCAGTCAACCGTGACTAAATTTTCAACAAAGAATTAAATAATCTATTTCAAGATTAAAATGTTAATGAAAAATTGTAATAAAGCTACACATCTAGAAAATAGCTCAGAACTGTTTAATCTGAATAAAAAAATTACTTATTTATCAATAACAGTTTATTTACTTTTATACTTAATGCTGCAGACGGCACTTATGAATGATGTTCCGAATTAAACCTTCTTTATACATATGATTTTTACAAAAACAATTGATGTTGATTCTTCACGTAAAAAAGATCAACTATCATATGATAAAAATCATATGAATGCACAATAATTCTAATGCAAAAATTAGGCTAGTGGCTAAACTGTGTACTTGTAAACATTATATGACTTCAACACCACTCTCGGCTGATGTGCTCCCTTGCGTTTGGTGACTGTATCACAAATTTGCTTATTTTGCACTAATCTAAAATCAAGTTAAACTAATGTTTTATACCAAAGGCAAAGAGTAACAGCAAATGACAAAAGTTATAAGTCAAAAGTCAAAAGATAAAAAGTCATATGCGAGTAACCTTAAAAAGTGATAAATTATAAGTGAAAAGTCACAAGGCAAAATTTAATAAAAAACGAGAAAATTTATTACAAAGATCAACTATATTATTTTTGAAATAACAAATCATATATATTCCTTTTACATATAGTTACCATATACATTCTATAAAGTATGGTTGCTATTTGTTGCGAATGAATAAGACGTTTAAATCTAATTACACATACTTGAAATTACACATATCACTTATATGTCACGGTACGAAATCTATTCAGTAGATGATGTGCACTCTCGGTCGGGACAGAACTAGCCCTGTAAGGGGTTGCGGGTTCAAATCCCGGTATGGCTGCATATCTTTTTTCCCCTGTGGCATTTGGTATAGTGGAAAGTGTCCCTGCCAGTCACGCGGGAGACCGAGGTTCTATTCCTAGCCGGGCAGCCTTTTTGTAACCAGGGCTTGATATAGAACAGATACAGGTTGTGGGTTTGAAACCCATAGGAGCCAACATTTTTTTTCTTCGTTTTTTTTCTGTTAACAGTATTTTTGTATTTTTTCTACCTATATTTAGATCTACATGGAAAAATATGCTCGTTTTCTATTATTATCATTTTTTACAGATATTCATTGCCTAATAAATGCTAAATATAAGAGCAAATACGACATATAACATTTTCAATGCTTTATATATTACAAACAAGCCGGTAAAAGCCTTCCATATTTCTCAGAATGAATCAATATACTTCTAGAGAGATTATAGCAAACTTTGATACAAGCCCTTTGACAAATGTAATTTCAGTGATTTTCTAAATTTAGAATGATATGATAGAAATTGTTCAAATGGGTGGGGTAGAGAAACATTTCCATGCATATTTCTATCGTGTCGAGAAAAGTCATGCATTTAACATGCATAGTTCATTACTAGAATGTTATTTTTTTGCATCTAAACAAACAACACTTGCAAAACATGTTAAAGAAGAAGATATTTTTTAGACTTTCAATACATGTATTTCTTTTTAAAAGCCTTTTTGATGTATATGTTCTGACTCATAATAATGCCTACAACTCCAAATCCGTACAGTAAATTTTGCTTAAATTTTGCATACATGTGTCCTTTAGGTATACCACTTAACAATGTTGTCAATTTTACAATCCCTTATAGTGCAAATTAGAGTGGTTATAACTTAAATGATAATTTACAAATATATTGTAATTTGCTCAATATTTACAAACCAATATCTTCAAACAACCATAAAATGAAGTGAAATCGTAGACTATCGTCTTTATGACTTTAAAACATCATTTTTTTGAAACTTAACCTATAGTAATCTAGTATATATCAATAACACAAAAAAAAATAAAAATTAGCCGTTTCAAAGCGTATTTATATTAAATCTACTCTCAAAATTAAATCGTTCAACTCGGTAACAACAGTTGTAGTGCTGAACGGCGTCCAATGGCATCTGTAGATCTGGCTTCAGAAGGGGTGCTAATTCTACGAATTCCTCACATTGTCTTTTTGGGCGTGAATACATGTTCTTTGCAAATATATACGTCTCTCAAGTTAACTGCATTGCCGAAGTCGTGAGTTTCATACAGACCTGGTACAAAAAACAGTGTTTCAGGTTTACCATAAATAACAGAAGGTATGTTGCCTTATTTCATGTGCAATCCGGTCTAACTCGGTTTGTATGAGGTCCATAAAGCAAAATTTTAAGTTATCACATTGTATCTGGTCCAGATCATTAAATGCACATGTATCGCGTAAAGTCTTTGAAAAAAATTAATCCACCAATGGATTTCATTTTGTCGTAATGTACACCACCACTTCTCAATGCGTTGGTTAGATGTGCTTTTTCCAACTACAACGCTTTGAGTACCAGCAATCGGATCTGTAGAATCGTGTCTGAAGTATTCCTGCAATAGTAAAGCAATGCAGTTTTCCGTACCAACATCACAACGTAGTATTGGGTGGGGGGACTTGGTATTGTTCATTAAAGGTGTCAAAAAGTATCTTGCAATAAGGCGTGGGTCGTTATTTGAGTCCGAAACCATATTATTTTTCTACTATACCTATTCACAGCATGTTTATGGTTTACATTTGTCTCAACTGTCCATATGTCATATAAAACTGGCCCTTTGGCGTAGTATACGCGTCGGCATAAGCGATAAGCTTTCCGCATCTCAATATCAACTGGATCAAGCGCTCTCATTATTTCCATGACGTCGTCCCCCTTGAGGTACATGTGGTAATCCAGCATTAACCTATGCCACATTGTGCGGTATCCTATGCATTGTCCATTTGTTTGTATTTCTCTGTTTATAAGATCAGACACAGACTCAAATGGAGTATATATTCCATTACGCCGTTTTAAATTTAAGCGTTTAAAAATTCTATTCACTGTACTTGTATCCTGGCACGGTAGCTTTGGTAATGCCGAACAGTATAATGATGAAGACACAGATCAACATCAAGGTTTTCATCCTCGTTACCTTTTGTCCAGTAGTTGCGTCTGAAATAAGAGTTTATCTTTTATTTAAATCTTTATACATTCATAGTATATAAAATGGGTAAATCTTCTAGCTCCGTCTTTTAAAGATTGATAGGTACGAAACAAAAAACATTTAAAATGATAGTAGGATATTTTGTTCTAACTTGTCCTATATCTATGTTTGTTCTTAAGTGTTTTTTTTTTCTCAATTGTTAAAATATACAACAAAATTAGACATTGATGCTAAATGCAAATGTGCCTCGATCACAATTATAACTTTGTACTTGTGTGTATGAACATAGCACTTGCTGTTCATTATGAAATTGCTTAACACTATCTAAGTACTTCAAAGAAATACTGATTCTGTGTTAGCTAAATAAAATGCTGAATTGCGATACATGTTTAACACTATGCACCATGCCATTTTAAGACGTAAAACTTGTATTCCCTGTCTACTTGTAAAACAGTTATTTGTTTGTTACTCATGGACAGATTTTGTGATGAGGACAAAAATGTGTAAGCACTAATATAATGAACATATTTAGAACAAAGCAGATTGCAGAAAACACACAGTCACACTTGTAGAATTAAAGTCTGATATATTACCACTATGGGATTATATCAAATAACATTAATTCCCTCCTTAACACATCATCTCCTCCATGACAAATCTCAATGAAATTATTTAAAACGTTTAAAAAACATACCTGAAACCAAAGTTGCTGCTTTCAGCTTCTAAAAAACGTGTAAAATGGGTTAGCCATAAGTCATAAGACGTAAGTCACAAATCAAAAGTCACAAATCAAAAGTCAAAAGTCGAAAGTCAAAAGTAAAACATCCGTAAGTCGAAACTCAAAAGTGACCCTCCAAGGCTTCCATAAGAATACGCACTGTCGCATTGCATATATATTTTTTTCTTAGACCGTGTACGATGAATGTTTTGAAGATGCCATATTGACGATGAGGTAGCCAATGTCATCACTTTATATGATGTGTTTCGGTTTCAGTTACTTTACAAACATCGACTTTAACTGGTTGATTTTTAAGCCACATGCTCCAAGAACATATGCTTATTTTCTTCAGGGTACAGCTTATACAAATGAGCCGCGTCACGACAAAACCAACATAATGGGTTTGCCATTGTTGGTTTTGTCATGACGCGGCTTAAATAGTAAAATGTGCTATTAATGGCTCATTTTTGATATCTTTATATTAAAACTTTCAAGAGATTGACTATGTAAATGTTGCCCGACCAATAATTGAGAATGAAAAATGTTAAGGATGAAATAGAAAAATAACCTTAATTATAAAAAGACTGCAATATAATACTCTTTTGTTAAAAATTGAATGTCCCAAAACATTCAAAACGATATTTGTAGAAATGTCTAATGAAGTTATAGATAAAGTAAACATATCTGTATAGTCTCTTATAATTTGCAAGTCCAGAATCTACAAATTTTATTTATTTATTAAGAGATATCATTACGGTGAAAATTGTTTATAATTTCCATTAGCATAAACTTTTACAACGGCTTGGACAGAGTATATCTAAATAAAAGCTCAGATTTTCACTTATTAGCATAAACTATGTGTAATTTACTTCCTTTGTACACATCTCAATATTTTACTTTTATATACATTTTCCTTATTATTATAAAAATAAGTATGGCTCTTGTGGCATGCTGCTTACATTATGTTTAATGATGTAATTTGAAGGAAATTTTGTTTTCCCATTAATTTTATATAAAGCAGGACCATGGGGCGCGATTTCAACAACTTTAAGCGTCTTACGCACTTATCCACTTCACTCAATTATATACTCTTGTTTGGAGTATCCGTTATATAAAAACAATGAATTCCATGTGATGGAATATCTTCCTTGATATATTTACATGTGTATTTACAGTGTTTATTCAAATTTGTATACATATCAGCCACGACAGCCATGTTACAATAAAGAGAAATACTTTAAAAAAAACATCTTGACAATGGAAATAAAATAACAATCAAAAGAATTCGAACATCGTACATGTAGCTAATTGTTATTGAATTATTTTAAGTAAGTGAGCCCTGAAAGTGTTTTGTGTTGCAAGTGTCAAGTGTCGTTTGAATAGATGAAATTAGTTTTGTCAACTTATATTTTCCTTGTACAAAAATTGGAGTCAACTTTGACGTCACGTCTCTACGATAACATCATTTGACCACTATGATGAAAATGTTATGTCACGGCTCATATATATTTCATATATATTTAATAGATAAAATACTGAGTGAATAATGAAATTCAAATTTTTGAGTTTTTATTGATTAAGAAATAAACGTAAGTATAAATGAAATTTCAAATATATTAACTAACATTATATAGTACATGAACAAAACTATATGAAATAGGGAAAAAATGATCTGTTAATGAAAAGTTCAAGCTACAGTCCTCGCCTCATAGAACCAGCTTAATCAGAATTCAACATTAAACACAAATTATTGTAAAATTTGAAGTTTTTTTAAAAATGCATTAATTTTTGAATTAATCAAATACAAATTTATAATTTAAAAGATGCTGGCGATATGTAGAAGCCATCTGGTTGTCTCTCGTCTGCCATTGTACACAAATGTAAATTATCTATAGACTGGCTCCCTAGAACTGTCTCGTTAAATGTTGAATACAGCCACGGCGCGATATAATTATTGCCAGTCAACTTAGCAACAGGGCGGGAAACCTTCATTATTGTCATGTGTGGAACAAACTCATGATAATCTCTGACCTCAATGCCTTCAGATGCCAAGCACGTTTTTAAATGTTGCACAAGGTCATGAAATTCCGGTGGACAATCAATTACTTTACCATATATTACACGGTTAAAGAAAGTCTGAACGCCTTTGAAAGTCAATTTCTTATCTTTTGGAACGATTGATGCTAATTCTGGAAGGGATTCTTCCAAACATTTGACCGCCTGAAGAACCTGCTCTGGCGTCTCTAAACCTATTGTGCATAAAGTTAAATGTAAAGCACCCGTTGGTATCTTGCAATCTTTAAGCTTTGGCTCATTTGCTATAACATGTTTCTGTATTTCATCAGCTGCATTACGTACATCCTCATCAGTTATTCTTAGAGCTATAAAGTGGTTGGGTCTAAGTTTATCCCGCCAGTATTTGTTATATTGATCATCATTGCCGTCCTCATCATTAACATTATTATCTACATCAAAGTCCTCTTCTGAATCTCTACCTCCAATAGCACCTCTCTCAGAGTTACCAATAGTTACTGTAATTCCATCATCGCTGTCACTGTCACTCTCGGAGTAATCTGCACTATCATAATAGTCACTGTCCGGATCAGCTTCTGCCATATCATTGCGTTGATCATTTTCATGCGCTTCATTTCTAACTTGAACACCGTCTATACCCGATATTACGTCAACAATAGTTTTCTTACTTCCGGTAGACCCAAATACATTATCAAGACGGCAACGCTTGTCCCATACGATCTCATTCTTATATTTAAAGTATTGAATTCTATGCTTAGGTATTGCCAACACCGTGTAATCCACGGAAGCAATGTCTTCCCAGCTAAATGCATTAAAATATTTTTCCTTCAGTCCATCAATTCTATCTAAATATCCTACTAGAAACTGATCCTGTTGCAAAGCCTCGTCCCAGAGTATCCTTTTAACAACGTCTATCGCAGTTTTCATCGGTGGCTTCTTTCCTTTTGTTTCCGGATCTTTCGGCTTTCTTCTCTTTCTTTGTCGTCCTTTTGAGGTCCCTTCTGCTCCCTCAGGTCTTTTTGACTTTACCCTTTTACCTAAAATAGTTTTAATACATTGTATTAACAGATCAGTCATGAATTTAAACATGGCATTTGAATTATAAAGTTCAGTACAACTGTATACGCATTGATGTTCACATAATTACGATACAAATGATATGCGAAGATATGTATAGCGTGTTTGGTATTAATGAGATCACCCAAACTAAGCCCTTACATTTTGATTACAACAGCATATAAACTGCACACACTATTATCCTCATGACAAACACTGATAACATTTCTATCATTTCTTTCACAGGTAATGAGTAATACGTACATTTAATAATAATAATTCAAATAATAATATTAACAATAATAATAACAAGAGCTGTCGGTAGGACAGCAACGCTCGACTATTCTTAGTGCTTGATTGTAAAAAAAATGCTTGATACAGTTACCTCCTCCTGTTTACAGGTTGGGGTAATGATGGTGAACAAGTGTGCAAAGTTTCAAAGCCATATGTCAATGGACTTTGAAAATATTTGAGGTATTACAAAAACTTTAACGTAAATTCTAAGTCCAAAAAGGGGCATAATTCTGTCAAAATGCTTGATACAGTTACCTCCTCCTGTTTACAGGTTGGGGTAATGATGGTGAACAAGTGTGCAAAGTTTCAAAGCCATATGTCAATGGACTTTGAAAATATTTGAGGTATTACAAAAACTTTAACATAAATTCTAAGTCGAAAAAAGGGGCATAATTCTGTCAAAATGATTGATACAGTTACTTCCTCCTGTTAACGGGTTGGGATAATGATGGTGAACAAGTGTGCAAAGTTTAAAAGCCATAGGTCAATGGACTTTGAAAATATTTGAACTATTACAAAAACTTTAACGTAAATTCTAAGTCAAAAAAGGGGCATCATTCTGTCAAAATGCTTGATACAGTTACCTCCTCCTGTTTACAGGTTGGGGCAATGATGGTGAACAAGTGTGCAAAGTTTCAAAGCCATATGTCAATGGACTTTGAAAATATTTGAACTATTACAAAAACTTTAACGTAAATTCTAAGTCGAAAAAGGGGCATAATTCTGTCAAAATGCTTGATACAGTTACCTCCTCCTGTTTACAGGTTGGGGTAATGATGGTGAACAAGTGTGCAAAGTTTCAAAGCCATAGGTCAATGGACTTTGAAAATATTTAAATTATTACAAAAACTTTAACATAAGTGGTTACGCCGACGCCGACGCCGACGCTCGGGTGACTACAATAGCTCTACTTATTCTTATCGAATAGTCGAGCTAACAATAATAAAATTCTATAAAAGTCTACGAATTCCTGAATTCTTTCACAATTAACAATACTGTTGCTATCGGTAAACAAAAGTCAGATCATCATCAAGTTATGCTTATTCCTAAAAACACAACAGTGCTATATATTATAATTCTCATTAAAAATCACTGTTTTAGTGCCTTAAAATAATTACCTGTGACATCGATTTGTTCTTTTTTTAACCATTCCAAAGCTTTCTGCAGCAGTCCTTCGAGTGATAGAGGTGCCATGCCCTTAGCCGTCTGTTTAAGAAACGCTTGTAAGTCATCTATCTCGTCTTCATCTAGTGATTCTGAACGGATCTCTGTCACTGGAACGCTCTTTGGATAGGTATCTAAAATTAAGGTTATAATGATAGTCGGGTAACAACAGATGGTGAACATCATTAACTGAGTGAGTACAACTTATTTTCTTAGCAAAAAATCACAGTTATGGCCAGAGCTAAAGTAAGTGTTTCTGTAGCGGTAATTTTGCTTAAGAGAAACAAAATATTGTTTCTGGTCTCGGACCACAGTACATTTTTGGCTGCTACGGAATGAATTGCAGCTTTTAGAACTGTTGACTAATGTAAATGAGATAATTTCATGACAGGTCAAATAATAATTATGTTCTCAATAAAACATGTCTTCTTTTTACAGGTTGTGTAGTTAGAGTGTAGAAATATCAGATATATATTGCTTAAAGGGAACATTGACGACAGGAAGTGGAGTGCTACCTTGAAATAGTTAATTAAACCAAAAGCATAACTAAAGCAAATCATAATGCATCACGCAAATGCCCAAATGATACGTTCAAAAACCTAACGCTTTCTATAATAAACTGAGTGACGGGATGACATATTTATAACATGATATGAGCCGCGTCATGACAAAACCAACATAATGGGTTTGCGACCAGCATGGATCCAAACCAGCCTGCGCATCCGCGCAGTCTGATCAGGATCCATGCTGTTCGCTATCAGTTTCTCTACTTGTTATAGGGTTTGTAAGCGAACAGCATGGATCCTGATCAGACTGCGCGGATGCGCAGGCTGGTCTTGATCCATGCTGGTCGCAAACCCATTATGTTGGTTTTGTCATGACGCGGCTCAATTATAAAATTGAAGTACCAGTAAGTTTGAAGTTAAATACAATATCAAGATCTTCTGGGTGCAGCTTGATTGTCTTTACATATTTGCCCGTTGAGTTAATGACCTTGCACTGTCCTTGGAAATGTGAAGTTAGATATGCTAGCTCCTCTGTTAGTTCAAATTGTGTTTCTTTGGTAGAATGTATGCTGGACGTTTCCTTAGCAACAGTTGTTTCTTTTTCTTCGTTAGTCGCCGCCATAATCTAATTACATAATAATAAAACATTATGTAATAATATATATATATTAGCAAAAAAAAAGACTACCAAAATGATATAGATCTAATATGATTTGCTACATAGCAAAGTTCATTTTGAGATATGAGTGGGAACCTTGACGAGGAATTTAAAATTAGTGATACTGTAGGATAACTGCTTGGAATCTATGAATTCTTTTACTTTAAATCACGAATTTATATTACAATATAAATCCGTGGTTAAATTAATAATTATAATAAAAGGTCAGAATATCTATACAGTTAATCAGTTATTTGATAAGCTATTATACTCACGTTACAATAGGTTCAGAACATATATATAGAGTAAATAATTAGGTTAAAAATCTTACCTTTCCTGTCCAAAACGAATATTAATGTAAAATTGAATGTTTATTTATTTATATACCCTATGGTGACGTTTAATCTATTTTTATCGATACCGCTCTTACTGGTTATCGATATTCTATGTCAGTGAATTGTGCGCCTAGAAGTGAAATGAGAACCAGTGCTAAATTTAGAAATCACGTGACGTAAACAAAGATTTTTCTGACATTGCACAACGGATAATCTTGTATATGCAATACACTAAACCTGTTCAAGATAAATAGAAAATTGTTTCAATATACATCACCATTGTAATCTAACTGTGAACGGATCTAGTTTTTAAGGTAAGGCTAACTTCTTTCAAATAAATATTTTAATTCAAAAGACTACATGAATCAAATATACAATAAAATTGTATATAATATGTTAATTATAAATGTGTATTGTATACATATTAATATACAAACATGTATATATGTGTCAGTTTGTTAAGGTAACATGTATTATGAGAAATCTCATTGCTTGAATAATAATGTTTAGACATGTAGTTTAATCGAGATTGCATGAAATACACACATACATATATTGCCTCGTTTACGTTCTAATTTTTGACTTTTCAATACAGACTACAGTTTAAACCAGTCATGTGACCCAAATGAAAAAAAATTAAGACCACTGGGAATATAGTCATAATATTGAAAAAATCAGTCATTTACAATAAATACTTGAATCTTTAATAGTTTTACATTCCTAAAGTCTAAGTAATATTTTTTCAAGGTTGATCTGGCTTATCTGGAGGCATGTAGCTTTAAATCTTATATAATATTATGTTAATAATTACATGTATAGCCAAGCGTTATTTAGTAGCTGGTTTTAATATATAAGAATTAATGGAATTATATCGTATTGTATTATTATTTACTTATAACAGTATCAACAGATGTAACAAGTTATAACATATATATACGCGTATATCCATTGTCTGTACTGACAGCGGCTATGTCATTGTTACAAAAATGTATTTTTTTTTTAATTCTTAACTTACCTGAATATTTTTTTCTCAGTGATACTAGTAAATATTGATTCTTATCATTTCAGTCATTCGATCAGCATTTAATTTAACCAAAATGCTTTATAGTTTAATATAAAATAGAGTTATTGATTACTCCTTACCAGCTGTTTTTGGCCGGGTTGCACATGTGCAAACCCGGGTTATAGTATGGTGAAAGATGGGTGGCAGGCGGACGGGCGGTTGAACAATTTTCAAAACAGTTTTCTCAGCAACTACTTATCACAGCCTCTTGATATTTGGTATACAGCATAAATACGTAGTCCCATACTGTTGGATTCGAATTCAGATCTGTCGCTCAGCCACTTCCTGTTTACCGACTTAGTTAAAATTTTCGACATTAATGGTCAATGATAGGAAATTTTCGTAACAGTTTTCGCAGCAACTACTTATCACAGCCTCTTGATATTTTGCATACAGCATTAACTATAGTGGTCCCATACCTTGGGATTCGATTCAGTCGCTCATCCACTTCCTATTTACCGACTTAGTTAAATTTTCGACATAAATGGTCAGTGGTAGGAAATTTTCGTAACAGTTTTCTCAGCAACTACTTATCACAGCCATGCAGCATTAACATGTGGTCCCATACTGTGGGATTCGATTTCAGGTCTGTTGCTCATCCACTTCCTGTTTACCGACTCACATTAATGGTAAACATTTTTTGTAACATCACATCCTCATGATATTTGGTTTACAAATGCAACCCGGCCTTTTCTGTCTTTGACCCATTTTCTTCTTAGTAAGTGAATGTAAGTTGGAATTGGATAATAATGTGTTTATTTTCTTTTTCTCTTTTAGAATGGCAGGTGTCTGTGAAGGATTAAAAGACCTGCAAGAAAAAGAAATAGAAAAAGTTAAATCATCGTTAGATGGTCAGGTACGAGTCATTTCAGGAATTGGTGACTTTACCAATGTCGTGACTATACATCCTGATGGTTTGGATCTCCACTGCAAGTTCCAACTTACAGGTTTGTAGATTACATTTGCTATTAAGATTAGAACATAATTGTAATTATAACCTTTGCGTGATACTGGCATGTTTCATGCCTTAATCATGATGGCTGATTTGTGCAATATTGTACCTTCGCTCCTCGGGGCGGCATGCAAACACGAAAACACGACAAAGTGATGCCTTTGCTGTATTATCGTGATTTTGCTTTTCGCCCCGCGGAGTAAAGGTACGACAAAATGTTGACTGTCCTATTTTCATGTTTACATCCGGCGCCCCAAGGAGCAAAAATATGGCATGACACAAATCAGCCACCCTATTTAATACATCATTGAGGTTATAGTGTATCAACCTGCCCGATGTTAGGAATGAGGGCAGCCTGTTTTACTTCAACAGAATTATACTACACCTTTATACACCTTAGTTAAATAAGGTTGTGTATGTTTCTAAATGCATTCTAACGTTTAATGTTTTAATTTTTTATATGAGTTTTTGATTTCAATTTCAGAAAGTTATCCTCAAACCCCACCGACTATTAGTATACGGTCATCGGTTTTGAATTCGGATCAGACGGCAAGTTTGATAAGCTCACTTCAAACTGAGGCTACTTCAAAAGTTGGCCAAATGATGCTGGTTGATCTAATGACATCATGTAAAAGATGGCTTTTCGAAAATGACGTTGATGTGTGCGCCTCAACAGTGGCAGAAAAGTCGAAACATAAGAAAGGGAATGGGAAGTCTAAGCAAGGAAATAACAAAGAGAAAATCAAACCGGAAAATGAAATTGGTGATAAATCTAGCAAGAAGAAGCCACCAATGAGAACAGCGGCAGACGTAATTAAGAGATTACAATGGGATAAAGCGTTTGATAAAGAAAATTTTTGGATAGGATATTTAGATAGAATTGTGGGTCTTGTAGAAAAGAAGTTCACGGCGTTCACATGGGGGGACATTGCTGCAGTTGATTATTGTACATTGGCCATTCCGCAACACCGTATACAATACTTCAAGTACTTCACAGAAAAAGTTTGGGATAAGAACGAACGCTTAGACAACGTATTTGGGTCAACAGGTAGTAAATTAACCCTTATTGAAGCTATTAAAAAGTATGAAGATAAACAAAAGGAACTTGGTGAAGTTGAAGAAAAGAAAAATATACCGGAAGTTGACGTCAATGAAAATCACGAGGATGGTGCTGCTGGAAGTGAAATGGAAGACGAAACTGAAATATACGATGAGGTACATGCAATATACATATACTGTAGATATACTTTTATCAATTGAAATTTATGTAACCACGTGATCTGATTTACCAAATAATTACATATACATTAAGAAATAAAAAGCAATTTGTCCCGTCAAACATTTAGAAAAAGATAAAACGAAATTGTTCACATTTCAATACTAAATTCTGATATACTTAAAGATGTACGTTTTCCTTTTACATAACACTTATGAAGTAAACTATAATGGTTCTAGTTTAAATTTGTGTTACACATGTAATTTATCAAGAAAACATTAAAGATTTGTAGTCCATAGATCGATATCATCTAGTTTTCACAATCAGTATGTGTTTTGTTTTTTGTTTGCAGTTTGAAGAAAACGAATGTTCTAATGATGAGGCAGACGAACAAATTAACGATTTGTCGAAACCGGAGATTCACAAGAAACGTCCAAATTTCTTTGTGGCTCTACAAATCACGGACACAAACACTATAGAGAAACTATTAGACGTTCAGAATCAGGTCATTAAGTGGTATCCAAGTTACACCGATCATAAAATCCCAGCCAATGGGTTTCACTTGACACTTTCTGTTCTGAAACTTGAAAACACGTCTGACAATCAAGCATGCTTTGATGCAATGAATCAAGCAAAGTCGAAGCTTGAAAAGTTGGCGCGAAATACGGAACCGCTTATACTTCAAGATCTTGATCATTTCAGCAGGAGGGTCATTTATGCCAAAGTGAAGTACTCACAGCAGTTTCTTGCATTGGTAGATGAAATTAGAGATATCTTAATTAATGCCGGATTTGATGTTGGATCATCTAGTTTCAAGCCTCATCTAACGCTGTTTAATGTAAGGAGATCTGTATGTTTGGAACGTAAGGACATTTTGCTCAATGCGTTCAATGATTCAGATTGTCCCTTTGGGTCACAGGCTATTGATAATATCCAAGTATGCCGAATGGGAACCTTACCAAAAGGAGACTCTACCGAGTTTTATGAAAACATATTTCGTTTTGATATGTAAACTATTTTGTTTTAGAAATGGCTTGTTGTATGGATAAAAAGTAAATGGATAAATAAAGCGACACACTTCTTTCTTTCGGGAATCATATACATTGTAATGATGAAACAAAACTAGTAATAATGAGAAAATATTCATGTTCTGGTTGTTTTCTGGCACTTTAATTAATGACTTCTATCTATTCTACTTATCTATTTTTTTCTCATTTTTATGTGATGATGATATTTTGGATTTTGCGAATTAATGCTGCATCTATGCTCAAATCGAATAGTTGGAAATGCCGTCTAAATATTTATGTGATATCTTTTTATATAAATTTGATTTTCATCATGTTTAATAGCAATAAAAATGTACAAAAAATAATGATGTAAACAATGAATTTTAGTTTTGTTTTTTCATGGTTTTAAGGGGTCATAAAAAACTAATTTCCGGCTAAAACTAGTTTGAACATTTTATGAATATTACGATTCTGCGTTACTTTGGCACTATTCCTGCGCTTCTTTTGCACAATTCTGCGTTACTTTTGCACAATTCCGGCGTTATTTGCACATTCCTGCGCTGCGTTACTGGATTTATATTGTTTACTAAATTACAATACATAATGTTATCTATCCATGATATAAACCCTTATATAATTCGTTACCAACACTTAGGTCGATACATTTAGGTCAGCTAATACTATATTTTAATTGGTATAAAGCCTTGTCTAATGAAATAATTAATTTTTTTTTGAAATTTAAAAACAGTATACATGTATTTCTGTTGTTTCCAGAATCTTATGGGGTTATTTCTTGAAAGAGTTATATTAAATAGAATGTTCCTTTTACAAAACACACATGAAAACTGTGTAAACAGGAACACAGTATTTTGTGCATCAAAAGTAAATATACCAACATATTTCTTTTATACAGACATTTTGGAAAGGGTTTTCTAAAATTCAAACAAAATTTTGTAAACTGCAGGCATCAAAGATATATTCTTTATACGACTTTACCCACAGCAGATCTATTAAAACTTTTTAATAACTGCATGTTACCTTCCACGTGAATTAAGTGCTGTCAATTATTCATTATAGCTGAAATATACGGTGTTCTGTTTGGGTCAGTTAAATCACACCTATTTCCATGCAAGATTTTTCTTCATGATTTGTGTCGCTCTTTCCATTTTTATGGATAAAGTAGAAAAGATGGATTGCATGCACACACATATTATTTTTTTATGAAATGGAATCAGAGTCTGGGTTTTTTTAGCAATTATTTTAAAATCAGGATATTTTTCATTACAATAAGTAATTTTTTGTTATTATCAAAAAATTTATATATTTTCAACAAGAATTATCATAATTGGTTATTTTCAATGTAAATTGGTTTATCATTTTAAATGTTTTATACATTTACAATTAGTCGTCGTATCTTCTAACAGACGTGAAGAAGACAATATATTAAGCGAACGTAATGAAAAAAACTCGATAGTGCGTTCTACAACACTTTAAGTGGTGTCGGACTTAGCCTGCGCATTACAAGCGCAGCTGAATTTAGGTGTAACAATGCGTTTATTGTATCGTATCTCATATTATAATAAGTTGTTAAGCTGAGACAGCTGATCCTGATCAGACTGCGCGGATGCACAGGCTGGTCTGGATCCATGCTGGTCGCAAACGCACTATGTTGGTTTTGTCATGACACGGCTCAAATAATAATTTATATTCGGCTTGCCTCGGCGAACCGTCTTGTAATTTAAAAATAAACTCGTACTGTATACTCATTACATACACTTAAACATTACGCAGTAACGGTTGATCGGTATTTTACCTGTGCATTACAAATCCGTGCATGCGTAATTATAGTGTGTAAACAATGCGTTCTAATTTTTGTATCCGAACCTCAATACTATAAACAAATGCTTCAGCTAGAGGACAAAAAAGTGCTGGTGATTATTATATAGTGTTTATGTGGGCTTACATGATCTATATAAGCAAGTGAGTAGCTGGTATTTTCTTTTGCATATATGTACAACGATACTAGAATTTTCGACCTATAGTTATTCAGAAGGGCGAAAAATCTCGAAAATACGAAAATGCATGCTAAGAAGTGAAAAAAAAACGATGGAAGATGGTCAGATTAAAGTTACACATCCACAACTAACTTTCGCAACTCATCATCTCAATGGTTACTATATGCAACCACCCATTGTGATACTGATATTTTTCCACAACGTTATGTTCACGTGTATTTCGCTAATGTTTTGTGCTTGAAAAACCTATATACATGTTTAGTAATTCGTCGTAACAGAAAGATGCATTATAGATCGTTATAATTATGTGTTTTACCACAGCTTGTGAGAAATAGCTGGTGATTTTTACATCATGTACATAATGGCAATCACCACACTATGTTTACATAAACTAAAACATTTGCGATAATTTGTATTGGTAATCAACATATCACAATATTTACTGATAAACTGAATGTACTATAATCTGATAATATTTTTTTAACATCGTTTTGGGTCAAAACTTTGTGTTTTATTTCAAATATATGTTTAATCCAACAATGGTTTGCTGTGAACCATAAACACGTCCGGCAAACTGTCGCCCCGGCGGCACAAAGGTGACGTGTGTGTTTTTATTTATCTCGTGCGCACGAGATACTATGTCTGGCCACGATATAGTTAAGTCATGGGAACGAGATACTATGTCGTTGCCACGAGTTAATCAGTCGTGGCCACGAGATAATTAAGTCATGGGCACGAGATACTATGTCGTGGCCACAAGATACTATGTCGTGGCCACGAGTTACTAAGTCGTGAGCACGACTTACTATGTATATATACTATATACATATACTATATATATAGTGAAATCTGATTGGTAAATTATCTCGTTCCCACGACTTAGTTATTTGTGACCACGACTTAATAACTCGAGGCCACGACAAAGTATCTTGTGCGCACCACTCGTGAGCACGACTTAGTAACTCGTTCCCACGACATAAGATCTCGTGCACACGACTTAACTATCTCGTGTCAACGACTTAGTAACCCGTGGCTACGACATACGGTGGCAGACTTCAAAATTGCGGTGTTCGCACAAACGAGCGAACGGCATTTCCGAGAAAGAGCGGAAGATCAATTCAACCGTTCGGATTTCTTCAAAAGGTGCATTCGAAAAATGAATACCCGTAACAAGAACTTGTCTTTCGTGAGACACAAATTTCTCCTGGTGAATTTCTTTAACTTTATTTCATACAATACGTTCCCTAGAATGCTACATTCAGAATTTCGCTTGCGACCTACTTTTGACTCGCTTGTTTTGGTTAGTGAGTGTTTTCCCATCCTCACTTTCAGATAACCAATTAAGCACGCACTTCCGTTTAGACCACGTGACGTCGCTTTCGTTCTTGGCGACCGTACAAATAGGACGTGTTTTTACATCGCTCCAGTAAGACTCGTATTTTTCCCTGCGGTCTGGAGACCGCAGGGTATTGGTACGCGTTTAACTTTTGAGGCATGGAGGAGCACGTGACCTGTTTTCAGCACATGGAGGAGCATGTGATCTGTAAACCGTACATGATTGGTTAATTGACCTTTTCGAAAACCTGGCTAAATACCGTTTGCCGGTACGTTACGGATTTACCTCTAGGGAATTAGTCAGAGTGACACCTAATAAAGAACAAACAGCTATTACGTGATATTTCTAATTTTCTATAATTATTTTACCGTTTAAGGTGGAAAAACTTGAATGATGTGTTTGAAAATTATCAATGTTTCTTTAATATGTATCTCAAATTTTACAAACAATTAATTGTTTACACTGAAAATCTACAAAATTAAAATATTCGTTGTGGCATCTGCCAGAATAAATAGAGATATTTTCTGCGTAAACTTGTGTGTTTATCATTTTTGCTCGGAATAATTAAAAAAAATGGTGGGCCTATTTAATCATTTTCTTAAAAAGAAATAATTGTTTTATGTTCGACATTCTCCGGTCATCGACCGTCACCAGTTTCCAAAGACCTTCTTCTATATTGATCGATTATTGTAAACTATATTCCTGATAAAACCGCGCGTTTATTTATTCCCCACAAACAATGTTGAAAATAGTTAAATGGAATATCTTTATAATTATCATTAAAAATGTTCCCCGCAGGAAACCATTTTTCTTGTATTTTATTTGTTTGAAATAATTATTTTTTGACAATACTATGTCGGAAGAACAAATCCGTCGCTCCAAAGAACAAGAAGACGGAGAAATATTAGATTATGAATCCACGCCTTCGCGTGAAGCGCAATTGGAAGGCGAGGGAGATCCTTTGCAGTTTCAAGGGAAAACCACGACTAAGAAACGTTCAAATTCTCGACGCAAATATTCGGGAAAAACTAAATTTGATTCGAAAATTCAGTGTATGGACAGTAAGTTAGACCGTCTATTTAGTATTTTATCTTCCAAACATTCTCCCGCAAATCCATATTCTGATTCTGATAGTACAGATGACGAATTTTCGGATAGAAGAAATTCGGATAAGAATTCGGGTCTATCAAAACGTGATGACATTATTACAATTCCATCAAATACGGATGTTGATAATTTTTTGAATGACATTGATCCAGAAGCTTCTAATTCTGAATTACAGAAGTCGCATGATAAAAATGATTCAAATTCAACGTTGTCTGAAAAAACAAACAGTTGTCTTGTTAAATTATTTGGAGAAGACGCTCTTTTACCAAGTAAAGAACCGGAAGAGAATGGTATATTACTTGATGGTGCTCAGAAATCTGTAATTTCAAACAGTTATAGGACTAAAAATCCACAATATTTGTCAGCCTATAATGTAAATCTACTTGAGGAATTTCCAGTTAGCAAAGAAACAGAAAAAATTCTTCAAGTACCTTAAATTGATCCATTATTTGAATCTTTACTTATAAGAAAATATGGTGAAAAAGCATCCTTTGCAAATTCTAAACCCAAAGGGATGACCAATTTATATTCTCAACCTTGCAAGACTGTAGAAAGAATTGCCTACAAAGGCTCCCATGCAGCTCCCATAGGAATGATAACACAGGCCTATGTTCAACAAGGACTAGGGAATTTATTACAGGTACTTCTCACAGGTAATTTTGATTCTGAAGATCTAGTTAAACAATTGAGAAATATTTTTGCTATCACTACCAGAAGTATGGATCAGTTTGGCCGGACAGGAGCCTTTTCCCACATAATTAAAAAATCTTTACCTATGTCTGACACATCTCTCTTTGAATTACATGATCATGAGAAATTCTCAAGTTTACCACTATCAGGTGAAGGGCTTTTTGGTCCAGATTTTGAAATTTTGCAACACAAAGAAAGAAAAAAGCAAATAGATGAACTTTTGCCAGATTTTCACAAAAAAGATACAGTGTATAAACGCAAATTGAATTCAAATTCAAAGGCTAATGAACCACCTGCGAAAAAGCCATTATATGACAGACAGCGCACTGCAACTTCCTCCTATAGTTCAGATACTTTTCGTATTCCAAAAGTCACAGTATCTGCAGTCAAGCCCTCCAGTAAATACCAGGGAGACAGGGCATTCAGTTATGGTAAATCAAAACGTCCTGATACCTCCAAATCTGTTGGCAGAGGACGTGGACGATCAGATAGAAAATGACTCGGTAAGTACAATAGCAAAATTTCCAGAAACACTTGTCGGGAGAAGACTCAGTCATTTCTTTGCAGATTGGCAGAAAATAACAAACGATCAATGGGTTTTAGATATTAATCAAAATGGCTAGAAACTGGAATTTATATAAAAAACACCGTTTTTTGGGCATAAAACATACAAAAGTAAATTCAAGAGTTTCAGATTTAATCGGTATAGAAATTCAAGAGCTTTTAAAGAAAAATGCTATAGAAACGTCCATCCGACTATGATAAGAACCGTTTTTACAGTACATAATTTCTGGTAACCAAAAAGAATGGGGAAATGAGACCAGTAATAAATCTCAAATCTCTCAACATGTATCTCAGGTAATCACATTTCAAGATGGATACTATGAAAAAAGTGCTGAATCTAGTTCGAAAAGGGGATTGGGCATTCAGTCTAGATATAAAGGATGCTTATTTTCACATCCCCTTTTCACAAAAAAGCATCGGAAATATCTCCGTTTTTGTTACAAGGGAATAGTTTATCAATTCAGAGCACTCTGCTTTGGACCAACAGTAGCTCGAAGAGTTTTTACAAAAATCACAGCAGTAGTAGCTGCACATCTTTGAAAACAAAGTATACGCCTATTAACTTATCTAGACGATTGGTTATCAATAAATCAGTCAAAACATTATCTGATTCAGAATCGTACAACAATGCTGAATCTTCTTTTCGAGCTAGGTTTCATAGTCAACAAAAAGAAATCCAATCTTGTCCCTTCATAATCAATAACTTACATAGGGTGTCAGTTTGCTTTAGACAAGAGATTAGTATTTCCAACTCCAGAGAGACTTGCGGGCCTGAAAATGTCGGCAAAAAATTTACTTTTGGGTCAGAATACAGCCAGGGACTATTTAATATTTCTAGGCAAAATAGCTTCTTGTCTGGATCTGATACCAAATGCAAGGTTGTTCATGCGTCCGAACCAACTTCATTTGCTGCAAAATTGGAGTCCCATAAGAATGTCTTTTTCACATGTAATACCAGTTTCACCTTCGCTAAAATATCATCTACAATAATAGTTACAGGAAGTGAACATTCTCAAGGGCTGTGTTTATCTACAGAGTCAAATAATGTGTCGATAACCACAGATGCAAGCAGTACATGGGGTTGGGGTGAACATATGAACAACCTTACTATGCAAGGACGTTGAACTCCTTTACAACAACTCCAACACATCAATTGTTTGGAGATGGAAGCTGTGATCAGAACAGTAAGCTCATATAGCTGGAGACAAGAATATACTGGCAGATGCTCTGAGCAGATACAGAGTAAAGGAGACAGAGTGGTCCTTGAACAAAAAAGTTGTGAGGAAAATTTTCAGCATCTTGGGTTTTCCAATGATGGATCTGTTTGCGACAATAGAAAACAAACAGACACAACTGTTTTGTACTTGGATTCCTCACCCAGCAGCATATGCATTGGATGCCCTCTCAATCGCATAGACGAACAAGTATGCCTATACATTTCCACCGATAAAGTTGATACCACGTGTTCTGTCTCACATGCAGAAATATCAATGTACACTAATCCTTATTGCTCCGAATTGGCCGCGTCAACATTGGTTTCCGATTCTACTGCAAATGTTGATTGCACAACCTTTGATACTACCCATGCAGTCGGATCTATTGTCTCAAGTCAAGGGGAGAATTGTACATCCTCGACCCGAGATTCTAAATCTGACTGCATGGCTCATATCGACAGATACTATGAAACAAGAGGCAAGAAAAAACTAGAAAATTACTGGCAGCCTCATGGCGAATGGGCACTAAGAAAGACTATAAATCTAAGTTCAAAATTTTCAGCCACTGGTGTAGTGAACAACAAATTGATCCATACACAGCATCTCTAGAACAATGCATAAATTTCTTATCTGAAATTTTTTTTTGCAGATTCTGCATATAGGACTTTATCTGGCTATAGATCTATGGTGTCTTCTGTTTTACCAAGGGTTGATAATTTTGCTGTTGGACAACACCCTGTAGTTATAAGGCATTTAAAGGGCGTATTAAATGAAAGACCACCTTTAAAAAAGCTTGTTCCTGAATGGGATTTACCTTTTGTTTTACAGGCACTAACAGAGACTCCTTTTGAACCGTTGAGAAAAGCGTCCCTGAAGCATCTTACATGGAAAACGAGCTTCCTTATTGCTGTGACATCTTTCAGGCGATGTAGTGATTTGTAGAGTCTCAAGCTTGGTGAGGGAAATGATAACATACAAAATAAAGGTATAAATTTCATAAGACAAGGCCTTTCAAAGCAAGACAGACAAAATTATGTTCCTACACCTGTGTTTATTCCAGCGTTTCCAAAAAACAAATTATTAGATCCTAAACGCTGTTTGGCTGTGTATTTAAAACGCACTGAACAATTTCGAAATATAGGTACAGAATCTGATGTCACTGAACTATTTCTTTTGGTTAACGAATCTCATAGACCAGTTACAGCACAGACAATTTCAAGCTGGATTGTTAAAGTTATCAAATATGCATACAAGAACAGTAAAAAGAACATTAAAAATGTGAAAGGTCACTCAACGAGAAGTGTATGTCCTTCTTGGGCACTTTTCCACGGTGCAACAGTGAAAAGCGTGATGGAGTCCGCTGACTGGTCTAAAGAGACCATTTTCGTGAAACATTATTTCACTACGGTAAATGTAGATTTTCTGAAAACTACTCGTGATAAATAGATAAACTGTCAGTCGTATCTTGGCGAGTCGGACTTGAGGAAATTTCACAGTGATTACAGTTTTTTAAACTGATATACGTTTAAGTGTTGTACATATGGGTTGTACAGGATATATACTGTAGATTGTATGTAACAATTGGATGTACAGTATTTGGTTTTTAAAGGTACTTTTGTACAGACAGTGGGTTGTACAGGATATTTAGTAAGTACATTTTAGAGTTTATAAACTTTGTTATTTTGGGTTTTTATTGTTTTTAGTATATTGGTAAAACTGAAACCCACCTTCCTGTTTATAATATTGCTTCCAAATCAGATTAAATTCTGAATATATCATTCTAGGTAACGTATTGTATGAAATAAAATTGATAAATTTGAAAATCAAGTTATGATTATATGATAACAATACTTACCTAGAATGCTACATGAACCCACCTTCCTTCCCCACAGGACTTAAGTTTTTCCATGGCGATTTGTAGGTCGCAAAGAAAGCGAGGTCACGTGGTCTAAACGGAATTCAAGTGCGTGCTTGATTGGTTATCTGAAAGTGAGGTTGGGAAAACACTCACTAACCAAAACAAGCGAGTCAAAAGTAGGTCGCAAGCGACATTCTGAATGTAGCATTCTAGGCAAGTATTGTATTCATAAAATCATAACTTGATTTTCAAACTTATCAATTTATATATCGATCGATTTTCTTCTAAAATAGTGGAGTGAATGCGCAAGAGGTGGATATATTCGATGTTGAGCGCAAGGCGACTATGCCCGGTCACATTTTTTCGGATTAGTAACGGAAGAGCTACGGTCTAATCGTTCACGGATTACTACGGAAATGCGAAATTCCGTAGTCCACTAAGGTTCCAGTACGGACACACAACGTTATGAGTACGGAATCCGACGGATTTACCACCAAAAGTCCCCAGAGAAACGGATTGTTACGGACCGACACGGTTTGATACGGAGCGACACGAATCAGGATGGACGAACTACGGATACAATACGGTCTGCTACGGTATAAGCACGGGTTAGTACGAATAAGTACGGCCTGATACGGAGAAGAACGAATTGATACGGAGAAGAACAAATTGCCACGGATCTATACGGACCTAATTCATCCGTCCACAACCTCTTGCATGCTCATTTTCAAAATGCCTCACAAGAAAGAACACCTAGAAAACAAATTGCAGAGTGCAATGATTTTGGTGGAGAGCTTTCGGCCTAATCGCGTCCAAACCCCGAGACACATCAGGTCCGATTAAAGTGAATTTTTTGAAGGACGCTGGATCCTAAACAAGTTCGGCCATGAGAGCCTCATACATGTACTAAACATGAAGCGGTCTTCGTAAAAGCCCATCTCTTGTCCGCCATCTCGACTGTCTTCTCTTACCTGATTAGATATAGACTAGTAATCATTCAGGAAAAATGTTGAGCAATACTGCTTGTCTTAATTTTAAAATTTGCTGTTCATTTTACAATTACATTAATTATCGGGAATGTTTATGTTTTAGAAATATTTAAAAAGCCTGTTAATTAATCTTATTATCACTCAAGGGCCAGCGTCCGAGGCTTATGGGACACTTAAAATATGTAACATTAAATGCTAGTCTATTACTTACGAATTGTAGTACGATATTAATACATTTTAACCTCTATGCATGTCATCAAGCAGGTCAACCACTGCCTCCGCATTCAGAGCCATTTAAATATGAAGTTACAGCCAGTAAATGGCAATTATCAATTATTGAATGTTACCGCAAATATGTCTGTATTTAACAAGAAGGTAGTATTTATACCCTTGAAAAAGTACATGATACTTAACTCATCCGTACAAAACAGTGGTGGACCGTACCATTCCGTACCGTTACGTGTTGCAACGTAATAACCCGTATAAGACCGTGCTTATCCCTGCCTCTCCGTACTACAACGTATTACGATCGTGGTTTCCGTGACAATGCCGTATTAATCCGTATTAAAACCGTAGCTTATACGTAGGGTAACCGTACAAATACGTAGTTCTCCGTACCAAACCGTGGAAATCCTTGGCAAGTTGATGGACTACGAATCAGTTCGGACTAGTACGGTTTTCGTACGGACCAGTACGTATCAGTACGGTTTAATACGGACTAGCATGGATACGCTAAAGTTGATTTTTGTGCATGTTCAAAAATTGTCAAGGATCGCTACGGATATACCAGTACTACTACGTTTGATTACGGTTACAGTACGGAGAGCTACTGACCAGTTCGGGTAGCTACGGACGAGGACGGAATTAATCCGTGGCTCTTCCGTGGGCGTATTACCGCGTATTTGGAGGAGCGTAGTCTATGATATTTCTGTAGTTAAAATAGACGTACAAAGATGTGAAGCCGGAGCGATAGTTAGCCGAGCGCGTGATAAAAGTAGCATAATGATTAGGAGATTTTAAATGTAAAATATCACATTTATCTCTGGGTTATTATTATATTAACAACTGAAATGTTTACTTTCAGCTGAAGTAAGTCATGGAAGGGCCACGGGAAAGTAAATCATCAACTGATGAACGTCAAAATACATTTCTAAAACCAAACTATTTTGTAACGATCCAGATAACTGACAAAGAAACGCTGAAGAACTTACAAGCCGAGCAAAAAGATTTTTTATCAAGATACCCACGTTATAAAGACAGTGTTATACCGCAGGAACGTTTTCACGTGACTCTAACTGTTCTTGAATTACCTGACGAAGATCATATTAAAGAGTGTATTGCAACCTTGGAAAATGTAAAAGATGACATTATTGACCTAGCTAGAAAAGCAGGAAAGTTGACATTCAGAGGCCTCGGGAGTTTTTCCACGAGGGTTATTTTTGCTAAATTGGAGTTTTCTAACGAGTTTATGCAGCTTGTAGATCTAATCAGAAATTCCATTGCTGTTACTGGTATAAAAGTTGAATTAAAACCACTGAAAGCTCATGTAACGTTATTTAAAGTTAAAAGTGACACTTACAAGGAAATGGGGATATATATGTATAAAGGAAAGTTAATATTAGCGTCTCTTTTTGACCCAGACCCTTATTTCGGATCACAAGATATAAATAATGTTCAAATTTGCGAGATAAGTGGAGATCGAGAAGACAACGGGTTTTATAGAAATATTTTCAACTTATCAATCGATCATTCAAAATAAATGCTTCAAAATTTTATATTGGTTGGAACATTTTATGTATTTGTGAAAAAGCATTATTAATCTTATATTCTAAGAAGGAAACGACCCATCTACCGTCGTCACCAACCTAATGAAGTCCGATTCTTAAAACACGTGTATATAAAAATAAGGTTGTCGTTTTTTTAGCAAATTTTATTTATTTCCCAAAATAGACATATTGACTTTACAAAGTATTTCTAGACTATGATTGACAACAAGGCGTTTTTAGGGTTAAGTTACTAAAATGAGTTTATGTGTAACTAAGTTATTTCATATGAATAATTTTAAATTAAAAAAAACAATTGTGTATCATTGTGTTTTATTATATATGTTTAACATGGGGGATAATAATAATGGTCTTATTTTACCTCCTCAATACAGAATTACCTCCCTTTCAATGGTAGTATATTTGCGTTGCGTCCCAATGATTACATTCCACATTAAATGTTAGTTTCAATTCTTTTTAATCAAATTAATATTATAATTATAGTAACAACAACAACAATAATTTTGTGATTTTAATATTTATTTAAATATACACATTTGACAATTGCACTTGGACATTCGATTTTGTGGCACTAGTTTACAGTTTAGAAGGGTACTGTAAGGAATTTTTGATAACTGAAAATTTTAGTGAGTTTTATAACATAGATAGGTTAACAAGTTTTAGCTACGTGTTAGAATTGGTCACCACATAAACAAGCTTACCATACATTTTATGCTCAAATTTGATGTCAGAAAATATTGATAATTACTACTCAGTCTTTTGTTAAGTTTTGACTTCGCACAAAGTAGGTATACATATTTTTTTAATTCTGGTCATAGTATGAATGTATAATGTCATTAATAAAATGTAGTTTTTAAAGGGAAGACCAATTTTACTTTGACCTGTAATAGGGAACGCAGCTTCTCATACATAGTTTCCAAACATATTCATTCTTTTATTTAAATAAGATATATTCAGTAAGATTTTCATAGATTTCATTAAATTATTATAATATTTTACTCAAAGATGAGCATACGAGTAGTATAACTTAGGAATATATAAATATCAGTATAGGTAAAGTATTGTTATAATAAGGTTAGGATTGCTATATTTGTAGTGATTTTAGATTCAGTGATACATATATTATAACAGCAAAGAAACACAACACAACATCCAGATTCACATTACATTTCTACTAAATTAAGGTCATTTTTAATTTTAGTCAAAATAAATACCTGATAAGCATTATGTACTATGTTTAGTTGCCGTCTTCTAAACTTTGTTTTAATGGAACATTTTAGAATAAATGCTTCTTTTGATGAAAGCCGTGTTTGAATTCAATCAAATATAATCTAACCGTGTGGTGCAACTTAATTCATGGTGGCTGCACATGACCATCACTTATCAACAACAGCAATTAAATGTATATATTTTTAATTCACGTCTGTCTCAGATAGAGGAGATTATAACAATAATATTTTAACACATATCGGGTGGAATAATGTCTGTAAAATCGGTATAGTTAACTAGGATAAAATATCAAGAATATATAAAATGCAAAGGAAATGTGGCTAAATTTACGCTATTATCGATATATTACGTTTCTTTGATCGTTTTGGGGTTATTATGTAGCACAAATTAACTACAATATATATAATTCCATTTCATACTACCAGGTTACTGGACAAACAGTGAAAAACAGTACGGAAAACAAAGTTGAAAAGAATGACTTTGAATGTTATCTTAATTCTATATTTAATATAAATAATGATGACAACATGGACAAGAAACCGTGAGAAAAAAAAACGTTTTGGGATTATTGAATTCAATCTGAATTTGTAACAGAGATTAAATGTTGAAAAAAAACAAAACAAAGGATAGTTAGAATGTGATATGTAAGATAATCTTAAAATCATTATCTTTATATAGGTGTTCTAATCTTAATATGATGAAATCCTTTAAATGAAAACCAAATATATCAAGGATAGGTTAGTTTAGTTTAAACATATCTATTAAGCTCATGCAGCTTATATAAATCATTTTCATGCCCTCTTCCTTGAACTAACCAGTAATGGTGTCATATGAGGTAATACGATCATGGCCCGAGTTGGGCTCAAACCCATGATACCTGGATTGAGAGGCAGACACCTTAACTACTAGGTCACCACTCCCCTACGATAGGTTGATATGTATTGATAATTGAAATGGCATTATTTTGAGCTGAATTAGCTCTACATCGACATGATTGACCATTTTAATGGGTGATTGACCAGTAATTGATAATGACAAGTGATAATAAGGACAGAAAAAATAAAATCTGCCAAAAATATTAAAAGACAGCATAACTCTTTTCATCAATAAGCATTACCGATATTTATAGAAATTTGGTGGATCACACGGGTTATTGGTCGTGAAAATATCACTCTAAGTTATGTCATATCACACTTATTTTATTATAATACTTAAAGCTTAAAGCAAATGTAAAAGGATTTTTGTTTTATTTTTCTTAATATTTCGGTGACGATCAACTCAAGTTGTATTCGGGATACCGGGATTTCTCATTTTCAGATAAAGTCTCCTATCAATTCATTAAATTGTTTATACAGTACCAGGTAACGATACACACCGACGTGGCGACTTGATATGTCGTAAATATGAGGTTATGTTTGCCATGAGACTTCTTGTCTCCCCTTGATTTTATACCCTAAAATGTTTGTCTGTCTTACGTACATAGCCACAATGTACAGACAATTCAATATTTCATTTTGTTATAAGGACATTTTTCGGTTTGTTAACTTACTATTTGGATGAAGGATTTTTCTTAGGGGTCAAGAAGAGTAGCGTATGGTTATAATTATCACAGAAATGCCAATGAATTTCGTCGTTAGTCAACGTTTTGTCTATTCGTACTTAATTAAGATGCTACAATAAAATGTACTATTAACCTGTAAGGATCAATAATCTGTATGAATAGATAGCCCCCATGGTTTGATGAACAGAACAGAACAGAACAGAGTTTATTTCATAACTTGTACACACATAGGTACATCGTTATTACAAGCATTTTTAAATATAATTATAGGTCACATATTTTACAATTACACATAAAGAAAAAACAAATCAATACAATACTGAGCAATGGGATATTTAATACATACAATGTGATACATTACATACACTGACAAAACTCCATTTATCAATTATATATCCATTTCTTTAAATTACTTCTGTAAATGAATAATGAAGAGTACTAAATTTAAGCGGAGAACAAACTATAACTTCGCTTTTAATCGAATTTGTTTGATAAATTATTTATATAATAATATACTGAAAAAACATCAAGGTATATATAATCAAAACTGCATCATAATACTATTGAAGATTTCTGAAGTAATCATTTCGTTTGATGTTTGCCTTTTTAGCTCACCTGTCACAAAGTGACAGGGTGAGCTTTTGTGATCGCTTTTCGTCCGGCGTCCGTCCGTCCGTCCGTCCGTCGTCCGTCCGTCGTCCGTCGTCCGTCCGTAAACTTTTGCTTTAAATGACATCTCCTCATAAACCACTGAGCCAATTTCATCCAAACTTCACAGGAATGTTCCTTTGGTGGTCCCCTTTAAAAATTGTTCAAAGAATTTAATTCCATGCAGAACTCTGGTTGCCATGGCAACGGAAAGAAAAATCTTTAAATATCTTCTTTTAAACAACCCTAAGAGCTAGAGCTAAGGTATTTGGCATGAAACATCTTCTAGTGAGTGTCTACCAAGTTTGTTCAAATAAAAGCCCTGGGGTCAAAATTGGCCCCGCCCCAGGGGGTCATTGATTTTCCCTAATAGTATATGCATATAGTAAAAACTTAAAAAATCTTCTTTTAAAGAACCCAAAGAACTAGAGCTAAGATATTTGGCATGAAACATCTTCTAGTGAGTGTCTACCAAGTTTGTTCAAATAAAAGCCCTGGGTCAAAATTGGCCCCGCCCCAGGGGGTCATTGATTTTCCCTATATACATATAGAAAAAACTTAAAAAATCTTCTTTTAAAGAACTGTAAGAGCTAGAGCTTAGATATTTGGCATGAAACATCTTCTAGTGAATGTCTACCAAGTTTGTTCAAATAAAAGCCCTGGGGTTTAAAATTGGCCCCGCCCCAGGGGGTCATTGATTTTCCCAATATGCATATAGTAAAAACTTAAAAATTCTTCTTTTAAAGAACCCAAAGAGCTAGAGCTAAGATATTAAGCATGAAACATCTTCTAGTGAGTGTCTACCAAGTTTGTTCAAATTAAAGCCTTGGGGTCAAAATTGGCCCCGCCCCGGGGTCATTGATTTTCCCTATATGCATATAGTAAAACTTAAAAAATCTTCTTTTAAAGAACCATAAGAGGCTAGAGCTTAGATATTTGGCATGAAACGTCTTCTAGTGAATGTCTACCAAGTTTGTTCAAATAAAAGCCCTGGGGTCAAAATTGACCCCACCCCAGGGGTCATAGATTTTCCCTATATGCATATTGTTAAAAACTTAAAAAATCTTCTTTTAAAGAACCCAAAGAGCTAGAGCTAAGATATTTACCATGAAACATCTTCTAATGAGTGTCTACCAAGTTTGTTCAAATAAAAGCCCTGGGGTCAAAATTGGCCCCGCCCCAAAAACTTAAAATATCTTCTTTTAAAGAACTCAAAGAGCTAGAGCTAAGATATTTAGCATGAAACATGTTCTAATGGGTGTCTACCAAGTATGTTCAAATAAAAGCCCTGGGGTCAAAACTGGCCCTGCCCGGGGGGGGGGGGTCATTGATTTTCCTTATATGT